GGACATGACATGGACTAGAAAGATTAAACTATAAATGGATTAAAAAACATAGGGATTAAATTATTGTTTACGAAACAATGAGGACTACTCAATAATTTTTGATAAAATTAAGGAACTAAGTTATAATCAACTCTCATTCATCATATCTGTTAAATATAAAATTATCAAAAATCAAAATCAAAATAAATGGGTATGATTTTAATTTATTTAAATATGAAAACAATAAATTTTTTTCTTTTAATATAATATAGAATTAAAAATTAATGATGAAATTTGAAATAAAATTGATTCTATCTCATCTAAACATGAGAAAATTCCAACCCAAATTCCAGACTAGTCAACAACAAAATTGCCTCCTAATAAAAACATGAAATCAAAATTAATAAGGTTGTTACACGATGGGAAAGCAGCCCGATTATATTGGGCCACTCCCATGGCTTTTGCATCGTTTACTGGATTCTTGAGCAATACACTCATACTTGGATCAAATTCTTTCTTTTATAGCCCAGTTTGTCGGTTGTACTTTTGTTGCATCTTAAACATTGTAAAGAGAAATCATCTGTTATAACTTAAATTTTTACCCTTATTTCTATTAATTTTTTCTAAAAAAAAGATCAACATCAAAATCTTTAAAAATTACATCTTGTCCATGTTTATATGATTTATGTAATTTTAGGTAGTCTTATAAGTTTTTAAAATTTTAGAATGCACTGGTATTATTATCTCTAATTTATTGAAAAGTGAAAAAAAATAACTATATATATATATATACATATAACCAAAAGCTAGATGAAAAATGCCAAAAGAAAAACAATGATTGAAATTAGAGATGTAACCGAGGAGACAAAAAGAAGAAGAAGAAGGAGGCTTGATATTGAAAGAAATTGTGTTAAAGTATAACTAAGAGAAAAGATATGCAGCTAACTAAAACAAAGAATCGAGGGTAAACTTGGAGAGAATTAGAAACAAAGGAGACCAAAATTGAAAGAAGAAAATTTCAATCACCAATTAAAGGGCATAATTGAAATAATAAAAAGAAAAGACAGAGGACTTGAATGGAAACTGCTGCCTTTTGGGGACTAATATAAATGTTTACTAAAACGACGCGGTTTTGAGTGTTAGAAGCACAAAAAAATGTAACTCATCCAGGGGAAACATGACGTCGCATTGTCCTGTATTTTCTTGCTGGGTAGTATTCATATTCTCCTTCCTTTATCGTACAAATTTCTTTCCTTTGTTTTTCTGATTTTTTTGCAATTGTTTCCTTTATTATTTGGTATAATTTATTTTCCTAATTTTGACACTTTTCTTTTCTTCTATTCCATCTAGACTAATTTAGGGTAAAAAAGAGCAGTCAAAGAATTTATAAAATTGCTCCAATAGATTTTATAATATTGATGAGCCTATTTTTGAGAGAGATAGGTACAAAAAGAAGAGAGAAATAGGAGAGAAAAAATTTAAAAAATATATAGGAGAGAGAATTTTTTAAAAAATTGAACTAATGTGAAACTTTTTTAATCATCTCTTTTTTTATATGTTTATCTCTCTTTTAAAAAGTGAGTTCATGGTATTATTATCTCTAATTTATTGAAAAGTGAAAAAGAAAAAAAAAAATATATATATATATATATATATATATATATATATATAACAAAAGAAAATAAAAAGAGAGAATTGAAAAAAAAAACTAGTTGAAAAATGCCACAAGAAAAAAAATGATTGAAATTAGAGATGTAATTGAAGAGAAATAAAAAAAAAAAAAAAAGGAGGGCTGATATTGAAAGAAATTTTGTTAAAGTATAACTAAGAGAAAAGACATGCTGCTAAAACAAAGAATTGAGGGTAAACCTGAAGCGAATTAGAAACAAAGGAGACCAAATTGAAAGAAGAGAATTTCAATCACCAATTAAAGGGCGTAATTGAAATAAGAAAAGAAAAGACTGAGGAATTGAATGGAAACTTCTGCATTTTTGGGGACTAATATAAATGTTTACCAAAACGACGCCGTTTTGAGTGTTAGAAGCACAAAAAAATGTAACTCATCCAGGGGAAACACGACGTCGTATTGTCCTGCATTTTCTTGCTGGATACTATTCGTATTCTCCTTCCTTTATCGCACAAATTTCTTTCCTTTTTGTTTTCCCTGATTTTTTTGCAATTGTTTCCTTTATTGTTTGGTATAATTTATTTTCCTAATTTTGACACTTTCTTTTCTTCAATTCTATCTAGACTAATTTTGGATAAAAAAGAGCAGCAAAAGAATTTATAAAATTGCCACGATAAATTTTATAATATTGATGAGTTTATTTTTGAGAGAGATAGACATATATAAAAAATAAAAAAATTAAAAATTAAAAAAACAATTGAAGAAGAGAGAAAATTTTTAAAAAATTGAGTCAACATAAACATTTTCTTATCATCTCTTTTTTTATATATTTATTCATCTTTTAAAAAATAAGTTCATAGAGTAATTATTCTTTAATTATTATAAAATTTATCGATCAGCATAATCTTTACTCAAATATCTTGCCATAAACAACTCTTGTGTATGGAAAAATCTTGAAAATTCCTAAAAAATCAACCAATTCATAATGGTAAAGATCTTTTCTCAAACCCTATAAATAAAGCTAAAAATCTAGAGCAAAAACACAACAACAAAAAAGTGCAGAAAAACTGTTAGTTTTGGCAGCTTGAGGAGTCAACTTTGGACAAGCTTTTCTCATTCATTCTTCAACCATTTTGATCGTTTTCAGTTTTTAATTGTAAAAGGTATACCCCTCTTCATTCTCATGCTTTCAGTTTAGCAAATCCATTATTTTTTCCTCTTGTTTTTGGCCATAACACTCACTGCCACAACTTGAATTTTCCAGCAATGTTTCTGCCATCTGTTATGGTTTGGAACTTTTTCTTGATTTTATACATTTTAGTCATCAGATGGAGTATTTTATTTTGGTAATTAAATATAAATTGATTTTGCAATTGGATCCTCTAATTTCACTTAATACGGGCTAAATACAATACTATTTTAAGGGTAGAGACTGTTCCATTTGTTAATTAATTAGGTGATATTTTGATTTTCTTTTAAAATAAAATTTTAATATGTTGTAGATATAATTGTCCTCTAATTATATTGCTAAATTTCATAATTTTCTTAGATAGTTTAGGCTAACATTTAAGGTTTTTTTTTTTTTTTTTTTTTTTGGGTTCACGCTACCTAGTTAATTTCTACACTAAAAATAAATCTATTAAATATTTTTCTCCCAATTTTTAATGGAATTTAAGCTTTAAATTAACACGACTTTTTGGTTTTGAGATCCCATAGTAATTTAACTTCATTTCATACAAAAAAATTAATTTATCTTATATGCTTTAAATTATTAAAACGTTCTAACATACTATTTAAATTATTTATGTCAAGATAATATTGGATTCAATGTTAAATTAAAATGACCCTTGAAGTTAGGGTTCAATGCCAATACAATTTTATAATAAATAATCATCTTTTTATGTGTCATAAAACAAATAATAAATAAGTTAGAAATATTTTAGGTAAATAAATTTTTAGGAATTAATTTAGGATTAAAGCAAGTTTGGTGATTTTTTTTAGGAAATAACATTTTTTGGTGATTTTTTTATATAATTATAACTAATTTTTTACCTGCTGTTTCTACAAGATCAGTTTTTTTGTTTTTTTAGTTTCAGTAGCAATTTCTCATCATCATTTTTTTTTTTTTTGAAAAGTTCCTTATGTCAGTAGCGATAAAGGTAACCATTACGATTATTGAATTCGTATAAATTAAAAATTTTACGAAATAACTCTCATCATCTTTAGCATTACCTTTTATTTATTTTTATTTTTTTGCCATATTTTAGTTACCTCGCATAGAAGACCGTCGAATGTTTCTCAATAATTCGCAATGTTTCGTATTAATTTGGCTCAGTTTTTTGTGCGTATCCATTCTCCCGTATCTCAGTACACACTCAATGTAATGTAATGTAATATAATAATCATCTCACCGTTACCATAAGATTGTGCTTCCATAAAGTTTTAAAGTCAAGATATATATAAACCACACTGCATCTTCCCAGCCATTTTAGATAAATAGCCCCAATAAAATAAAATAAAAAATTTTAAATACTCATGTAGTAACTAACAATATATATATGAAAAGAAAAGAAAAAACATATCTAGATTCACCAAAAGAGATAAAAGTATTTTTACTTAAATTCAACTTTTTTAAAAAATTCTCTCTTATTGTTAAAATTTTTCAAAACATATATATATTGTATTACATTCCATGCTAAAATATTGTTTATTTTTCTTTTCTAGAGAATTCATACTAAAATATTGTTAATTGGATTTCCATTACAACTACTAATTTATAATAAATTATAATAACTTCTTAAGATTTAATGAAATTACGAGATCATCTAAAGGTATGAAAAATTGACTGAAATCTTTTTTATATCCAAAATATTCTTAATTACTATTTAGAAAAAAATAGCTAACTTAAAAAATTAAAAAAATTGAGAAACAATATTAAAAAAGAAACACAAAATAAAATTGATGAAAATTAAAATAGCGACATTAATATAATACTTGTCTGTTTTTTTTATTTTATACTCTTTCTCTAACTTTTTAATTTAATTACTGTATTTTTTGGATAATAATTAAGGCATTTTGAATTCAAAAATGGGTTTATGTAATTTTTTTTTAAATGGATGGAGGTTTGGTCTCTGAAATTTTATATATATTGCCTATCAATATAAGCCCCTTTTTTTCGTGATTTTACTTAATTAATCGGGCGTTTCTAGTAGTCGAATCAAAAATTGATTCCTCAAAGACCTGGAGCATTATTATTTTTTTCCTTTTTCTTTTTAGTATTTTAATGACATCATTAAATGCACCAGCTAGCTTCAGATTTAATATAAATCGATTCCATTGATATGTTATTTATGTTCAGAGAAAGAGGAAGTTATAATTTTGGAGTGCAAAGCAGATGGAAAAGATGCAAGTCTTGGGGTTGGCCTTGATCCTTCTTTACATGGTCACCACACCGGCATATTGCCAATATTATTCTCAGACCGTGCCATATGAATCCTTGCAAGAGAAAACAACCAATCTCCACTTCTTCTTCCATGACACACTCAGTGGCAAAAACCCTAGTGCTGTTCTTGTTGCTCGTCCTAACATCACCAAGGATGACAAGTCGATAGCTCCATTTGGCAGCATATTTGCCATTGACGATCCTCTAACGGTTGGGCCCGAACTAACATCTGAAGTCATTGGGAAGGCCCAAGGGCTGTATGTATCATCTAGTCAAGATGTACCATCTCTAGTGGCATATTTTGATTTTGGATTCACTTCGGGCGAATTTAATGGGAGCTCCATCAGCGTGTTTTCGAGAAATCCAATAGCAGATACCGAGCGTGAGCTTGCCGTGGTTGGAGGGAGAGGAAAGTTTAGGATGGCTAGAGGGTTTGCTCAGCTTAAGACCTACTTTTTAGACAAAACTACTGGAGATGCCATTGTTGAGTATAATGTCACTGTTATCCATTACTAAGCTAGATACGTATGTAGAATTAGTATGACATGAAAATTTGGTGGTCGCAGTTGAATTTGAATTCAATGGAAATTTCAAAAATGTAGTCTAGGTATGCCACATTATTTAATAAATTATGAATTTAAATATATTAATCTTTCTCTTATATACATTATCATGAATTGATATCCTCTCGTTTTTTCTTTATATATAACAAGAAAATTATAAACCCTTTAAAATCCACTTATAACTCCTACATTGATTATGTGATTGCATATTTGCATTGCTTGTAATTTTTCTAGTAATTTATTCCTGCCATGGTTTCTTGTGAAATACTAACACCCTTTTTTTTTTTTTTACTGCCATATCTTATCATCTTTCTTAAATCTAAAATTTTAATTTCAAAATAAATAGAAAAAACCTCAATCTATTTAAAATGGCAGCAACATAAGTATTAATTATTTTTTTTTGCATTTAGAAACATGATAATTCATGTCCCTTGATGGGAGGATTTGAATCCATTAATGTATAAGGTTTTAATTGGTTACCTTATATAGCAGGATTTTTTATTTTTATTTTTTGAGAAAGTATGTGGCATAGAATCTTCTTTCGCTAGTCATAAATGGCAGTTCAATAAAATGAAACAAAGAAAAGTAACAAAATCATCAAGAATATATTGTTCCAGATAGCATCATAACAAATATACTAATAACTGGACTGCAAGGGACTAAGATAATTATGAATGGGGCCAACATATATACATATAAATTAAGGAGGTTCATCAAAGAAATAAAGGATCAAGGAAGCGTAATTCAAGACTCAAGAAATTTTGAAGCACAAAAGAAATGGAAGAAAGGAAAATTTTGTGGCTGGCCTTGATTCTTTACATGACCACTGCACCAGTTTATTGTCGATATTACTCTCGAAGTGTGCCATATGCATCCTCGAGGAAGAAAGTTAGCAAGCTCCACTTTTTTTTCCATGACAGAATTAGTGGCAAAAATCCTACTTCTGTCCTCATAGCCCGTCCCAACATTACTAAAGACGGTAAGTCACAAGAACTACCATTCGGTAGCTTATTCGCAGTTTACGATCCATTAACAATAGGTCCTGAACCGACATCAGGGGTCATCGGTCATGCAGAAGGACTGTATGTAATGTCCAGTCAAGATGTATTGACACTAGTAACATATCTTGATTTCGGTTTTACTTCAGGTAAGTTTAATGGAAGCTCTATTAGCGTGTTTTCAAGAAATCCAGTGACAGAGAAAGAACGTGAACTTGCCGTGGTTGGAGGGAGAGGAAAGTTGAGAATGGCTAGAGGGTTCGTTGAGCTTAAGACCCACTTCACAAATGAAACTGCTAGCGATACCATTGTAGAGTGTCATGTGACTGTGATTCATCACTAAATAAACTAAAAGTCCATAAATAGATATCATAATAAATTAGTCCAAAGAAGGAAATCTAGGACGAATTTGTCAAACTTGAGAAGACTTGGGCAGTGCTTGTGATTTTGCAATACCTGAAGAGTCTTTCTGTGATTTAACGTTATTATTATTTACCTAGTCCTAGAAGTCGAAGACCCGGCTCAAAAGCCCAATATCCAATAGAGTCCGGCCTTTGTCAACTCTCCCGAGTTTCGCTCCTTGAATGAAAGAAAAGCCGTTTAAAATGCCTTTTTGTCCGTTATTCTGGTTTGCTTCTCCCTCTTGCACCATTAGTGTGCCTCTTTCTCTCTACGCCCATTTCAAATTCAATTACCAAACCAATTTCCCAATTTAAGTTTTCTCATTTGATTTAAGAAAAAGGAGGAGAATAATTAATTAATGGCATACAAGGTGGATCATGAATACGATTATTTGTTCAAGATTGTGTTGATTGGAGATTCTGGTGTTGGAAAATCCAACATTCTTTCCAGATTTACACGTAATGAATTTTGCTTGGAGTCCAAGTCTACCATTGGTGTTGAATTCGCAACAAGGACTCTTCAGGTTTGTATGTTTCACTTCGATCGTGCCATGTTGAGATCTATAATCGTTTTTTTTCTTTTTATTGCTATGTTGTTGGTTTTAGATTCTTTTTTGCTTATGCTATGCAGAGTCTAAATATTGCATTTTTCTTGTTATTTTCACGCAGAGTCTAATTATGGTATCAATGTCACCATCCAATATTTATTCTTTACATTACCATTGAGGTTTTGAATCTGTCACACACATACTTATATCTAATATCTGTATAGAGTTGCGTTTAAAAGAAATCATTAGATACTGTTGCGATTATGCCCCTTTTCATGTAAAAACAGAAATCCACATAATAACTAACTAGTCATGGATCTTATTTTTATGTAAGAATAGGAATAAGAGGAAAGGATATGACTTCTTAAAGTATTGAATAACTTCTAGATGCCATTGGGACGCAAGAATCCTGATTACTATCATATCCTATGATATTATGTCCCAACCTTAATTACAAATGGAAGTTTGCAGGCTTTTAATGTTCTGTCAGAAAATTTTGATCAAATTGTGAAATATTTTTAACAATCAAATTGGGTATTAAAACACGGAGCAATTACCGATCCAATCGTTTATCAACCATGAGAACATTTTAGATAGGTAACATGAGTAAGTGGCCTGCCACTTCCCCTGCAAGAGTCTTGCATAGTAACAGTAAATAGAGAACAGGTCATTTCCACTCCATTTGTTTGTTGAATCTACTCCGTGTTTTTTTTTGGGGTTCGCTTTGATCAGGCGATGATTATTTTTAATAAAGCAAAAGTTAATTATTATGCAGGTAGAAGGGAAGACAGTTAAGGCACAAATATGGGACACAGCTGGCCAAGAAAGGTACAGAGCTATCACCAGTGCATACTACAGAGGTGCAGTTGGTGCACTTTTGGTTTATGATATAACCAAGAGGCAAACATTTGATAATGTCCAGAGGTGGCTCCGTGAACTAAGGGACCATGCAGACTCTAACATTGTCATCATGTTGGCTGGAAACAAATCTGACCTGAACCATCTTAGATCAGTCTCAGCAGAAGATGCTCAAATGCTGGCCGAGAAGGAATGTCTTTCATTTCTTGAGACTTCAGCTTTGGAAGCTTCCAATGTTGAGAAGGCATTTCAGACCATTTTGTTGGATATCTACCAAATTATTAGCAAAAAGGCTCTGGCAGCACAAGAGGCAGCCAACTCAACTGGACTTCCCCAAGGGACGACCATTAATATCGCAAATCTGTCCAGTAATATCAACAAAAAGGCTTGTTGTTCTAACTAACAAGGTGTTTATCTTACAAATTGGTGAAACGAGGCTAGTGCAATATTGTTCGTTTGTTTGACGGACATGAACAATCATTTTCCCTTATGTCATGTACTTGCTAGAGGCCATGTAGAAAGAAGGTTTCTAATTCATTGGAAACAGCATAATTCACTATGAACAGAATGGGTTTAGCAGTCTCGTCTTGTGTTCTAGAAATCAGGCACACAAGAAAAAAGCTTTGTAACTTTACTTCATTATCTGTACTTCTATTTCGATCCTGTATACTTGGTCCCCTTAAATTTCCGATAAAAAATTTAGTAATTCTTTTTTATCTAGAGAAAAATTTTAATCGTTTCTCAGTTTTCAGGAACTATGATAATTGAAATCAACATGCTTTGATTATGGTACATATATGGTTAAGAAAAATTGTGCAGTTTGCGATGTTATATCACAATTTTGTATATTGAATTAGGGTAATTTATTCGATATTGTATTTCAAGAAGCATTTTTTTCATAATGGATATGATATTTCAAGAAACTGTTCAATGAGATAATGGGATATCCGAGAAAAGCGATTTAGACTATAAGTGGGTTCCATAAGTTACCAGTGAGATCATAACTAGGTTTGTTCAATAATCCAAAACGCTCTATGCATATAAAAGACTGCACCTTTCCATTTTTCCAGAGGCAGCCGAGATAAAGTCATAAAGCCATTCGGATGACTAAGACAATTAATAATTATTACTTTTCCTCGTAAGAAAATGCTTTATGTTAAACTGCCATTTTTCAGTGGCAGATCCGAATGGTTTGTGACACTTTGAGCTGTTCAAATTGTATAACGTTTATACAATGCTGCAATTAATTATAGTTGACAACTATGAGCTTTTCAGGGCCCAAATAAATTAGCTGTTTCTGTTGGGCAAAAGAGAGATGCTGGCGTTTTTGTGGGGGCAATTGTTTTCTTGAGGTAAGTGTATTGACTCGTTGTTGAGTGCAATTAGTCGAGGTCCTTCCAATAATCATGAAAAACAAAATAAAGTTCAAAGGTTCTTCCACAATGGATAGAACCCTCACTTTTTAAATACTTGTGTCCCAACATTTCTATCCAACTTAACTCGTTCGCGTTCCCCAATGATAGATTCCGCAATATGCACAGGCACCGTTAAGTCAAGTTTTCTCTATTTGGGCACAAGCGTCTTGTAAGAAATCATATTCAAAATTCCGCATAAGGTAATGATAAAAAAAAACTAAAGTAAAACAATTAGTTATTATTTATTATATTATTTGAAATATTATTTATTTAGATTTATTTATATTATTTATTTAGACTTATGTGCACTATTTCTTTCAGTATATAATGATATTTTTATAGTTTTAAAATATTTTAAAGATATTTATTATAAAAGTTTGCTTGACATTATATTTTGATTGTTTTAAAATATTTTTTTATTCTGTAAATATTTTTTATTTTATTTTGGTCATACTTTTTTGTTTCATTTTGATCACTTTGGTCCTTGTTTTTTTTTTCTCTCTCTCTCTTTGATTTTTTAATTAAAAATTTTAAGATGAAAAGATATTTAGAAAAAACAATTTACAAAATAAAGTTTTAGCTAAAAAGTTGATAAAGATAAATAAATAATATTTTTTAATAAAAAATTTATGAAAATATAAAGAATAATTAGTCAAATATAAATCTTTGATTAAAAAATGATAAAATTGAATGAATTTTTATTCAGTTTTGATTTGATATATTTTGAAAGACGCACAATATAATACGGGACATCAAAATAAAATAATTTTATATATTTTATCTAACTCGCAGCGTAATGTCAATAAAAAAACTAGTAACAACTAAACCATGAAGTTGAATTTTTTGTAAACAAAGGGTCAAGTAAGGGAGAGAATAATGTTATGCCAGTACACAAAGGGATATTTTTTTTAAGGTTAACGGAGAAGGTTATACAAACCCAAAAGCCTTTTGAGGTTTTTAGAGTATCGGAAAAGTTTCTAAATCATTGAAGAAAAATCTAGATATATTTTAAAATTTTTTAGAGAATCTCTCATTATATATATATATATATATATATATCTAAAGTCTTTTATATAAATATCTAGATACAAAAATTCTAAATAATTTAATTGTAGCTATTGCAATAAATTAATTCTAGTCATTGATTTAAGAAGAGGAATTTTACAAATAGATGAGGTTTTTGTTTAACCAAACTATCTAAGGAAGTTTTCAAGAGTTATAAAATAAGATGGTTGAAGTATTTAAAAGTTATATAAATTTTTTTTATTAATATTTCTGGTGTGTGTCTTTCTTATTTCATATTTTAATACCAATAGAAAGTTGAGTTGGTTTGATTTGTAAAAAAATAAGCAAGTTTCGCATTTAATAAGAAAAAAGACTGTTTTGATTCGATTTTAAAAAAAACAAGCCCGTGACAATAAGCTTCCTTCCGAACTAAGCAACGGCACCGGTAAAATAATTTAGAAACCATCGGAATCCACAAGGAAGATTCTTTTAAGTCAAACGAATAAGAGCATATAAGAGCTTGCAGGAAATCTCTGCGTACACAAGCCAACTTCAACTCCGGGCTTCTCGTATTGGAAATCTGCCTTTTCATCCCCTTTGAAATACGCAACAAAAAGAAGCTTTAAATATAACAAAATTGAATAAATCTCTGTTTTAATCTTACAGTTTGTGGCTGTAAGCTTCCTTCTGAATCGACTAGGTTAGATGCTCCTAGCCATGGCACCAGAAATCCCAATCTTTCTAAACCATGCATTTATCTCTCGGTATTTCAATTGCTGCAAAACGTCTATACAGAGGCACAATTGATGATGGAAATCACGTTGCCTGGACTCAAATGAAATCCTCGGACAATTCAATTAATTGGTAGGAACAAATGTCACAAAAAAAAAAATAATAATAATAATAAATTCGAAGATCACATGTGCTGCTGACATTAATTTAGTTGGGGAGGGAAGCATATGTTTGTTGTTTTCCCCGTGCAAAATGTACACATGATTTTTGTTGAGTGGTACAGGTACTCAGAATCTCAAGTTGATACCGTGAAAAGTGATGGATGATTTTTTTTTTTTAATCAAAAATTAAAAGTCAATGAGGTAGGGTTTCTCGAACCAAATATTGGCAAGAGTACTGCTTCCCATGTTAAATTCAATAAATTCTCTAACCTCCAACAATTATTATTTATTATTAATTTTTTTCTCTTTGTCAGCATGAGACGGAATCATAACATATATGGCAATTAGGTTATGCAAAGTCATTATTGGAATCACTTCCTTTCAACACGTAACCCACTTGTATCCAAACAGCTAGGATTAAAAACATTAGTACTTGTTGGACCAAATTACCTTGAGCTGAACCAATAAGACAGGGGATGCGATAGTTTTATTGATAAAACTATTTTTATCTGATGATTATGATACTTTTATATTAAATTGAATGTTAATCGCAATTAAGTTTTTTTTCTAATGATTTTAAAAAAGTATTTTTCATATTGACTTGGTGTTTTCAAAAAATAAAATAAAATAATAAATATCTTTAAAAGCTATTTTAAATTTTGAATTTAAAAATTTTTAAAATGACAAATCTCGTTATACACCATGTAATCTCCTTAAAAAATAATAATACGATAATAGGATTTTCAACAAATTAACAAGCCGAATCCAGCTTTGGGCTTTTAAGAGCGTTTGGACTGCGGAGAGGTCGATCCCACAAATGTGGATAAGGTTTTGCTTCGGAAAAAAAAACCTTCCACCTTGAATACACACCCTACCACAAAAAATAATATTTTTTGCTGCTAGACCACTGTAAGAAATACGTAAAGTAGCTCGAAAAACAGCCAAAAGTTCGGCTACGTGTATCCATCCCCATGTGAGATATGGAAAGTTCGGCTACATGTGTTTTTATTCGCATATACAAATCCCATGAATCTCTTCAAGAAAATAAATAGTAGAATAATGGAATGAGAATCTTCAGTTTATCTTTATAGAATCATATTTATCTGAAATCTACTTTCTACAACTATGCGTCGCTTCTTGGACCTCGAGACAATTTTCACTTTTACTTTAAAAGAAAGTTTAACCCATCAACAACAATTAGATGCTGGCGTATGATTCGCATTAACCGTTTTTAATAATGTTATCTCAGTGCCCCCTAGTTAATGTCCTTTTCCATTCCAATGGGAAAATGGCTTTGGCTTCCACGGATGCTACCGCAAGGTTTCTGAAGTGGAAAAGACATGATACAGCAGATAAAAAGAAAAGAAAAGAAAAGAAAAGTTAGATGCAAGGTTTCTATCAGTCACTGTTTCTCCAAGAGTAACGTGGCCTCTATTTTTCTCTTTTGTTCTGTTTTGTAGGAGACATGTTGGCCGTTCTTTGGACTCTAACTTGTTATATAAGTAAGTAGTAGACCAAAAATGAAATCCAATATTAAATTAATTAATGTAGCTAATTCAAATTATTGAACTTTGTAGTCGGAATGCGTAGAAATTAAATACAATTTTAAACCAAAAAATCGGAACTAAAGTAATTAAAAACTAGTTGACATGTCCAAAACCAACGGAAGAGAATATATGAGACTAATTTGGCTAAGGTTGAACTATACACCTACCTAAGCGAATAGAATTAATTCATCAATGTTTATAGTAGGTGGATTTATTCGTCCAATAAATTTTTTTAAAAAATATGAATCATTTTTTTTTTAATTCATATACCCAAGGTTCCTAATTCCTTAGTTACTCATTTAAATAATGACGATAGTCCGATGATTATCGAGAATATTGAATAATTTTTTACATAAGATACTTGCAAAATAAATTCTTTTGATTGGATAAGAAACCATTCGACCATAAAATAAGTAGTTAGAAAGTAATGAATGAATCTGAAAATACTGTTTTAGGGAGTGTATTTAATTGTTTGTAGATAATTTTATAAATAAAAAGAAATTACAAAGGAATTAGAACTTATTTAGAAATTATTTCAAAACGAGAATCTTTAACTTATTTCCTGTGATAGTTTGAGGTTTTATATAAATAATCGTGAGTACAATTTGTATGGTAAAAATGACAAACATATCTTTTTATTTTAATATTTATAGTTGAGCTAACAAACAGTGGTACTCGATTATTATTTCATTTGATTTGCGATGACCTTAGTATTTATCAATTTATAATGATAAGTGATGATTTTATTAATATCATCATTGGATAGCCTTCACTAAATACTTTATTCTTACTTATAGTAGTTGAGAGGAGTGATGTCTTTGTTTCTTGAAGCACATTGGAATGAAAGAGTTCTTAATTTTTTCGTGAAAGGCAGCTCGCCTTGTAAGAGGTAGCCTTTTCTTGGAGGACTTTGGGCCCGCCTGATATATTATTGCTCTGTATTGCGACTTACAGGCTTGAATTGGACTCGGTGAATTTTATGTTGTGTATTTATGGCTTTTCCTATTGGCTGCATTGGGAAGAGACTGTTGATTCTATTCTCATCAACTATAATTAATGATTTAAAACCCATCCTGAGTAAAGCTACCCATAAACTTGCCACAGGACCACAACATATTCATTTCTTTCGACTTTCTAACTGGTTTAGACGTATTCCTTCCATACACTTAGCTGACAAGATGGAGCAACTGGAGAACAGGACATTAGGAAGTGATGAAGCTAAAGAATGTGATGAGGAAGAGAAATGGGTTCATGATTCATCCGTGGATTATAAGGGAAGAGTTCCCCTTCGAAGTTCCACTGGAGTATGGGCAGCCTCTCTTTTTATCATCAGTAAGTCTACCTCGCTAATGTATACGAGTCACTACTACTCAAATCTTGTCCGATGATTCTTCGGTTTTTGCTCAAGTGCTTCAATAGTTTCAAATTTTTTGTCATACTTCATCTCTGCTTAATTCTAAACATATATACTGTTACCTTTTTCCATAAAGACTGAAGTCAGTGGTCAACTATAGTAGTAGTACAACTCATTTCACATAGATTCATCTCACATGACTAAAATGAAAACTACTTAGGAGAGCTAAAGATTTTTTCTTTTTCAGGGAGTAGATATAAAAATTAACATGTCAAGAAGACAAGTTTTTATCGTTTATCTTTTTTAATTAGGGGTTAAACTGATTTTTTCTTTGAACAGGTTAAAGATATTAAAACTAAAGGTTTTAGGGTAAAAAAGAAACTCCTTTTTAATTTGTAGAGATCCAACTGAGAGTTTGTGAAGAAATGTATTAAGGGGAGAGGGTTGGATTTTCATCTTTAATTTAGGAAGCGTGTGTCACCCTTTGACAAAGACTCTTTATTAATTAACGAAGAAAGTTACAGACATTTATTTGTTGTCAATTTGTGATAAAGATTATGGTAAAACTTGTAAGATGTAGTAAGGTTTTTTGCTTGTAAAATAATAGCGAGCAGAGTAAGGTCAATCAAGAATGAAATTCAAGTGATATTAAAGATCTATGAAGGAAATATAAACCATTCAAGATTGATGCCAAGAACTAATCTCAACTTATTAGTGGTAATCTTGTTTTAGCTGTTTTAATATATATATATATATATATATATATATATATATATTGATGATTATGTGAAATTGAGTAAATTTTGATGCAGCTATTGAGTTTAGTGAGAGGCTTAGCAACTTCGGAATAACTACAAATCTCATTTCATACCTCACCAAAGTGATTCATCAAGACCTCAAAACAGCAGCAAAGAGTGTGAATTATTGGTCAGGAGTAACAGCAATGATGCCCTTAATTGGAGGATTCCTAGCTGATGCCTACACAGGCCGGTTTCCAATGGTCCTGCTATCATCCCTCATATATCTTATGGTATCCATATATGTTCTTTTCATTTCCTTTCCTTTTTTTTTTTTTTTTTTTTTTTGGTTGATAGGCATGGATAGCATTTCGAACAAGAAAATTGTGCAGAAGGAAGATTAATGCTTTAATGCCCTCTATAATATTTAATAGCAATATTGCAATGTCCAAACTAGGGTCTGAGCCTCTTGACAATGTCCCAGTTCGTTCCAAGTCTACAACCATGCAATGCAGGGAAGTGTAGAAAACCAAGGAAGATTCATGAAGTGGTTTTTTTCCTTGCTATGTATTCTATCTCCCTTGGCACAGGAGGACACAAGCCATGCCTTCAAAGCTTCGAAGCCGATCAATTCGATGATGATCACACAGAAGAAAGGAAGAAGAAGCTGTCTTACTTCAATTGGTGGAACTTTGCACTTTGTTGCGGCCTTATGCTTGGCGTAACGGTCACGGTTTACATTGAAGACAATGTGAGCTGGGGTGTTGCAAGCCTCATCCTGAGTATCACAATGGCTGTAACTATTGCAACACTCTATATGGGAAGGCCTTATTACCGATATAGGTTACCAGAAGGGAGTGCTCTAACACCCATGCTGCAGGTTGTGGTTGTAGCGATAAGGAAGAGAAAATTACCTTATCCTTCCAATCCAGCTCTTCTATCTGAAGTCCCCAAGTATGAAACCCGAGGCAGACTTTTAGGTCACACAGACGGGCTCAAGTAAGTAATTTTACAGTGATCCAAAATTTTCTTCCATGACATTATGTTAGATTCATCGAGTTAATTATCTAATTACATTGACCATCCTTTTCAGTTGATGATCATGCTCTTTTAAATGTTGAATGTTTTTTTTTCATTTTCTTCTTCTAGAGAAAAAAGTCCCACTACAGAACAAATGCGTTAACTGATATCAATCAGTGCCTAAGTGAATTCAAAGTTGATCGTGTATTGCATTTGATACACAGGTTTCTAGATAAAGCTGCAGTACTTGAAGAGGAGGAGGAACTTTCAAATGAAGCGAAACATAATCCTTGGAGACTAGCAACGGTGACAAAAGTAGAGGAGATGAAGCTTATTCTAAACATGATTCCGATATGGTTAACTTCATTGCCATTTGGAATATGTGTGGTACAAACAGCAACATTCTTTGTTAAACAAGGAGCTACATTAGACAGAAAGATAAGTCCCAATTTTCACATCCCACCAGCCTCCATTTATTCTCTTGGGGCTGTCGGGATGATAATCTCTGTGACCATCTATGACAAAATTCTTGTTCCGACTTTAAGGAGAGCTACCGGCAATGAAAGAGGCATTAGTATCCTCAAAAGAATTGGTATTGGCCTGATTTTTTCAGTTGTAGCCATGTCAGTGGCAGCTTTAGTGGAAAGGAAGAGACTAAAAATTGCTAACGAGGATATTAACGTGTTGCACAGAGAGAAAAATGTGGAACTGGCCATGAGTGTGTTTTGGCTAGCACCCCAATTCTTGATTCTTGGCCTAGGAGATGGGTTCACTTTGGTTGGCCTGCAAGAATATTTTTACGACCAAGTTCCTGATTCCATGAGAAGTTTGGGCATAGCTTTTTATCTTAGTCTGCTCGGAGGTGCGAGCTTTTTAAGTAGCTTCCTGATAACCACTGTAGATCATATTACAGAGGAAGACGGCAAAGGTTGGATTGGTAAGGACATGAACTCCAGTCGTTTGGACAATTTTTACTGGCTTTTGGCAGGCATCAATTTGGTAAATTTATGTGTTTATGTGCTCTTGGCTAGGAGGTATACTTACAAAAATGTGCAGAGAAGGTTGGTTGCGACTGATTTGAACAAGGGTGATAGGGAGTCGATGCCCTGAATTTTATCAGATTGTAAATTGTGTGAAGGATGCCAATAAACAGACTAAATGGTTGCTAATCATCCAATTGCCATATTTTTTTAACAATTGTTAACCCAAAAAAAAAAAAAAAATTGACGAAAGGATTCGTTTCCTACATAGCATGATTGTAAGATTTACTATTCGGGGGGGGGGGGGGGGTGCGGGGGGAGGGAAAAGAAAAAAGCTGTAAAGGTAAATTAATTTTGAGTTTTGACGAAAATCAAGATATTTTACACGTGTCTAGTACATGATCTTACAGAGTAAATTATAAATTAGTACTTTTAGTTTTGAGAAATGAAATAATTAGCCTTATTTATTTTAAAAATTAATTATTTAATTCTTATAAATTTTTTAATTTTTTCTTTTAACTTAATCTTTTTCATTTTTAATTTATTTTGCTTTTTATTTAAAAAAAGGTAAAAAAATGGAAGGATTGATAAGAAAAAAATGATATTTTATGAAATAAAATAATATTTAATTAAGCTTGATGAATACCAATCAATTAACTAAAATAATTAATTTTTTTTTAAAAAAAGACTAATTAATTTGTTTTTTTAAGAACATAGGAATTAATTCATAATTTACTCTATATACCATAAATAGTTAGAAACTCACATGAACGCAATGTTTCACACTAACATAAATCTGTCCTTATTCTAGGAGAATAATTTGAGGCAACCAAATATCAAAAGTTGAACTCTACTATGGATTCGTTTGAAAAGGTTGTGAATTTTAACTGATTTTAGTTTTGATAGTAATTGTGGCTCTTATGAGGGTAAAAAGGTATTTGACAATAAATGTTGCTAAAATGCTTTTATGTTATATTCAAAATTCCAAAAAGCTTCATTTTACAACTAATGAATTTTGACGTCTAAATAACTTTTAAAACAGTTTTAAAATTTTACCCAACACCTTTATCAAGGGCTTTCGAGAAATTAAAAGCTCTAAATACCAAAAACCATTAAAAAAAAAAAAAGGTCAACAGCCTACTCTCCAAGTAGACAATGTTACCGTTTTTCTTTTTTCACAATTATAACAGCCAAAAAGCCACAACTTTTCCAAGCAACTCTGCATGAATTTGTTTGGTATTGTTGGAGCTCTTAACAATATTTTTTGACATGATTTAGGTTGGTATAGCTGAAACTCTAAATGTAAAAAATATTCGAAATTGTCAAATGACCATCTCAATATAAAAAATTAAACTGTTAAATGAGGTTTTAAGATATAATTTATATTATTTTCTAATATACCTCTTTAAGTAAAAGTATTTTAAATTTAAAACTTGCACGGATACATACTACTTTGTATGAAAAAGTAAATGAAAATCCTTTAACACATTATATATATATATATATACATACTACTTTGTATGAAAAAGTAAATGAAAATCCTTTAACACATTATATATATATATATATATATATATATGTATTACAGTTATAACAGCCAAAAAGCTACAACTTTTCCAAGCAACCTGCATGAATTTGTTTGGTATTGTTGGAGCTCTTAATAATATTTTTTTGATATGATTTAGATTGGTGTAACTATAACTTAGTAAAAATATTTGAAATTATCAAATGAACATCTCAATGTAAAAAATTAAATTGTTAGATGATGTTTTAAAATATAATTTATATTATTTTTTAATACATATTTTTAAGTGAAAGTTTTTCAAACTTGAAATTTGTACGGATCCACACTATTTTGTATAAGAAAATGAGAATGATAGGATTCGAACTCGTGATCATTTGATTATTAAAACTCGATATCATATCAAAGCATTATTTTAATCTAAAAACTTGAACTGTTAGATAAGACCTTAATATATAATTTATATTATTCTTTAATTAATGTTAAAATACTTTTATGCAGGCAAACTCAAAAACTTCTAAGTTTTGCTATTGGATAAGTTTTTGGAACTCTATCGGCCCTTTTCTGTTGGCTCTAAAAAAAAATCTTTAAAGCTAAAGAAAAATAAAATAAAATAGAAACATCCTGTTAACAAATTGGCCATAAACCTTCTAGTACTTTTGAGTTCACCTAAAAGCATTATGTTACCGATTTTTACATTTACAGCTAAGTCCCAACTTGGGAATGGCAATACTGAGCAATTGGTCATTCAATCAATTCCATAACCTATTTATTAAAAATATCTCTGATCTATATTCTTTGAAAACAACCCTCTAAATCTGGATATAAAGTATATCCTATTCATATCCTTTCATTCAAACTTGACTCATGCTTGATAAAAAATAATTTTTCATATGAGAGAATCACATAAATCATATATTGAGATCTTATTTAATGGTTTAAACTTTTGGATTAAGACAATCCTTTAATATGATATTAAAACTTAATTAATCAAGTAGTTATAAGTTTAAGTCTCTCAAACTTTTTAGACTGAGATGGTCGTTTGACACAAATTTTTATTTTTGTTCCTAAAATTTATATAAAATTGTATTGGTCTTTAGTTCATATTTTGCAATTAGGTTCTCCCGAAAGATTTGAGTTCCTCATGGCTTTTAAAAAAACATTTTACTCTTTAGATCATAAATTTTTTTCAATTAGATCTTATATTTTATATATTTTTATTAATAAACATTAGTAGGATACGAAGTAGGTATTTTTACTCGAAAACCAAATTAACGAATTTATTTATTTCTGTTTCAATACTCTTTGAACATAGTTAAAAAAAAAATTATTCGGTCGATCTGAACAAATACCTACTTTATACGGATTTATTGTCATGTAACGACTTCACCCAAAAAAAAAAAAACAACTTCTACCAAGCCTCAACTTCTAAGCGTTTGATGACAAAAAAATGAAGTGTGGACCCAGTCCGTGGATCCAATCAAACTCCTAAAGTAAAGAAGTTTCTTCAAAGCACTCAAATATCTTATAATTTATATTTCTTAATACTTGAAAATGTTTATTAAATACAAAGACAATTTTTTATTTTATAAATCATGTGTATAACATATGATACATGTATTTTTTAATAATCTCAATTAAAGACGTTTTCAATTACTCATCTACCCCCATCATCTTTATTTTTTACAACGGTTTCAACTGAAAGGACTACAATGATTAGCAAGCTACGATCAGTGGCGCCAACCCCAAGAACCAAATATACGTACAAAAAAATACATCCACCAAAAGCTCCAGAATTCACGAACCAATTAGCTAAATTGTTTTGATTTTGCAGGAGGTGCAATGGAACCTAGAACATGCAAGAAAGGTTTCTTCTCTATTTTCAAATCCTTCCCCAGTCTTTTTCTTAGGAACATAAGACTGAAATTCAAAATCTTAACTGTTGTTTTTTGAGAAACTATTAGGTAGGTTAAAAGTCGTTAGAAATTGTATTTTATTTTCTAAAAAAAAAAACCAGAACCATTATAAAATTTAATGGATTCCATATTTTTATCAGAGAAAAGAGTAAAATTACCGCTAAAGTGAATAATTGCTACTAACCGATGACCGAAATCTTATTTTAGTAGAGAAAAAGTTTCGAAATTGGCCCCCCTCTCACTTTTCACGTCAATAGCCTGGCCTCACTGATACCCCACTGCCACCACTCTGCATGCCTCAGAAAAATCTTGATCCTTATATCATAACCCCAGCCTTCTCTTCATCAATCATCACCACTTTGCTTTCGCTTTCGCTAAACTCTCTCTCTCCCTCCCTCTCTCTCTCTCTCTCTCAAGCTCAAAAGCAGAGTATATATTCATGGCACAAAACTTTGAACCCTTCCATGTCCCACAACAAAACAGAAAAAACAAGCTTCGTGTCACCACTCTAACCAACCAAGAACAGCAAAACCCACCAAGCCCCCTACTCTCCGGACAAACTCTCATGAACCCTTCACAATCTTCTTCCTTCTCTTCGCTTCAAACCCTCAAAGACATGAGCCATCAGCCCATAACTAGCCAGGGTTTATCTTTGTCTCTTTCATTTCAACTTGATCACCAAAGATACAATGCTGTTTCAGTTTCAAGTGATTACTTGAAGCAGAATGGTGAAATGAGAAGCTCTGTCGTCCCTTTTGGTCCTTTTACTGGCTACGCTTCAATATTGAAGAGTTCAAGGTTCTTGAAACCTGCACAGCAGATTTTGGACGACATTTGTGGTGTAATTAATCATGCAAATACAAACTTTCCTTTGGATGGTTCGAGTGAAATTGAAACTATGGGAGAAAGTATTGCGCTTTTAAGCGATGGGGTGGAGCATCAAAGGAAGAATTCAAAGCTAATATCGATGCTGGATGAGGTATAGTTGATTCATTTTCATTTGATCTGCTTCATTTCTCTATTTATCTTTTGTTTGGCAGGTTTTGCTCCGGAACTTAGCTTAATGAGCAGATATAAAAAAATTTGAGATTCAAAATTCTAATTCATAAATATAGATAAAACAATTTAGCAAGATTAGCCAAAACCTTAATTCTCTGCTTTTTTATATCACCTGTTTCTTCTTGACGTATTTTTGAGAGCCCCTTCATGTGTAATTCCGTTTTAAGGTCTCACGTAGACTCCAATAATCGCTAGGCTCATTACGTTTCTCATGGTGATGTTCTAAAAAAAAAAAAAAAGTAGTTTTAATAGAATGGGGACAATAGACCTAAAAAAAAATATTAATAACAAATGTCAGAAATTAATAATTTTATGGCCATGACCCATGTGAGAGACTTGTATCGAGTACCCATGAATTGTCAATCGTGCACTATTTATTGTAAGATGGTAGTAGTAAGGTAAACAGGCTAAGTACGTTTTTGAATTTACTCTTTATATTAAGGACATTTTTGTGGTTAAATAAAAACCTGATTGAAGGATAGAGTCCAAAACCAGCTATTAATTTGGATAAAGATGGTGGAGGATGCTTGTGAATATTGCATTGGGGTTACTGTCATCTCTAATTGATTGAGTGAATGATTTGATTGTTGCTGCCAAGGAATCAGTATCTTGGGAAAAGATATTTGAGTAATTTTAAGTAGTCATGGCTAAAAAAAGATGTCTTGTCTTGTCATATTGAATCAAGTTACTGTTTCTTTTCTTGTTTGTTTTGCTTGCTTTATTTTCTTTCAGATTTTTTTTCTTCTATCTTTGCTTCTTTAACTGGAATTGTTGCAGAGGGACCAAATTGGGGTTTACTTAGCCGGTACAAAGTCATCAATTGTCGACTGTACGTAATATGGGATAATTACTACCAAAGACAACCAACTTTGTATTTAATAATTTATATGGCATAGACAATGGTATTAGGGTTCTTAAGCCTTATAATTATATTGTTAGGAAGAATCTGGTCTGGCACCATATACTAGCGTGGCAGAAAAAGGTTTTAAATTAGTCCATTTCTTATTTATGGTGCATGAGACAATAGTCTTGGCGGACAATTTTTTCGTAAAATATAAGCACTACTGGTGGTTTTCCAGTGACTCAATCCTCTTGGAAGTAGGGATTCAAGAGAGAATTTTGTTTTGTTTTTGAGTCAGCAGAATAGTAATTAAGGGAAAATTAATAGAGGTGATGGTTTTCTTTGCACACACGTAGGAATCAATTATTTTAGTGATTACGAGGACTTTCATTTTAAACTATAAGGAGAAGGTAAAAAATTACTGCATTTAAATCATCACAGCAGCCCCCGGTGAATTTTGATTTGAATCTTTGAGGTGGAATGAATGTGATCACATACAAGATTGAATGGATGATGCTATCATCCCTGCCCCGTTGATCAACACTTAAATGATGGCAACAACTTCTGGAAGACATGCTGCATGATCAAACATACGTACTTCTTACTGTAAAGATATGTTCTACGATGATGTTTATTAGCTACTGGCTTTGCCTTGCTTTTTCTTTGAATGTAAGTACCGCTTAACAGTCTTAGTGAATTTTGGATTTGAAACTAATAACTCTCCTTATCAATCTCAATTAGGTATACAGGAGATACAAACTATATTACCAACAAATGCAGTCAGTTGTTGCATCATTTGAAACTGTTGCTGGTCTTGGAAATGCAGCTCCTTATGTTTGTTATGCAATCAAAATTGTTTTGAAGCATTTTACTAGCTTGAAGAACGCCCTTTCGGATAAAATTCAGTTCACAGGGAAAACCTTTGATGACAGTAATGTTACCAAGGAAAAAAATCCTAGATATGGGACAGCTGAACTAGGCCTTGGAAACCAAAATCTAACCCAGAACTTGAACTTTATTCAACATCCTGTTTGGCGATCTCAAAGAGGACTTCCTGATCATGCTGTAGCTGTGCTTAAGAAATGGTTGTTTGAACACTTCCTGCACCCGTAAGTGTTTGGTGAACTTCTAAAGCTCTTTCCCATGCCATGTTATTGTGACTAGATACTGATGTTTTTATATCTGGGTTTTTACGCTTACCAGCTACCCTACAGACTCGGAAAAGCAAGCCTTGGCTCAGCAGACTGGTCTATCAAGGACTCAGGTGTGCCTTTTCTACTTATATATTCCTGTCATTCTTTAACATTATTCTGATGACTGGACTTTTACACCCTGAGAGTGATTGTGTATGGATATGCATGAATAATATCTATTGATATCTTAAAGGGCCATTCAAGCTGGATAGATATTCATATGACCACCTATTTGTTGTTAACAAGAATCAACCTAAAAGACAATAATAATGTTATTTAATAGAGCTTCAAATCTCTGTCCATGCAGGTTTCTAATTGGTTTATTAACGCAAGAGTTAGACTTTGGAAGCCAATGGTGGAAGAAGTACACATGCTTGAATCACAGCAAACTCGAGCACCATTTGAAACGGTCAATCCTAGTGCCAACATGCCATCCGATTTGTCTCTTGAGAAACAGTCCCGATCAACTCAACACCAGAATACAAATCAAACTAAACGCTCCCGAAATGAACTTCATGATGTGTCTAAGCAGGGACACGAGCCAAGAAATATTTATGGCAGCAATTTGTCAGGTAATTACCTCTCTGCTGGTGTTAGTGGAAGCAAAGGTGTTTCATTGGCACTGGGTCTCCCCCAGAACAATGGCATTGATCAATCATGGCCTCTCCCTATGAGCATACCTCACCATGTCAACCATGAACTGATTAGCTTGTTGGATTCAGCTCCAACAGGTTTTGCACTGCAAAAGCAGCATTTTGGGAAAGACTGAAGGAGCCAGATGCTGTATCATCTGTAAGCAGATATTGTGCCCGAATATATAGGATTATCTGTATTGCACTATCAAGTAGGCAGCCTCTTTATCAAATGATCAGTGGAGTAGTAGAGATGAAGAAATGTAGGAAATGGTCGGTACGCAAGATCAACTGTTGCTTTATGAGATTTGGCATTAGATTGCTTTGAACTTTCAATCATTTTCACAGTTCCCAGTGTAACAAAATTGGTTCACAAATTTTACAAGTAGCTCTATGCCATCTTCATTAGAGGATGATTAAGGTGACAAGCATCCATCCCCAAAACCAGCTCGGGATTTGGCTTCCCGATATATTCGAATAATAGCAAATAAGAGGGATAAGATATTTGATTTGATAGAGATAGCATGAAAAGAGAGAATGAACTTCCTCGGGTCATTCTCATGTCAGGATGCTGATTTCTACTCCAAAAAATTACTACTTTAACTCCATGTAAATCTGGCATTAGCTTAATCTGGAATATATAATAAATTCAGTATTGATCGATGCTAAAACTGAGTGTGTGTGTGTCTATATATATATATATAAACTTCATTTAAATCTCAAATCGCAAACTTGCAATCGATCATTTGGAACATTTGCTAAACGTGTCCTCTTAGTTCTGTTAGGAAAAAAAAAACTTATGAATAAGGTTAATTGATGTGAGGTAAAATAGTTTCATTAATTTATGGATTCTGCACTCAATCAAACCATCTACTTTATCTTATTTGGTTACCGTAGTGAACTTCACGATAAGATTGCAAGAAATAAATTTTTAATGAGAATAATGATCTGATAAGCAGGTTTTAAATTTTTTATTCAAAGTAAATTCATAAATATGTTTGATTAGAAATAATTTTTAAGTTAAATTAAATTTTGTTATTAAATTGAGTCAAAATTTTGAATTAATCAAATATTAATTTTTTTTACTTTAACTTGTGAATTATATTACATTATTTTGAGTGATTTTTACCAAGCATACTTGTCATTAAAATTATTTTATATTTTTTTTCATAAGTTATTTATGAAAAATACCTTTAAAATTATGATTCAAAGTTAAAAGTTACGCCAAACTTATTTTTTTCGTAAGTTATTTATGAAAAAAAAATTTTAAATCATGACTCAAAATTAAAAGTTATGCCAAACCAACTCCCAGTTTCGCTAAACGTCTTGAAAATACTTTCAGAGAAGAAACTAAATTGATTAAAAAAAACGATTGGTGACTAATTTATTTAATTGCAAAAAATTGGGGGAACAAACTAACAAGCAGAAATTCATGCTCGCTTGTGTTACAAGCGCACCGGCAAACGACATGCGTGGAAGTTGGTCGGTGAAGTACTTCAAAAGCGGGGGAAAAAAAAAAAACAAACAAACAACCAAACAAACAAATAGTAAATATTTGTAGGGCTAAAAAAATCAAATAGTAAATATTTCAAACCATAAAGCGATAATCTGCAGATAAATATTAATTTGTAGACTATAAATTTAAGATTTGATTTTTGTGATTAATGTTTTGAAAATCTATTCTGAAGCTAAACGAATTGATGTGTTAGAGAATATTCTTTAATTATACTAAATAACTGATTAAAAACACTTTTACCATTGGAAAAGAAATAAATAAATATTTAAAGAGAGGAAGGTCACGCGTCAGTCTATGAATGGAACGAGGATTAACCGACTAAAACCCCAACTTTAATACTTTGCATCTGTCAAATGATGACAATTACAGCTAAAGACATGGAAACTTCAACTTGCAAAAAGAATATTCCATCATCCAAAACCCTATGTAGGGAGTATTCCCTTACTTTCAAAACACTCGAATATTTTCCATTCTACCCTATCAAAATAAAATCAATTTAGATTAGCCAATAAAATTGCATCATGACGTTCAAAAGTCCACATTGCGGTGCTTTAGTAAATCAACGACTGAAACTATTGTGTTGTAATGAAACTGACTGCAGACTAAAACCATAGCAAACCCAAAACGACTTAGCTTTGGCGTCCTGGTGCTGTTTCATACATTAAAATCTAGGTAGTTTTGGAGTTTTCATGTTAAAAAAAGTGGTCCTGGCTTTCTCAGAGACAGAGAGTAAAGCAAAGCTAAAAAAGCCCTTAAACAAGACCAATAAGAAGTTATCTTGGGGTTATGGGATTTATTTTCTTCAAGAAATAATTCTGGGTTTTAATTTTTCTACTGATTAGTGAGGTAAAGTTGGGTTTTTTAGGAAAAAGAAAAGTTGGGGTTTTGAAATTTTGATGTTTGAAATAAAGATCCAATTTTGAAGGGACATAGAGAGTTATTGAGAGATGCAGACAGAGGCAAGAGTAGGAGTGGTGGTAGAGGGAGGGCCAAGGGCTCTTAATTCACAGCCGAAACAGCACAAGTCATTGCAGCAACAGCATCAGCAATCACAGATCGGGACAGTTTCGCAGCTTGTAGCTGGCGGAGTTGCGGGAGCGCTAAGCAAGACTTGCACTGCACCTCTTGCACGCCTCACCATACTCTTTCAGGTTAGTTTCTCCTATTTGAATATTTTCTTTGTTTTCTTGGCTTTTGTTTGTGTTGGTTGTTAAGCTGTTTGCTGTTGTGAATTGAGTTTTTTGTGCTATTTGTTTTTTTTGGGGGGTTTGATTATACTTGTGTTTAGAAGTGTTGGGGGTTTTTGTTCTTCTGTGGTTGCCTATGCTCTACCTGAACAAGTAAAGGAAGCTATTTTGATTATAATACTGGCTGAGGAACTGGAAATTTTGGATTAGCATCTATGGAATGATGAAAATTGGTGGTGTGACTCTCCACGTTGTATTAGACTTTATTTCTATTTGGCGTTATCTTTTCAGGTTCAAGGCATGCACTCAGATGTTTCAACATTGAGCAAAGCTAGTATATGGCACGAGGCTTCCCGGATTATTCAAGAGGAAGGATTCAGAGCTTTTTGGAAAGGGAATCTTGTTACAATTGCTCATCGGCTACCTTACTCGTCTGTCAACTTTTATGCATACGAGCGCTACAAACAGGTTGGCAAGAACATTGAATAATTACTGTTCTGTAGTCCAAAACCATTGCCAATTTATACTTTATGCCTTCATCCTAGAAGCTTGATTTTGATTATGAGTATTTGCAATGTAGTTGCTACGTATGATTCCTGGCCTTGAAAGCAATCGAGAAAACAGGGGCGGAGACCTGTTTGTACAGTTTGTCGGTGGTGGTTTGGCTGGGATAACAGCAGCATCTGCTACATATCCATTGGATCTTGTAAGGACACGCCTTGCTGCTCAGGTACAGACTTTCAGAGATAAATTTGCTATTTTCATCTTCCACCATTGGAGTTTATATTCTCCACATTCAGTCTAGTCTTTGAGCATGTCAGCTTGAGATTTAATGAGTAGAATGCAAAGGATTTTTTTTGTCGCTTCCATTTAGTCAAATTTTATGTGTAAAAAAATATATATATTATAATCAAACAATAGATAAGCATCTGTTCAGATTCTTAGGTTTCAGGTTCAGCTTTAAACCCTTGATAGAATGTTTGTTTAGGAAGGTTTTGAGAGGTGTGGAAGGGAAATGTGGGGTTAAAACCGTCCATCCTTGTTTGGCTCTTGTTATCTATAGAAGGAAAGGTGGGTCTTTGGAGAGTTCAAACACCTCAAATAATTGAAAACTAAACACCCCAATTTGGCGTGTTTAGAGGGGTTAAGATTATTGAATGACATGAGTGTCCTTAAAATAAAAATCTAACTTCCTTCCACTTATTAAGGCTATTTTTGTAATTCAATAATCGCTCCCTTTTTTGCTGACCCTCTCAGTCCCTTCCTTTCCCTTCTCATTCCCTTGCATATCTGAAAAAAAAGTTAAAAGTTTAAATACTACCATTCCCTTCCTTTACTTACCCTTACTGAGCCACTCTTCCTTACCCTTCTCTATCCAAACATAGTGTGATTGATAACATATGCATTCTTTTTGTAGTTGTCTTATTTGTTGTGGAGTTTCTGTAAAGATTAAACAATTTTCAACTTTTAAAACATTGTTAACTTGCTTGTGGTCAACTTAAATAACAAAGACCACTACAACTGGTCGAAGATTAGTTGCTTACTCGAGTGGTACTGCTTGCACAATAAAGTGTAGTCCGCACTACAAGTGTTGATTTAGCATGTTCAAGATGATGTGGAGCCACCTTTGGTGATGTGCATGATCAAAATGCCATCAATGTCAGCTCTTAGTTGCTGAATAGTATAAAAGGACGAATCTGTTGGTTTGTTTTATTCAGCTCTATATTACCTAGTCTGAGATTTATGGTAGTTCATCTGTTGGCTAGTATTGTAGTTGCCCATGGATTTCTTCCCTTCAGTAGTTGCTCTTGGTTATGACTTCTGTTACTGATTTATGGGTTTCGTGATTAATTTAAGTCTTATGTGTGATGGTCAATTTCCTCTTTTTATCTGCTTTTAAACTTGTAGTGTGATTAGTAACTGGTCATTGTATGTGCAAGTTGCTTCTTTATTAACTCTATTAGTTTCCAATTTTGCAGACAAATGTGATCTACTATAGAGGTATTTCGCATGCATTACGAACAATTAGCAGAGAAGAGGGTGTTTTTGGTCTTTACAAGGGACTTGGAGCCACACTTTTGGTGTGTTTTATTGGTTATGCTCATTTCAACATTATGCTACATGGTTCCATCATTTTGATTTGTGCTTAATTGTCATTGGACATTAATGTAGGGCGTTGGACCCAGTATAGCTATCAGCTTCTCAGTGTATGAGAGCTTACGATCTTTTTGGCAGTCACAAAGGTAAGCTCACTAGTTGATTCAGCAATATGAAAATTTCTACAGGCCATGTTATGTGCCATTTCCATGTACAATTGTAAGACCTCTTTTTTTTTTCCTCCCTACTTCATATCAGGCCCCATGATCCTACTGTTGCTGTGAGTTTGGCTTGTGGTAGTCTTTCGGGCATTGCATCTTCAACAGGTGAGTGATCTGAAGCCTGTTAAATGAAGGCGCTTTCAAAGTTGAGAGATACTGTTTTGGTTACACAAATGAAGCATGTTTTTGGTTAAACCCCAACTTTATTATCAATTCTATTGGATGGTTTCAGTTACTCATATTCCTTTTGTAGTTGTCCTTTTAATCATGCATAATATTTGGTTGGTTGGCATTTTGGAATAATTTATGCACCTATGTTACCATAAGACACAGGAACAGGAGATGTTGAGGTCACTTTGTCATTTTCACTTCTCCCAGAATTTCCTGACTAAACCATATTTTAAATAGCAGATAAGCAGTGTTGAATGAAGCTTCTGGTTTAACTGGTTACCTTTTTTTGATTAGATTATAGCACTATCTAATCAAAGAAGTTAATACATGCAGCTGTTTACTATGCTCTTGATGCAGAGAAGCAGGGTGTGGTGCAGGCTCTGCATTAAGTATCTAACCAGACTGACCCCTAGAGCCAGAGACCAGACAGGAGTTGTTTTATATCTTGCATTTGAGAATTTTAGTAAGGAAGTCAATAAAAATACTTTTTTTGCCATTCATCTGACATTATTTTCTATGTGAGAATCCTTCTTGCATTAACCTAATTTCTCCAACATTTCTTTGATAACTTGTCTCCCCAAGCATTGCAGTTGATTCCATAATAGCGTGCCACTACTCCCAGGTGAACTAGTGCTGTGTGAGAGGTATCCTCTTTGTGGTATGCTTCTCACCTAGGCTTCCTTTGCCGCCTGTAAAGTGGGTATATGTATCCTTAAGCCTCGTGATGTAGTTGTCAGGATGCTGTCTATTGGTTTCTATCAGATTTGGATATGACGCAGATTTTGTTTTCCCCTTTGATTTATCAACGACTGGAGAAAGTTTTGTAAAAATAGTGGTCATGCACATGCATCAAGCGTGCTGAAAGTTTTAACTGCTTGTGTTTGAATTTAGAACTTTAGATGTTTCTTCTATCAAATACCATGCAGCACATTATTGTCCTTTCTGATGCTTCTATTTTCTCTTAAGGTTGCTTTTTTTCACATGATTAATATTTCCTAGTATGCATGATATAAAGCTAAAAAAAATCTATGAACAGATGAGACGCAAGAGGTTCTCGTAATGTCTGGTAACCTGGTACAAGTAAAGCATGTCTTATGGTGTAAGAATAATGTTTTTCTATTGTCCTTGGAATATGCAGCAACGTTTCCTCTGGATCTTGTGAGACGAAGGAAGCAATTGGAAGGAGCAGGTGGACGGGCTCGTGTTTATACCACAGGTCTTTTTGGTATATTCAAGCACATAATCCAGACCGAGGGCTTTCGGGGTCTATACAGAGGCATTATGCCTGAATACTACAAGGTTGTGCCTGGTGTTGGTATCTGTTTTATGACGTATGAGACTCTAAAATTGCTTTTGGCAGATGTTACTCCCAAATTATAGTTTATGCGAACACCTACGGGAGTTTGCTGGGTGGCTGAAGGAATTGGTGGTTATATTGTCATGTAGAAGAATTGTTATTTCATGGATTTCCTCTTGGTGCATAATTTTGCTATGCTATCATGAGAATACATTTTTCCATGTAGATAGGCCAAACCTAAATCAGATTTCAAGTGTACTCATCATAGTTCTGACAATTCTCAAAGAAAGTAATACTAACGGCGATTCAAAATTTTTTTTTTCGGTTGTCTAATTTGTCATTTCATGATCATTTTTTTTCATGCATTCATTCTCTGCTATTTTAAACGGATTAGGTTTGGGGCAATTGCTGTTTTCGTCTCACTAGTTTGAGGTATGGTATCGCGATTATCACAGTTGTCACCTTCCTTATATGCAGCTACTCTTTCTGCTCGTCTAACTGCAGGTTGCATTTCGCATCAAGTCAAGTCAGTCATGTTTTAGCAGATAGTTGCTATTTATATTTTCCCCATACTGTGCTCAGGCATTTTTGTCATTGTAATTGTAACCAACATGCCAGTTTTCATGTAATTTTATTGGGTTGCACTCCGCCAAACTGCTGTTATAATTCCGTCATTTTCTAGTCATTTCATCTACCTATAAAGGAACCATCTCAATTCAAAAGCTTTAAGAATTATCTCAATTCAGAAGCTGAAGTTATTGGGTTAGGTATTATGATATGATTTATATTATATTTTAATATATTTTTTCGGCTTGAAACTTGCACGAAGTTATCATTATTTTGTGTTTAATTATATTTTACTTAGAAACTCTTTAACACACTATGCTGGTTTGCCTCTATTTTGTGCTTAATTATATTTTAATTAGAAAAAAAAGTGAGGTGATTACTAAGGTTTTGATGTTACGTGAAGAATTATTTTAGTTTAAAAATTTTAAGTTATTAAGTGCGGTTTTATTATTTATTAATTTCTCCATATGTATTGTTGAAAATGGTATTGAAAATGGAGGGGACACAGCACCCTTTAGGCATTACATTATAAATTCAAGTTAGAAAATGAAATATTACTACATCCATTTCTATGGTATATAGGTTTCATTGTAATCCTATAAACGCTTGTCATTTTATGGAAATGAAATGTTACTACATCCCTTTCTATGGTATAGGTTTCACTGTAATCCTATAAACCCTGGTCGTTTTTCTTCAATGGCATAAAAGATCGCTTCCATAAATCAGGGCTTATAAGACAATGTAAGTCATCTCCTACTTAAACCGTCTGATGCCCAAGCCGAGAGTCATTCCTCTAAGGACAATCAAAGATTTCGCCTCCAAGGTCATCTGAGGACTTCTGAAATGCATGACTGTTGTATGACAGAAAATTTAGAACAAGGGAAACAGGAAGGTAACAAGACGGATATTCATAACCGTAGTCATCTATGACCAATTTGGCCGAACATTTTTTGTACCACACGGATATGATAATAGGTTCAACATTTTTATTGCCAGTCGCAATTATTCCGTTAATGCGATTCGAGTTCTTTGCTTTCTCCCTGCTTCTTTTTTTTTTTCCCAAATAAACAAAGTAAGCTTTTCTATAATGTCTTTTTTGCTAATGAGAGAATGACTAGGGATGCCTGGGGCAAGAAAGAATCCCTTCATATTGTGGAACTGTGAAGAGTAAAGAATCCCTTATCATGATATGGAACTCTAATGAGTAGATTTTCTGGACATGAATCATCATAGGACCGCATGAAAATTAATCACGGAGTTGTTTATTCTTCTGTGATCAGCGCAAATATTTTGAGGAGAAATAGCAGATGAAGAAATTGTATCGGAAGATTCTCAACAAGGCAAATGTGGCACAGAGTGCGACGTAAACCGTATTCATTGACAGAGGCAATAGCAGCCCTGAATCCTCCCATAAACTGGACTAACATTACGGGCAATTTGATACATGAAATGTTTACCCAATTCATTTTCAAAGTTGGACTTCGCACCTTCCTTCGAAGAGGAAGCTATCTTGTTGGCTTTAGATCCCCGCAGTACTTGTGACTCGAGTCGAGCCACATGTGTGAGAGGCACTTGACAGATCCCCTCCTTTACAGCAAGATTGAGATCATACTTGTTAGGTGCACATGTGAGTGGTAACTATTTCATTTTGAAAAAAACAATGAAAAAGAATAGATGTTTATATATAAAATGTACCCATTAGTATAGTGTTTTTGAGTAGCAGGTGGTGTCCACTCGTGAGTTTTTGTGCGTGTAGGTCTAGTGCATATCTCTTCCAACACAGGCAGGCGATCGTGGAATATCACACTCGAATTGTTAAATACTTTCGCTGGAAGGAAAATTGTGTTAGAATGGGCCAGGATCACATGTGAGGAGAAGATCGTTTTGGGGTGGGAGTTACGTTCGAATGAACAAAACTGACATGCGAAGAAAATATTGTTTGGATGCATCTGTGAATGAGAACTGTCCCACATTGAAAAAAAAAAACAGAGAAAAGAGAGTTTTAATGTATAAGATGGATTCATGATCCATCAACCTAGATTTTTGGATTAGAAGTGGTATTCGCTCTTATGCTAGTCTTTATAACTTAAAAAAAGCTTGGAGGGCCACATTCTACCTTATTATTAAGGCGAAACCAGCCGATTATCTATTCATAGGCAAGAATGGCACCAGCAGTGTGCATCCAACCGGGATATTCCAAAAGAGAAGAACGAAAACACACAGCATGCTGTACGAATGGTTATTATCCCAGAAAGTCGAAGATCGATACAATTTCTTCTGTTTCGGCTGAGAAGAATTGGACGATGTATTCATTTTCAACATGCCACTCCAAGAACAGAAACAGATCGAGCATGTTTTTTGGTATGCATTTATTCTTGGTAACAAAGATTCCATGATTGATGATTTTCTTTCTGGTTGGCAAATCTTGAACATGACCAAATAACTACTGTCCAAGACAATAAATCATGACTAGGGAGAACTAAAATTGCCTCCAAGCATTACGTACGTTGGAAGTCCATAAAGCACAAGAATAGCAGTCACATCCCCGAGTGATCAGTTTTTGCGTAGGAGTCTCGCTGATCCTATATGTTCCTCGCCCTGGCCCATTCTGGGTGTCTTTACTATTTGAACAGAATCACAGAGAACAAACAGTGGAGCACCACATTAAACATTTTGTTCGTCAACAAAAACCTAATCCAGATTGCTAGAAATTAGTAACCAAATACGAGTCACTTGATATCATACTCTGATGACCGTCTCTTCTGAGTTCTGCGAGGCATATAACCTGGTCCGAGTATAGTAGCCCTGGACAGAACCATTATTAATCCTTTTTGTTTCAAACAATAATTATTTAATTTTTATATTTTTATATTTTCTTATAACTAAATCCTTTTGACTTTTTTTTTCAAATTATTTCAATGTTTTATTTTATGAAATAGAAAAATATATTAAAAAATAAGGAAGAATTGATAAGAAAAAATAACATTTTTAAAAAATAAGATAATGTTAAATTAAGTGTAATTAAAAGACTAAATAATTAATTATTAAAATAAAAAAAGTTAATTAATTTATTTTTTGAATATTAAGGAAATAATTTATAATTTACTCGTAATATTGATGGGGACAAAGAGACTGCCTAGGATTTTAGTGGCATGCAACTCAAAGAGTTCCAATTCGAGGATATCCCATAGTTTTTTATCACCCATCGAAAGGATTTAGTAAAAGGCCGCAGCTGCGAGCAACTAATTGCACGAAAAATACCTATGCAGCCCCATTGGATTGCGATTTCATAGGTTTTGGAGCAGACAAAAATAATTGGACAGGACAAAAATTATGAATTAATTAATGACATGTACTATTTCTGTTTCCCTGAGAATCCCAAATAGTTGCCAGTAGGTGGTTGTCCTCGTTAAGCTATGGGTGGGACACCATAGGTTAAATTATTTGAAATAAACATCATTATGATTTAATAGTAATGACATGTACATTGGATTACTATTTCTATTTCCCTAAGAATCCCAAATAGTTGCCACTAGGTGGTTGTACTCGTTAAGCTATGGATGGGACACAATAGGTTAAGTTATTTGAAAAAACATGATTTAATAGTTTTCCCCTCGATATGGATCTAATAAATCTATTAAAATTAAAGGCAAAAAAGCTCACCTAACTTTAAAATTTTTTAATCAAAATTTATATTAAATTAATTATTTCTTGTGTTTTTTTTTTTTTTTTTGTTATGTATGGATTTTTAAATAAAAATTTATAATAATCTAAAATACAAGTTTCAATTTATCGAAAATCCTAAAAAATGTATAAATTTAATTATTTATTTATAAGATTGTATCGAGAAAATAAAGTAACAATTAATTTTTAAAAAATTGCATAAAAATGTTAAGATTTAAAATAATTTTTTATAATATTGATGAGGAGATGAATTTTTAAAAATATGCATATTAGGTTTATATACATATATTCTTAAAATAATAAATAATATTAACATAAAAACCTCTATTTAAAAATTATGGTCCAGTCAAGTGTTGTTTTTAAAATATATTTTTTATTATTTATTCAAGGGGAATTGATTTCAAAATATTCATTTAAAAAAAGTAAATATTAAGGTTTTTTTTTTTTAAGTATGCACAATCAACTTATAATTAAAAAATAAATAATTTCTTTAAGGAAAGCATAAAAGTGTCTCCGGACTACAACTTGGGTCACGAAAATACAATTATCATATTATATTTATAAAATCATTTAGTTTCTTATACTCAGTATAATTCTTTTGATATAGGCTAGAATATTTATCGCAAAAAATCAAAGGAAAACACTGATTAAGGAGATCTTTGAATTGCAAAGTAAATTATAAATTAGTCTTTTTTGTTTCAAGAAATAAATTAATTAATTTTTTTAGTTTTAAAAATTAATTATTTAATTTTTTTAATCGAGTGTTGACCACAATTAATTTATTTTATTTTATTTTATTAAATATTTTTTCATCAATTTTTACATTTTTCAATTATTTTTTATTTATTTTCTATCAATTAAAACAAAAAATTAAAATAAATTAAAAAATAATAAAGACCAAATAATTAGTTTTTGAACTCAGAAGACTAATTAATTTTTGTCTCCAAACAACATGGACTAATTTATAATTTACTTTTGAATTGCAATTGCCTCTGGGACAAAAATAAAAGGAAAAAAAAAAAAGCAACGAGGGGCATTAAATACTTTGTCAAAAGCAAAGGAAATGATGAAAAAAAAAAAACAAAAGCAAAAGAAGCAAATTAAAAGTAAAATAGAAGGCAATATATATAGAATTTTACAAATCTACCATTGACATGATAGAAACTAAGAGTGAAATAGAAAGGTCCTTAGCAAAGGAAAAAAAAAAAAAAAACCTTAACATGAATAGTTAAATGAAAGAGTATGAATAGTTTATAAACAGGAAATATCTTATGTTTTTTGTAACAAGAAATGACATGATTGCAACCAAGACAACCATCTGCAAGTTGCAGGCATAAACATTCATGACCCTTACAAATATTTGAGATTAGTGCAGATTCTCGTAATTTCAAACTGGCAGCTTTATTTTTCTTGGAAGAGTCCTCTCATGAACCTAGCTTTCAGGCTTGCAAACCCAGATTTGCTAGCCTGAAAAGGGACTCGTTAGGCCATGCAATATCAAGGGTAATTCATGGTGAATGGTGCTTTACAGTTTTACTTGGCCAATAATCCTGCTAGAAGCCAGACTAACGATATGAATTAATTAACAAATTTTTTCAGCTGATTAGCACTGATGAGTCACACATTTAACAGTAAGTATGATTAAATTTTTTACCGAAAACCACTTGGCTATTCAAATCTACAGCCAGAGAAAGTAGAATCGAAATGATCTAATTCTTTCTTCTCCTCCCTACCTTGAGAGCTGCCACACCCCATTTTTGTTTTGATATTTTGTTTCCTATTATTGTTTAACCAAGGTTGAAGTTAGTCCAGACATTTGCATTTCCTTCGTATTACCAAAAACTTTAAAAAACGTGAGAGTGAAGTTGTTAACAAACTGTTCACACTCACTCATTCTACCGTGAAAATAGACACAATTGCACCGCATATATGCATTCTAGACTTTTTTCTACTGTCTCTCTCTCCTTCCACTCACGTCTCGTCTTAATCCTCGAATCTTCTTTATCTTATTAATAATTAATAAAACAATTGTCTTTTGATTTATTTCTTAACCATCTTACTTCAAATATTTACAAAAGTTTGTCGGTAAGTGCATTTATGCGATAACACTTTTGGCCCTCCAAATTTTCAGAAAAAAATGTTTAATTTCCCGGTTTATTTGTAATTTTAATAATAGCTGTCTTTGATTTACTTTTTAGCCCATTTATTTCAAATATTTACTAGGTTTTTCATTGGGTACATGCATTCGTGCAATAGCACTTTTGTCCTTTCCTATTTTGTTTAATAAAAAAATATTTAATTTGCTAGTTTATTTTTAATTTTCATACACCTCCTCATCATTTTAACTGGAAATCTCAATCTTCTATTTTTAACCTAAAAATCCTAACCCTTCATTAATCATATATAATGAATTTTTTTTTCTCTTAACCCCTCCAAATTCTACTATTTTCTCGTTAAAAAAAAAAAAAAGGAAAAGAAATAAAGAAAGAGAGAGAGAGATGAGACCATCAGTAAAATCCTCGAATTTTAAATTTTTTTTTTTTTTTTTTTTTTTTTTACAACTCATCTTTCTACAGTCTGCAAATATTCTTTTTGAAAAAAAAATTCTTCACATCTTCAGCCTGCTTTAAAAGAGAAGAGGGAAAAAAAAAAGATGAAAGATTGCTTTGAGAATATCTTTGTCATCTGTCATAAAAAAGAGAAGATGATAAAACTAATTTGAGGTGGCCAGTTTTTATGTTATTTGAGATTCTCAAACAAATTATTGATTTTATTTTTAATATTTAAGCGTCTGATTTCTTTGATTGGATTATTATTTTTGAATATTTATTCTGTAAACTTTAGGGTTCTTTTTTTAGCTAATCAATTTTGTGGTGTTTTAATAAAAAATTTATGTTATCTTTTGTAATTATTGATTTGTGGTGTTTATTTAGTTCCTTGCTGCAATTTTTATTGCGATGTTGATTTATTTTTAATTGTTTTATTTTATTGTCAATGACAACTTCAAGTGATGTCAAAAAATCTAGACAGATCAAGTTGGGTCAAGTTGTGGATGCCAATCGAGATGTAAAAAATGTAAAAAGTGTTTTATTCTTTTGTTTTCTCTTTTATGAACAGTTGACAAATAAAAAAAATATGAAAAAAGCATTGGTGTAGAAGTGCGTGATTTCTATGGTGTGTAAATTTTGGAGTTCTTTTTAGTGAGTTGATTTTATGGTATTTTAATAAAAAAAATTGATGTTTTATGCTAGATTTTGTGTTAGTTGATTTGTTCAATGTTTATTTAGTTTGTTGCTACAAATTCCTTAGCAAATCCGTAAATAAAAAAAATACCAAGCACTCTAAATCCTATTGCTTGAAATATGTGAACTAAGGTGCTAGAAACATATAAATAAAGTATAAGCTTCCATCCCATTTTATTTTTTATATTTCTAATTATATTATTTTTAAGGCGATATATTATTTAATATGCACATTATTATCTTATTTTATTACTCTTTTATGTATTTATAATTTTTTTGTTTTTTATTTTAATTACTGCAATGAGACATCTATTAGTGAGTGGCACGGCTCGACCTTTGAATCTAGGAGGCATATTAGGCGGCATTTATCCATTGATATACCCCACGAAAACAGTGGGGCCAAACCAGCGACACGTCAAAAATTTGTTCCTTCTGATCACGAGACCATCCAAGGTGCCACGTCTGTCCCCCAGCCTGGGATTATAAAAAAGCGAACCGTCACCAAAAAAATTCGAAGAGCTTGCTTTTAATGAAGATATATTCCAGTCACTTCCTTAGTTCCATCAACAAAACGCGTTTCTCGATGCATGTTACCGTCAAACCACCTATGGGTGACATCAAAGGACGATAATCACTTTGCTTGTCAATCCAAGGCAGCTACTGTCAAGAGGAAAAGATAATTCCATCCTTCCTATCATCCATACTGTACAAATTCTGCCTGTACAAGAGCCCTAACCATCAAGGTTTCAGATTTCCAACTTCTAGCTACTCTTACGTTGGAAAACCAGATTTCAAAATTCCTCAGTTCTGACGAAATTCTAATTAAGAGGGATCCTTTTTATTTTTTATAGTTGCCAATTTGACATTACCTTTTTATTTCTCATACACGTACACTCTGCTATTCCATAACAAATTAAGCACAGGAGATTTGCAGTTTTCAAATCATTAGGTTGAGGTATTTCATGGTCAGTCACAGCTTTATTGCCTTGTGATTTGCAGTTGCTCTTTCTGCTTGTCTTAGCTAAAGATTTGTGCAGAGTGTGAGTCAAGTCAGCATGCTTTAGCATAGAGTTGCTGTTTATATTCTCTTTTCGAGAATTTTAAAAATATTCAAAGACTAATTAACAATAGTTGTTTAGAACCATTTTAAATTTAAAATGAGGGACAAACACAAAGAAAACAAAGAAAATCACATCAGAACCCAAAAAAAAAAAAAAACCATAAAATATTTCTATCTAGATCCTATTCCTCTCTCTTTTATTTGTATCTCTCTTCTATTAAGTATTATTATATACCCCCTGGAGTAACATAAAATTTCTCATTCAGTTACTGTAACGAACGATGTAAATTTTCATGGAATGTTATTGGAGTCCACTGCACAAACAATAGTTGTCTAGCACCGAAAAGGGTTGGGAGAGACAATAACAATCAGACCTGCACTTAGAAATTCAAGTCCCTGCATATTGAAATGTGACTACATCTCCCTTCTGGGATATCAGGTGCACACCACAAATCTAACAAATCATACCTGTTTTACAGACCTTGTCCGCCTCCTACATCACCCACTTGATATGCATGCTAGCAGGGTTTGCCTCAAATTCTATTGATGTGTTTCTCACGAGTTACTAAAAGCTGAACCAAAAGAATCCACTTAATGACATTATTGAACTTGATTTATAAGAATAGGATACAATAATTTATTGTTTAACTTGAATAGATTTCTTGGACACGCATCATCTTGGACCCCATGAAAATGAAGGGGGAGCTGTCCAAATCTTCTGTGATGAGCTTAATCCTTTTTGACGAGCACCAAACAGTGTCATCAGAAGGGAGTAAGGAAAATAAGAGAAGCATGCATAAGCTTTGGAATTATAATGGGAAACTGCCAGTAAGGCGTATGTGGTCCAGGGTGCGACGTAAACCATACTTGCTGACAGCAGCACTCGCAGCCCTGAATCCTTCCCCATAAGCTGGAGAAGCATCGTGGGCGATTTGATGCATGAAGAATTCACCCAGTTTATTTTCAACATGGGACTTCCCGCCTTTCTTTGAAGAGGACGAGGAAGAGGAAGAGGAAGGGGTTGATGTGGATGTGGATGGCATGCCTTTAGATCCTGGCAATTCCGATTCGAGCCACATGTGTGAGAGCATTTGACAGATACCTTCCTCTACCTCAGGATTAAGATTGCGGTACCCTACGTTATCAAAAGAGACATGAAGATTGCAACAATGAAATTTACAAAAGGCTTTTTCAAGCAAAATTCAATCCGGCAGCTTTCTACCTTTGAGGCGTAACCAGCCATGCATCAACTCGTGAGCAAGAATAGCACCAGTTAGCAGTCTGCATCCAACAAACTATCAAAACAAGTAGACTACAGAGGAATACTAAAACATGCAAATTTCCAACAGAGGACAAAGAAATAAATTAAAAGTAAAAGTTCAGCATGGAAATGGTTGATTTTCTATCAAACAAAAGATTGATCGAATTATGCAGGTTCAAATCAGCCGATTTTATCTAACTTTTAGAGTAATACAGGAATTCTTTCACACCTCTCCAAAGAAAAAGACAAATAATATATATGCTTGTGCGTTGTGGTTGAAAATTTTCTTGGATACGGAACCTCACTAATCACCAATGAAATTTTGCAGAAAATTTGGAATAATCACTCATTTTACATCCACTTCAAGGATAGTGCATAATATACTGCCTGCATATCCTTTTATTTTAACAACAAGGATTGTTTGATCCGTTGTCGAAGGTTTTGCCAAATCTTAAAACATTACCAAAACCACAATAACAAAATTAACTGCAGAGAGAAGAACTAAAAATTGCCTCCGAGTATTACCTTGGAAGACCATAAAGTACAAGAATAGCGGTAACTTCACATTTCCGATTCAGTTTTCGGGGTTCAGTTCTCATTCCTATCAGTCGGTGGCCTCCAATTCTTGGCCTCTTTAGTATCTGGATAAAATCAGAGAGAAAAGTCATGGCAAGTACCATGTCAAACGTTTTGTTCCTCGGTCATAAACCCAACATAGATTATTAAAACGAAATCAAATAGTAGAGTTATCCAATATCATACACTAGTGACAGTCTGCTCTTCAGAGAGACATAGCCCCCTTGTCTCAGGCATATGGTGGTAGCCCTGGAAAGAACCATGTCTAAATAAAAGCAATTTCACAATTCACAAGATTTTAAAAATATGTAAGAGACAATACATTACATTCTTCTCTCCAACAATGGCTTCATTAAGTGCCTGTCTTTCAACAAGAAGCATTGGAATTTGCTGATCCAGTTTCATATTCATTCCTTCGTAATAGTCCCTGATGGCGTGGTAAAGGGGTTGGCAATCACCAGTATCCATGATAGCCGATTCCATGCATTCCAGACACAAGCTGCGGCCATCTTCCAAAAAATAGTATCTTGCGTTCCAAGACTTTGGGTGGATGATAAATAAAAAAGAGAAGAAGAAAACCAACAGCCACCATAAGCAGACAAAATTAATGTCAGTAATGAGCACATTCCCTTCTCCAAGATTGTTAAGAGATTATACTGGACAATCAACTACAGCATCAACAAAATAGAAAATCCTAATGAATAGTTTGTTTTACAAATTTATATACATACCTCCAGACGTTCACAGCTGCAGCATCTAGCTGTGCCGTCATGCTCATGTGATGGACAATACTTTTGGGACCAAAATGGATGGCACCTATACTCAATCAAACCAGCTGGATTTGTAGGGATCTGAAAACATATAACGGAAATGTTCTAGATTATGCCTATTATAAGTTACAAACTAAAAGCTCGAAGAAAGTGGTTGACATGAATCGGAAAACTAGCACAGTATGTTAATTAAAAAGCAAAAGTCACAAGTGAACGAGAGTTAATTTTCTTACAAATTGATGGCAGACTTCACATTTGGGATGAGTTAACTCTTTGAAACAAGACTTGTGATATGGATCATTCCCTGACAAAGAAAACTTGGAACAGAAAAATAAGTTAAAAACTGGATGAAAATTTTCTTATCTTTATTTGAATTGCTTACATTTATATGCAATTTCGGCATCTGACTCGATTCATTCACAAAAGTTAGGGGACCGTGAAAATTTTCATTAAATTAGTTTGCTTTAAAGAAGATAGTAAGATACTCATGATCCTGAGAAGAATTATTACCTCGGTCTCAGTGATTGAGTAACCACAGGAACAACAGCGAAAGCACTCCGGATGAAAATATTTTCCCATGCATCCCAAATAATTACCGAAGCCAATGTCACGTTGGCAGCCACCACATAACCTTCAAGTCCAGGCATACCATGCATAACCAATACAATTTGAGGATGGAATATTTGTAAATTTAAAAATGGAAGTTGCCATTTTTTTCTTCATTTTCTTGTTAACAGTGATTTCGTTACTCTTAAATTGAATGAAAGATTCCTGCAGAAAATATTTAAAATGGCATGCAAAACGTAGGCTGCAAGCACAGCACATAGACCCATATCATTTCTATCATAATTTGAGCAAAAAGTTTGATGACCTGCAATAATTCTGCATCGCCATAGTTACCAAGAAGTTAAATCATTAGCTTCTCTGTATGTGAACAGAGAAATCAAATGTTCTCTGACCTTTATAATGAAACATGTATACTAATTTCCAATAAAAGCTGTCACAAAAATCCAGCCAAGTTTCCACATTTGAATTTCAAGCAAAGAATGTAATTCATATTGTAACAATACATATGTTTTTAGATTATCCTTAAGTGTTCTTTCTTAGTTCATCAAGGATAATTCATGAATGTAGCTAGACTTGGATAACTGCCCTCCCGTTTCATCAACCATGCTGTAAGCCAATTACAAAACACCTAAAGTTTGGTGTGCGTGCTTATGAAAATGTATTCATTGAACTGAGTCACTTATTAGTTATGGCTAAATTATAAGTTTTACCTATAACTCCTTGGATAATATTGCGTAGTACCATATGGAGGACATGAAGATGAATTAAGGTCATCCTGAAGCGACCTTGCTAGATCTTCATCATTCATTCCCCATCTATATCCTGCAAAACAGTTATTGAATGTTTATAGAAGTCCCAAGAATAGCATATACTCATAAAAGAATGTGCATATGTTCGTGTGTATACAAAATATATGAAAGGGAAGGAAGCAAAACCTCACCACTTGGTCTCTTACAATCTTCAGCCTTAGAAAGTGCAATAGCATGATCTAATTCCTCCTCCTCCTTCCCAGCTCTAGAACAGTCATCCTGATAACATTATAGAAGCTAATTGAAACTCTTTTCCCTTCTGAGCAACCAATATGAAGAATTCAATTTGCAATTCTTTGAAATGCATGAAGGAGGTTTCTTCCTTTTCATATTTTTCCTTTGTGCCCATACAGTAGGATATAAACCACACAGTTGCTCCACTAGCACCAGAGCAGGATAGTTAAATTAAAATGTGGGGGGTATAAGTAAATAACCTTAGACTGTTAAAATACGTATGATTAATATGGTTTATAGTCAAAGCATACCATTCCAACCAGCATTATTACCTAAAATCTCTTGCAGGTTGCACTGTTTCAGAGTAATGTCAAAGAGTATCAGCTAAAATTAATACATACTAGATGCTGCACACGTCAAAATTGATAGGATTTTAACTCTTATTTACCACCGAATATAAAAATTATGTGACGAGACAGGTTAAAACCAAATGAGCATACAACCTCTTTTCAGTGATATAGAAATATCACCAATTATTTTACAGGATTTCCGTGTAAAAAAAAAATCCACCATCATCTCTAATTCTCTTAACCATTTTTGTCTATATTGTAGTGTAAACATTTGCACAAGGCCAGTGGATTGCACATAAAGTAAACTTTTGACGATAAATATGATGTGTGGAAAGGGAATCTCTAGCACCATAGTAACTATAACATTTTCCCAAAAGCATGAGCTTGTCAATCCAACTATAACATGCCCTTTAAAAAGGGAGGAAAGGAAGACTAGAAAGTGATTGGCATAACCCATCAGAAAAAGGACAAAAACGAGTGGCAGAAAGAAATTATTGAAGTTAGTGCACATGTCCGATCCATCATCAAGAGGGTGAGGAAAATCATGATACTGGTATATTTACAGTTATATGCACTGGTTAGCTAACCAAATAGAAAAGACAATTAATATCTCACAATATGCGACGACATGATGTTTATAATAATAATACTTATGCACTTAGAATGAAAATAGAAAGGAAAAGGACATTTAAAAAGTTACCAGAGATCTTGCTGGTGCACTCCAAACCATGTTTTCTTCCCCTAAAAGCTGTGGATGTGCCCGCCCCCCGCCACCACCACCACGAGCACCTCCACGACTAGACCCACTTTTAAAAAGCTTACCCAGCCATTTCATAAACCGAGATTTTCTCTCTGCGTACGAAGAAACAAAGTCTCCTGCTTAACATAACATCCCAAAATAACCCCACAGCCACCCCCGCACAAACACAAAACAGCAGCAAACAAAAAAGCCAAAAAAAAATGAAAAAAGAATTACTTAAAATAGCCAAATAGATATAACTAATACGAAGCAGCAAATGATCAAACAAGATGGAGGCGAAAATACGAAAAACTTGACGATAAATAGAGAATTAATTAATAAAATCTTGTAATATCCATTGAACAATAAAAAAGACTAACAAAAACATACCGTAAATGCAAGGATTAGAAATATGGTGGACACCTGAATTAGGAAGAGCCATGAGATTGAAATAAAAGCGAAGTATGTACAGAGTTTCGGCGGAGTAGTGAAAAAGGAAGAAATCAAGGGCGAAAATGAAACGCAATAAATGATGAAAACGACGCGGCTTGGGGGGAGAGAGAGGAGAAAAGGAATGAAGAAAAGAAGAGAGGGACAATTAATAAGGCAATAGGCATCGCTAATTAAAAAGTAAACGAAAAAGAAAAGAAAGAATCTGATGAGGAGAAAGGGAAGTGATCGAAGAGAGAAAGAGATTCTTGGCTTGAGAAAGGAAGGAAGAGAAAAAGTACTGATCAGTGTTTGTGATTACAGAAAGAAGGATTTAATAGAGAGAGAGAATCTGCTGAGGCGGAAGTGACGGTGCAGGTGAACGGCTTACAGTTGAAAGAAAAGATCAGAGGTTTTTTTTTTGTGTATATGGATGGGTTGGATAGAACTGGAGAGAATTTTTGTTGCTGTTGCTTTGCTTTTCAATTTTTGAAAGGAATTTTGCCCGCTAAAGGAATTTCGTGTTTTAAATGACCGTAGCGTTCTTTTAAATTGCCAAAATGCCACTCAGAGAGAAAACTTTTGGTGGACCCCAGTCAAAGATAGGAATATCTGTTTTGTCGGAAAAAAAATTCCTTATTATTTTTCCTTCAATTTTATTTCAGGCATTGGTTATTCGGTTTGGAAGATAAACGGATTTTTTGTTGCATGTTAGCAATTTGGGATCGATTTCAAAAAATTATTACGCGATTTTTTCTTCTTATACATCCTAGTGAAATCAAAATTTTAAATATGGAGTGTCAAATTAATCGTTTAGAATAGGATACACTTTAAAATAAAATAAACCAATAATGACTATGATAATAATTAATTTTTTTATGTGCAAAATGCATATTTTCTCGTAAAAAACTTGCCAAATTTTGGACTTCTTATGCCATATAATTACTACAAAAATCACAAATAGAGAAAAATAGTCAGTGTAACGGGTTATTATGGATATTATGTAACAATTTTAATTATTGTGCTTATAAAATATTTATCAATATAAAAAAGAAAATATGAAGCCTTTCTCTTTTATAATTTTTTAATAATATATGAATCAATTCAAATCAAAAAAATTGTTTTTTCATAATTTTAAATGTGTTGAAAGCATACTACATGTGTAAGAATATAACAGAAAAAAAAACCTAATGGATCAGTTTCAATCTTTTTTTAATGCAACGTTGTTATGTTTGTGAATAACGATCGTAACAGATGCAACGGCCAAAACAATCCCTAAAATAATAAATTCTTAAAATCAATGGGTCATAGCTCATGATGTAATGAAATGCAAAATTTATATTATGTAACGACCGATGCATTATACAACGATTGTTTTTTAAAATCATTTACCTCAACCATACATGCACCAATTTGATTACCTAGGAAATACACCATTTAAGTTCATACATAAAATTTGATTAGAGTATATCCGTACCATTGAAACAAATAAGAATTTCCATACATAAAAGTTGATTAGAGTATATCCATGCCATTGACACAAATAAGAATTTCCTCTAGCTAAAATATTATGGGCAAAAACAATAAAATGCTAGATTGACTTATGCTTTTTTCTTAGGCTGCAAATGCATGCATCGTTATATGAAAAACATTTTATGCATCGTTATTTACATGTGTGAAGAGAAGTCAAAGCAAAATAAAAGCTTGTAAACTATAAATTTTGTTCGTTTTCTTCTCGGAAAAAGCCAAGTCTTCTCCTTGCTTCTTGTCATGCATATGTCAACCTAATTAATTACAATAGTCGATAGATTTTGATCATCTGGGTCTCAAACTAAGTCTACCCTCTAATTCTAAAGAATCCTGAACTAGGCATCTAGCTCGACCAGTCATCATCAACCCCTCAGCTCGACAATAATTATGCATGCAGGACTTTCGCCACGGTCCATAGGGCAAGCAGGTGTGAAGCTTTGAGGGAAAGATCAGGAAGATTCGGTGCATAGTCTATTCATATCGGCCAGAAGTGCTTTTGCCGCCCAAGAATCACTTTATGTAGCGAATTAAGGAAGTGTGAAGGGCAATCTGAATCAAAAACGAAACTCCACTCCGCTTCTTTTTTTGTTCTTTTCCTATACGGAATTTATACATTCTCTGTTAGGGAAGAATTGGATCAATGAATAAAAGATGCATGGTTGCCGATGCCAAGGCCCTTTTTTACCAAAAAGAATTGGCAGAATACGTTAAATATATTTGATTTATAACTGTTTAGATTTTCTTCACATATTCGAAGATCATTAACGAGACAATGGAACATAATATATTTGGATGAACATATTCTGCTTTAACTTTCACGTTGCATGATTCTTTTTCTGGTTTCTTTGAGAGAAAAAAAATGTGTTTTTTTTTTCCTTTTTCTTGGATGGATAGGAAAATTTTAAATTTCAGGGAAAAGTATGTGGCTTTAACATTTCGGGAAATGAGGGTCTCTTTTTTCCTTTCGTCGTCATAAAACAGAGGAAAAAGAAAACATTTTCCTACTTTTCCTTCTAAACAATCTTAAAGGCGAATCAATCATGACGAGTTTGACATTTTAAATTGTACGCAATCATGTTATTTGATACGGTTCCCACGTTCTTACGAGATAATGAAAGTGGAACGAGATTTGATTTTTCCTTAACTGGTTTATATTGGAGAGGTTCGAAAAAAATACGTGCTTAGGGTGGGCTAAAAAATGATTTTTAGGATCTATCTATGTTACTTGGATTTGGATTGTGATTGCTTGATCCTTTTATGGTATAAAAATGTTTATTTTGAGCGAATTCCCATAGTAGCAAATTCAAATTCATTGATAGTTGTATGGAATATAAAACATGGACACAGATACGAGATATGATCAGTACGACATGATAATTTTTAAAAATTTAGAATACTATATATATAAGAGATACATTAACTTTTTAAATATCATATAAATAAATTATAAAAAAATAACATTAAAAACCAATATAATTAACCAATAATAATGTATAATAAATTGAATTCATGAACACACATGAGTTGTTAAGTAAAAGGATAAACATCATGTTATTTATATTTTCTTAAAATAAAATAAATTTAGATATCCAAGAATCAAGTTATCTTGATAATTATTATGATGATAATAAAAGGATTGGTGATAATTTCTTTTTTTCTTTAATTTAATTATCGCTATGCATTGACCCCTTTTCAATTTTTATTCGACAAAAAAAATTAGATATTTTTTAAATTTAAAAATAAAAATATTGTACCTTTCTTCTAATCAAAAATACAAAAATTAAATTATAACTTTTTTTTATTTTTATTTAAAATATTTTTTTTCAAAAACAAATATGGTCGTTTATTTTTATTACAAAAATTAACATATTGAAGTAAGGTTTTATTTAGTTATAAATGTTTAAATATTTTAATTTATAAAAAAACTTAATAATATTAGAACCATTTTTTTTTTAAAATTTTAAGTTTAATTCAAAAAAATCCTAACTATATCTCTTGATGTATTATGAACGTGCATCCGTTACGTATTATGACCATTACTAATACTCTAAAACAGATCGCACTTTTATTGTGCATTCTGTATAACCAATTCTTTACGCTAGAATCTTTGAATCGGTATTCATTTTAGGTTCTTAGTTCCTTCAATACTAGGTGACGACTCCAAACTCGTAAATAAATTTGGTACATTTTAGATTTTTGGAGAGTTCCGTCTAACGTCGGTTAGCGACGTAATAACGACTCAGCTGAGGAGTTAGAGTTAGGCCATAGATTTAGTTTGTTAAGTTTATTTCATGTATTTGTTTTTTATTGTATTTTTTATTTTATTATTATTATTATTATTATCATTATTATTTTGCAAATTACTAAGTAAAATGAAAGAAAAAAATTAAGATAACAAAAATGAAAAAACTTAAAATGAAATAAAAGAAAACAAATAACCAACTAAAAATAAAAACCCCGAAATTTTGGTTATGATAGTACTCACTCCTTTTTTCCTCTTTTTTTTACCCTCGTATTATACTATTAACTCTTAGGTGTTTTTGTTCTTTTTAAATTTTCACTCTTGGTTTTTTTTTCCTTCTTTTCTTAGTTTTTTTTTTATATATAATTTTCAAATTATTTCGTTTTGATTTTTTATTGTAATTTTCACTCCTACTTTTTTCCTTAGTTTTTTTTTTTAATTTTGTAAATATTTTTTTTAATCCTTGAAATTTTAAAATAAAAATTTTAATCCCTAACCGATGCACTACATACCGTTTCTTTTTTTCTTTGAATTTTTCACCAATTTATGTTCTTTTTTTTTAATTGGGTGTTAAAATTTTTTTAAATCAAATTATTACCTTTTTTTTCCAATACGAACCGACGATTATATAATATATATAAATCAAATATATGTACTTTAAAAAAATAATCTTCTCATCAACATTAAATAAAAATATTTTATTTTTTCATTGGTTAATTTTTCCGCAAGTCTATACATTAATTGTAACTTTATTTTTTGGATATATTCTTATAAAATAATATATTTTTAAAGCATTTGTGTTTTATATTCTTAATTAATATTTCAGGTTTAAATTATATATTACAAATTTTTATTTAGGAATCCCTAAATAAAGAAAAATAAATTATTTTTTTCAAGCAAAAAATTTGTGAAAAACACAAAAAATAGTAATAATTAGTGAAAAAATTATAAAATTTTGAAATGATCTTGTTCTATCTATCGTAGTGTTGCGTTGATAATTTCATAAATTAATCTTCTCATCAGTATTAAATAAGAATTTTTTTTTCATTTGTTAGCTTCTACAAAAGTCTATCTATTAATTATAACTTTATTTTTTTGAAATAAAATATTATGAAAAATTTATTCTTAAAGTTTTTTTAATTCTAATTAGAAGATTTTTTTTCGTCCATAAAAAAAAATGACTTATGTATTTTTAAGCAAAAGAATTTATAAAAAAACATTAGAAAAAGTTAATTAAATAAGAAATTATAATTAAATTTTTTAAAAATTTTAACATGAGTTTTTTCTACTAGATTCGTAGCGTAGCGTGGATAACCGACTAGTGTTATCTATGTATCTAGATTTGAATATTTTTTACTATGTTTTTTATTTGTTCTCAATTACATCCGAGACGGATTAGGCCATATCCGATGCACAGTTGTATCCAACATTTGTCCGACATGGATACACATTTTTTAATTGTCTGTGCATTTTAGTCTACAAATTAGTTATCTAAATTCAACTCTCTCAGTTTTTTTTTAATCAATTCGCACTAATTATTTTATTTTAGGATAAATAAATTCATATATTTTTATATAATAATCAAAATCTATCATAGATCTCTAAATTTCTAATCGCATTCCATTTATGTCTAAATTTGTTTGAAATGTTTAATATGTTTTTTTGATCTATTTTTTTGAATATATAATTTTTTTTTAACCAAAATTCTTTACTAAAATACGAAAAAAATATAAAAACCCTTAAAATCACATAATCTATATATTTTATTTTTACATTTTAATCGGAGCATATCGAAGAAAAATTATTTAGCCAAAAATTGATCGGAATGAAAGATTTAACATTTTAAACATTTTAAAAAACAAATGAGATACAATTAGAAATATATAAAAGATTTTAAACATTATATAATGACAAATGAGTATATTTATTCTTATTTTATAAAAACTTAATTTAGTTTATAAACGCGTTTATTCCGTGCTATCATGCTCTAGTGTTTAAATCTTAAAATAAGTGGCGATGAAAAATTTAGGACCGAGGAACAAGATTAAATTCCTCTTCGCATTTTGAGCTAATATAAGAAAGAAATATGGTATGAGTATAACCTTTCATGTTGTGGTGTATTTGATTACTTTATGCAGAAGTTTTATCTCCCATAAAAATAAGAAGTATCCTGAGGATTATTTGTGGGTTCCCTTTGTTGAGAAGCAGGGTCATGAGTCCATTACCCCAGAGGATCCATTAAACTTTTCTAAGTCATGATTAAAGGAAACTAATTAAGAGCAAAGACCAATTTGTGATTTGGGCCAAACATTTTCGGCCTACGTTTGTGGGAGATTTCGGGACTTTCTGGTAAAGCCAAACAAAGAGATGGGCTTAATCTCATCTTAAACTGAATCCTAATACTATGTATTTATTTCTAAAGCCCAAAAAGAAAAGAAAAATTACGACAAAGAAATTCACCATTCTGTTCCACTGAAGAGCCTTCAAATTATACACAATAAAAAGATTACTAGAATACTAGGTAGCTCCGCCGCATAGAAGTTGCAGCCGTCTCCCATAATTCTTTTTTGTTTTTGTTTTGGTTAAACACTTTTCCCTGCTTCCCCAACATGTATAAATAAATAAACAAATACTATTAAATCTCCACTCTCTTATTTGTCCTCTGTTTACCACTCCTTTTTTTTTTTTTTTTTTGGCTTTTCAAAGCCCCACACAACACTCAAAAAAACCACAAGAAGAAGACTGTTTAAAAAGGGGGGATAATCTTTGAAAACTCTTTTTTGATTTCTAGGGTTTGTTATAAAAAAGAAAGCCAGAGCCGTTGAAAGAGGAGGGGAGATCGGATGGCTACACAGGGGCAGGCGGTGATGGACCCCGCTGTACTAGATGATATAATCAGACGGTTAACAGAAGTCCGATCAGCCAGACCAGGCAAGCAAGTTCAGCTTTCGGAGGCTGAGATCAAGCAACTCTGTGTTGCTTCTCGTGAAATTTTTCTTCAACAACCCAATCTTCTCGAGCTTGAAGCCCCCATCAAGATATGCGGTACGCTAAATTTACCCTAAATTTTTGTCCTTTTTGTTGTTTTTCTGGTGGGTTTTGTGTAATTTTCTTGATGGGTTATTTTTCTTTTTATAATATATAAGATTGGAAGTGGAGGAGACTGTTTTAAGAAAAGGAAACTTTAGGTTTTGTGATTTTTTCTTCACTTCTTTTCGTTACTGCATTCCTAAATTTTGTTTTGTTAAATGAATGAAATTGGGGTTACTGAGTACTGCTGTTATTGAGTTGTGAAAAACTGGAACATATAAAACCCTAAAATTCCCTAGTGCTGAATGAAATTGGATGCTGTGTTTAGTGCCTTGCGAGTTTCGACAAACCTCTGGAGCTGGCCATGTTTGTAAAGTAAACAAGTTTAGACTTCTGCTTGTCTTTTTTTTTTTTCAAATGCAATGATTCGTGCTTTAAAATTCAAGTGAAATTATCAAGCTCGAAGGCGTTCCATGGATTTGAGAAATAATTGGTATTTGAAATAATAGAAGGCGACTATTCACCTTCGAATATTCAGCTAATCTATTGCTCGGAGGGTAGACTGTTGCCATTGTTGAATACTTGATTTCTGTGTTGTTCTACTATAGCCTGGATTTGTTTCATCTGACTCTGTCAAGATTTTTCTTTGTGTTTCAGGTGACATTCATGGGCAATATAGTGATTTATTGAGACTTTTTGAGTATGGAGGTTTTCCGCCTGAGTCCAATTATCTATTTTTAGGGGATTATGTTGATCGAGGAAAGCAGAGTTTGGAAACCATATGCCTTTTGCTTGCATATAAGATTAAATATCCAGAGAACTTCTTTCTTCTAAGAGGAAACCATGAATGTGCTTCTATAAATCGGATATATGGATTTTATGATGAATGTAAGCGGCGCTTTAATGTGAGGCTATGGAAATCGTTTACTGACAGTTTCAACTGCCTCCCTGTTGCTGCTTTGATAGACGACAAAATATTATGCATGCATGGTGGTCTTTCCCCTGATTTGACAAATTTGGATCAAATCAGAAACTTGCCCCGGCCAACTGCTGTTCCAGATACTGGTTTGCTGTGTGATTTACTCTGGTCTGATCCTGGTAGAGATGTTAAGGGATGGGGGATGAATGATAGAGGAGTTTCATACACCTTTGGTCCTGACAAGGTGCAAGAATTCTTGACAAAGCATGATTTAGACCTTGTCTGTCGTGCACATCAGGTTGTTAACTTTTACTCAGTTGCCCTATTCTGTTTTACTTACTCATGCCTCTCTGTCTGGACACTGAACTGATGTTTTTTTTGGTTTTTTTTTTTTGTCTAGGTTGTGGAGGATGGGTATGAATTCTTTGCCGACAGGCAACTTGTTACCATATTTTCAGCTCCCAACTATTGTGGTGAATTTGACAATGCTGGTGCTATGATGAGTGTTGATGAAAATCTGATGTGCTCCTTTCAAATTTTAAAGCCTGCAGAGAAAAAAGCTAAGTTTATGATGTCAAACAAAATGTGATGGCTGCAATATTATTGGTCCCTGGTCTTATCAAGGTAAGCTTAATGCCATTGCCTTTTATGATGTGATAGGGATATCATTGTGATTTATGCATGTTTCTATCTTGTTGCTATCCCAGTTGCTCTGTTTGGGTTGATAATTTTGTCAATTTCCATACCCGAATTTAATGAATTCCATTTATCCAATACAAATCATCTTCCGCATAAATGCTTTCAAGATATGAAATTTGCCTTCAATTGTTATGGATTTGCCGCATTAGAGATTTTACGTGAGTGGCAATCAACTTAGTAGATGCCTTTTTAGCTCCCACATCTTTTTTTTTTTTTTGACCAATTTCCATGCATCTGATTGTCGTCAAAGTGATAGCAGTTGTTCTTTGGAAGCAAAAATAATTTGAATAAGACAATGTAATTTGGAGGACAAATTTCATTGAACTACCATCTAAAGCTGTGAGAAGAAAGGATATCACAATAGAATGAGGAACTTGTTTATATGTATATGTACATGAGGACACTTGGCGGTTGTTTAAGAATTTTCATCTGCATTGGATTACATTTAGTTATGTATGTTAACTTGCACCATTGCAATATCTTTTCTGGTTGTCTACTTTAACAATCTTCTTTTTGCTTATCAATGCCTTAAAGTGAGGGTGCTTCAACTTTCAAGAAGATGAAATCTTTGTCAGTGGGGTGGTCTGTGCTATGGGATTGAACTACAGTATGATCACAATCTAGTCACGCTTTCGAATCATTCTTGTGTTTTCATTATGAAGAAAATTAATGCAAGTATTGGCTGTTGGAACGCCAGTTAAAACTGCATCAATTTTGATGCAGTTGATGTGTAGGTGTTGTCAGAACTTTCAGACAATTTTTAGTCTGATGATCAGGGAATGTAAATGCTATTATTTGGTTTAAAACATTGAAGTAACATAAATTATTTTTTGCGCATCACATGTTTTTCACAGGAAACAGTAGGAAAAGTGGGATCTTGTTTATTCAATTTCTAAGTTGTTTCATCCATCTGGGTCATGGAAGCTTAAGAAACAACTTAGAAATTGGATAAATAAGATCCCAGTTTTCAAGCTCCAAATTCAAATTAGATTCATAGAAACAGGCAAAGGTCTAGGAAAGGCTCTTTTCCTTTTGCCGAATTATTTATGATGCATTCATACATAAAAACACACCTTCAAACATATACTTGTATATTCAGTTAGTACACTTTCCAATTATGTCGTAACCTCCGGGTCAGTATCTATGTTGTTGGTTATTTAACCAAAATTCCTAACCTATCGGCCTGACTTTTTATACTGATTGTTTTTTTCTCCCAATTTTGGCAGGGAAACTGGCTAAAATTGAAAGTTTTCAGGTTTGAGTCTGCTAACTGTAGGAGATTGAGGCATGACTCGTGCATTATTTACTGGTTGGTTGGGGGAAAGCTTTCCAAATCATGTCTGGTGGCACATGGTGTGCGGTGTACCGAAAGTCGGAAGGAACTGTTCTGTTTTTTTTTTCCCGCATCTAGTCATTACTTTTCTCTGTAGTTCTTCTTACTCGTGCGTGTGTGCATATATTTGGCCTGGTAGTAAAACTTGTGTTTGGGCATCAAAATTGGCCACACCTAGCTCTAACCTTTAGTTCCAAGTTTCCTACTCTGTTCCCATATTTGAGTTATTTGCCTTTACATTTAGGCATGTATTCTCATGCTTATGATGGCCTATATAACGTTTGGTCTTTTCACCGACCGTCCATGTTCGTTGCCCGATATAGATCCAGTACACGCGTACGCTTAGCTGCTGATCTTTTCACCTCCTGACCTCGAACTGCTGAGAAGTCTTTGTAGAAGAGATTTTCTTTGTAGAAGAGATTGTTTGGACGCTATTGTCTAGTGGCTTCTGCATTAGCTCGGCCCAGGTGGAATTTTTCAAGAACTTGATGCGATGTTGAGTGTTATTTGATGTCCTGTCTCACACCCTTGGACCAGATTAAAGTTGATAGTCCAGTCAATGGTATATAGAGTTGGTTCTTTTATATACTCGCCCAGCTTAGACGGCAGTAGTTATTTTTTACAATAGAATCTTCCTGCTTAATTGGAAAAGCATTTCTGGGCAAATGATTCCGAAGGAAACGAGGCAAATGCTTGCCCATTATTGTTGAAGGTTTTGGTTCTCTGATTTTGTTTTCCTTCAGTAAGTAGAGTATGTTGGATCAGATTCTGTTGCCTCTCACCAAAATTATTATGCATCATTCACGAATGTGCTGAATCCGAGCCAATCAAGATGGTTGCGTTGCTTCTCGAATCCTGAATTCCTCTTTTTCTGCTAACTAATGAATGAAACATTTGAACTCAGGTCGTTTAAGATTAATTTTTTTTTTCAGTCAATTAATTTGAGATAATAACAATGGAGTCAATATTGCAAAGATATTATGAGCGCATTCGCTCACTAAACACATTGGGTGCTAATTTGTTTGTTTTTTTTTTTTTTTGACAAAAAAAAGAAGAAGAAAATATTAAGGTTGCTTAAGCAGTAAAAGAAGAGTAAAGACATGACTTGTGTGAGTCCCAAGTGGAAGCAAGTAATAATTAAAGCAAAAACGAAAGGCGCCCACTTACGAACAATTACAAATGCAATGCCTTTGCTCTCATTCAAAATTTTAACAACCCCTCCACTCCTCTCCTAGTTTCTTTCTGCTTTCTGAACTTATACCAGTAGTGGTAGGGCTTTTTATTTCCCAATTTTCAAACTCCAAATTCAAATTTATTTTACAAAAAAAAAGAAGAAAGATCCTCCATTTCCCAATTTTCTCTCTCTGCCATTATAATTTAACTCTCGAATCCACTTTATTTATTTATTTTTTAATAAAATTTTGAGATAGAAATGATGAACTTGGCAGATCCATCAATGGCGTTGCTGGCGGCGACTGGTGGCGACACCGTCAAGCTTTTCGATGTATCGGTGGAGCCAGGAGATCCATGTACTTTGAGTTACACACCAACTCCGGGTTGCCTTGTTAACTCAGTCAAGTGGAATCACACTAGTGAGTCACTCACTCTCTGCTCTCTCTTCATTTTCGTTCACCTTTATTTTGCAATTGCTTTTCTTTTTTCTTTCTCTCTCTCTGTTTTTTTTTTTTTTGGGGGGGGGGGGGGGGTGTGTTAATTATTGAGGCTTTCCTTCGCTTGAATCTGCATTCTGCATTTCTTGCCGTTCGGATTAATTAGGGTTTGCTTGGCTGTTAAGAAAAAGAAGAAAATTCAATTTTGATTTTTTCCCTTAAATTTTAGTATTTTTATTTATTATGTTAACGAATTAACTCCAGTTGAGAGAGATTGTTGGATTAGTGCTTAATTAAATAAAATTCGTAGTTTATTACTACAATTTTTAGGAAGCAGAGATTGATTTGAATTTGGGTTCTGTTTTTGCAGATTTAGTTGTGGCTAGTGCTGGAGAAGATAAGAAGATTTCCTTGTGGAGGAAAAATGGGCTGAGCATGGGGACAATTCCGGTTTCTGGGATAGATAGTGGGGACAGCAATGAGGTAATTCTCGTGGAACTCTAGAGTCATTAAATTAAACATATTTACAAGTTTGAATTATCAAATTGTTGAAAAATTTGTTTGTGGTAGATTGGATGGATGGTGTTTGAAAAACTTTTCTTGGGATCTAAAAGTTGTCTTGTTAATAGAAGATTTGGTTGAATTTGAATTTATGAGTTATCAGAGGAGTGGTATCAATATGCATTTGTGCTCAAGCTAAACTTTAGTTGCCACCTCAGCTTACAAAACTTCAAGTGCGTAATCCCACTAAATCATGCATTAGAAACTTTGAAGCCAGTAAAATCTTGAATTGGTGGAACAAAGATTTGAGAATGTAATTTTGTTTCTCTTCTTTCAAAAAGCCCCTAAGGAAGATATAAAGAAGTGGTTTGTTTCATAAGATTACTGCTGCTTGCTTCAAATCATCAAGGCATCCACTTGTTTGGGACTTGAATGGAGAAATGGCAAGCTCAGATCAACCACAGATACAAGGCTTCCTTAAATTTTTTGATCTGTTGCATTCTGCAAAATACAATCTTCCAGAGGCTCCCTGTATTACATCACATGCATGCTCGTTTGTGGTAAAACCTTTTTTTAAAGAATTCCTTGTGTGGAAAAATTATTATTTCGTTTTGAAACACCATGCATCTGTTTTATTTGTTTTACTTGTTTCCATGGTAACTTGATTCCCACTGTCAAGAGAGGGATTTTTTTAGATCCACTGCAACAAGTCATTTTTGGATTTTTTTTTTTAATTTGTAGGAATCTATATCGGCTATTAGCTTTAGTAACAAGGGATCTAGATATATATGCTCTGGAGGAAGTGGTCAAGTTGTAAGAATATGGGATCTACAGAGGAAGCGCTGTATTAAATGGTTGAGGGGTCATACCAGTACAATAACAGGTGCTATGTACAATTGCAAAGATGAGCACCTGGCTTCCATAAGTTTGAGTGGGGATCTTATTCTTCACAACCTTGCATCTGGAGGAAGGGCAACAGAACTCAAGGATCCGAATGAACAGGTTGTTTGCTCTTATGCATTTGATGCTATCCTTCTGGTGTTTGTTATGTGTGATCTTCTTCCTTGCTAATTGTTCGTCTGACGGAATTTAAGACCAGGTACTAAGGGTGCTTGATTATTCACGAGCTAGCCGACATCTTTTGCTGACCGCAGGTGATGATGGTTCTGTACATTTGTGGGATACAACTGGTCGTAGCCCGAAGGTTTGTACATATGCATACTTACCATTTTAAGTCATAAGTACCAAATGTGGCTGAATAAGTTTATGCTGCAGTGAGATTTTCACATCTAACGAATTTACAGCATGTTTATATTCTTTTTCTCATTTATCGATTTCTAACTATGTGCTTTGCATATATGATATTAGCACACCATGAAACTTTTTTATATGACCAATTTTTGTTTCATCACTTCTATTATTCTCTAGATTCTGTTTATTTTTACCCATGAGCTTGTTTCCTGCAGTATTATGCACTACTCTTTCAACATTGTGAATGAGGTTTTTGGCATGTAACTGATTGCAGTTCTGTTTTACAGGTTTCATGGTTGAAGCAACATTCTGCACCAACTGCTGGTATTAGCTTCTCACCATCACATGACAAGGTCTCATGTTTATTTTATTTAGTTGGATTGCTCATTCCCTTTCCCTCTTTCCCTGATTATACAAGAAAGAAGACTAAACTTTTTATATGGTTTTGATTTTTTTTTTTTTTTAAGGTCTGAAGTTTCGGTAAAATTAGTTAATTATTCTTCAGTGTCAAATGCCTTTTCCTATTGCAGATAATAGCTAGCGTTGGACTGGATAAAAAACTATACACTTATGACTCAGGGTCCAGAAGGCACACATCTCTCATTTCTTATGAGGCACCGTTTTCTTCACTGGCTTTTAGAGATGATGGTTGGATTCTGGCTGCTGGAACCAGTAGTGGTAGGGTGGTGTTCTATGATGTTCGAGGAAAACCACAGCCTTTCACCGTTCTCCGTGCTTATGGCAGTTCAGAGGTGGATTTTTCTTCCTGATACCAATGTTTGAATATGACTTACATTCTTTCTGCAGTTTCTTATCGGTCTATAAACTATTTTGTGTGAACACAATAAATATAGTGACAAATGTTATTTAGGATCTCCTGTTTGAACTTGAAGCTTCCTTAACCTCCAAAATACAGAACCTTATACCCCTGCAGCACAATGCGGTGCAGAAAGTTAACAGAGTGGAAAGAGATGTAAACGGGATTCTATAACATTATTAGATTTACCTATGTCAGAAATTCACCCATGACTGCGCACGTTTCTGAATTTTAGTAACTTAGCTTCTTAAGATTGGTTCTTTACAGTGGTCTGGATAATCTGTGAACCTGTTGTTCTTTGTGTTCCTGTCCCCTTTCTGATTAGGATGACTCGATTGATGTGCCTCTTATTAGGATGATGCTTTAGATTAGAAATCAACTAGAATACTGTTACAACAGTGACTGCAAGATTTAATTGTTCTTTTAGGTAATTAAATTGGTTAAAAATGTGAATTGGTAGTAACGAATCCTTTCACATTGACTGCCAGAGATGTCTGCTATTGGCATACCATCTGAGAGCTTTGCGTAAATAGTAGTCCAGCTTTTTGAAATCTCATCACTAATATCAAATCACAAATTCAAAAGTACAATTACCTTAATTCTTGTTGTCTTACTTGATGCTAAATAAATTATATTTCTCATCAGGCTGTTACAAGCTTATGCTGGCAAAGATCAAAACCAGTTATTGTAAATGAAAGCAACTGTACTCCTGAGATAGCTCTTTTGGGAGGTGCTGTTGATGATTCCATTCTTATGCCAGATCCACTTCCTTCTGTAACATCTTCTAGTGTTGCTCTATTATCTGGCTCTGGTAATGCTGGTCGTTCAGGTCCTTCAATAGAATCATCATCTCTTACAGCAACCACTAGTGGACCTGCATCATCTATGCCCAATCTGTCTTTAGCAGAGGAAACGCCACATCGAAGCCATCTTTGGCCAGGAACATTGACGAGATTAAATCCTCCTCGTTCTAGTTACAATTTTAAGGATGAAATGGAGGTGTTTTCCCCACTTGTGGATGTTCAGCCTATCACACCCTCACTTGATAAGTTTTGGGATGATCATGAGGGATTCAAAAAGGATAATGTGCCTGCTGACAAGAAGCCTTCATCATTGTTGTTTCCTTCATCCATTAGGAGATTTCCTTTTGCAGAGGATGGGACCAATGATCATCCAATATTTGATTGGAAACCCAGTTCAACTTCAAGACAGGTCAGACAGTTGTTAATCCAGATGGTATCTGCAACATGCATATTTAATTCATTCATTGATCATGGAAAAGAGAAGATGTTTGCAATGCATGAAATATTTATTATTTTGGCTGGGTTTGTATTTTACCTAATTTTTATGACCTTTTAATCTGATGTGATTAGACTAGTGAGCTTTATATTTCCATTATATCACTTATACAAGAAAATTTCAGCATCTTTTTCTTCCATTATGTCATATGTTTGGAACATTAATGAATTATTTCACCAAAATCAACTGATCAACTGTATCTTCTCTACTGCATGATGCTAAAGTTACTCCACAAGCCCTGGAACTTTCAAAGTTTTTTAAATTAAAATACCCTTCTGACTGTTGAACTTGGCTTTCCTCTGTGAAGTATGGCTTTCCTTGTTCTCTCTCAATCAAAATTGCTATAACATAATTCTGGTTCCCTAGTGAACATGATTTGGGGTATTCAATATCTTAATAGATGTGCTATGATGTTTCTCCCCTTTTGTGCAGGATGATGCCCAGACTTTCACCTTACTGGGGGGTTCTACTCCAACTCCATCTTCTAAGAGTGAAGATTCCTCCATCACTCCTCCAGAAGCTTGGGGTGGTGAGAGATTATCAGATAAAATTGCTCACCTACGCCAGCCACTCAATTTACCATCTCGTTTTAGTATGACTTCTGGGAGTTCAACATCAGGATCGATGTTTTCTAGTTTGCAAGAGCTGCCCTCTTCAACAAGTCAGACAAGTATGAGCTCATTGACTAATTCCAGCCGTAGCTTTTCAAATCTGCGCACCAGAGACGTCTCTTCGAATCAGGAGACTTCGATGGTATTTCCAGAGCACATTTCCTCTAGTTCCATGTCTCTGTCTTTAGGTACAAAAGGCATTATGGGACCAGCTAACCTTGAAGCGTCAGGACCAGCATCATTAAACCAACCTCGCAGGTTTTCAACTTATGCTGAGAGAATAAGCACTACTTCTTCCTTCAGTGATGGGACATCCTTCTCAGTGGCTTCACCAAAAACAAAGAAAACAGGAGTTGAAACCAGGGAAGAACTGTTGAATAGCTTATGGTTGAGGTCTGATGCATCAGTAGTCGCAGAACCAGGAATTCTTCCAGCAATGAATGTAAGAACACTAGATGTCTTCGATAAGTGTTTGCCAGTGTTTGCTTCTAAGTAATTAGGTGTTTACTTTTGGAATCCCAAGGTAGCTTATCATCACAGATACCTTCCATATTGTGGTTTGAATTACAAGCATGGGCCATATTTTGTGACTTGATGCAAATTGTTACCATCAACTTAAATACAAAGCAGTGAAGGCACTTGTGATGCGGGAACATCGATTGACATATATTAGCTTTGTTTTCTCTCATCTGATTATCAAGGTTAATTAATTTGCAACACATTATGCAGGGAGGAACCATACAACCACACAAAACCCTTCAGCCAGATACACAGCAGGGGAGTTCCTTCACTCTTCAGCTCTTCCAGCGTACTCTTGAAGAAACTCTTGATTCGTTTCAGAAATCCATACATGAAGATATGAGGAACCTTCATATAGAAATTCTTAGACAATTTCATATGCAGGAGGTACGTATGTAGAATCTATATCCTTTCTTTTTCCCTTTTGTTATTTATTTATGGAATTAACTGTGTAATATTGAATAGATGGAATTGTCTGGTATGATGAACTCAATCCTGGAAAATCAAGCTGAGCTGATGAAAGAAATTAAGTCTCTTAAGAAAGAAAACCAAGAACTCCGTCAATTGCTTTGAGCTCTGGTGAAAATTGGATTGTGATTCATGACTGACTGTTGAAGGGTTTTGAGATCTATTTGTTCATTTCCATACTTTGCACTTCATATGTGGCTTATTTTATACGGAACTACAATTGCTGTCCTCAGCAATAGTAGTGGAGATAAAAAAGAGGGGAAAAATATTACAGAAACAGAAAAATGCAAATGTGTCAGTGCGGGTAGGGTTCTTGCCTCTATAACATGTACATAAATATTTTTTCAGCTAATTTAGTGGAACTTTTTAGTGGATTGCCTCTATCTTGATTATGCGGCATTGAGTAACTCTTACAATTATGCAAATATGTCAGTGCGGGTAGGGCACCACGGCATGTTTGTTAATCTGGTAAAAGAGAAGAATGGCTCACCATGTCGCTATTGCTTCAGCTCCATGGTGGATGAAATGAGATGGAGGGGATGTGCCGGACTTTATCAAAATCTTGCACCTGTACTCCGTCTAAATTCTTGTGTCATAACACCGAGTTTTAGTTCTTGGAGAGCTGCGATAGATTTCAGCCCTTCAGTAATCGTCCTCAATTACCACAAACCACATATATGTTAAGTCTTGATAAATGTGGCATTGCACCTTCCTCTGCTCGCTCTAATTCCAGTTGCCATGGCCATTCAAGGTTGAGACCTTCGCGTTGAGGAAACCCATGGGTAGTACATACCATTTCAGATCCACTGTACGAGCCCATGTCACCGGTCAAAAACATCAAATCGGGCAGCTTCCCTAGAATAGGCATGGAATCTTGATCTAATTTCGAATGTTTCAATCTTCACACATGGCAAATGGCAAGGCTTGCTGGGATACACTGCAGGTTATGGTGGAGGGAATGCACATCTTCTGCATGCTCTCTCGTTATATTTATGTAACTCTAAACTTGGTTAGAAGATGGCAATGAGAAAGTAGATCCCAATTTCTTTGCCCCATGAATATTCAAGGAATGTAGACGGCCTAATCCAAAATTGGGAGACTTTAAAACATCCTCAACTTCCTCTGTTCTCACAAGCTTTATGACTAATTTTTAAGGTTAGTCAATTTAAGCATTGGATAGTTTCTTGTTAGTTTCGTAGCTCTTTGTCCGCCTCAAGCGTCTTAATTTTTCTTTCCTTTTCACTTTGCCTTCAGATGATTCTTTGCCAAGAAGGGAAAGGTATTTCGCTTTGGAGCAGAGAATAATTTAAAAGTCGAAAGAAAACCTGGTTCACTTATTAAAATATACGGAACGAATGGTCCCTGAGAGAGGGGAAAAAGAAATTATGGGCAGAAGAAAAAATAAATAAATCGGCAAGACAAAGAAACATGTATTTCAGCCACAAATGATGACTGTTTATAGGTTTATTGCCTCATTTTGGTGCTCTAACCACAGACCAACGCTGCCTGAGTTTCCTCATAGTTAAACTGATCAGTCGAACTTTACCTTGTATTATCAGGATGCAACAGTGTCATATTGTACTAACTTCCGCAAAAATTGAACATGTTTGCTTATAATATCTAATAGTAATGAATGTTTAATATGTTTTATCAGAATAATTGATCAATCAGCCAAACGCTATAAATAAAACAGACATCCTACACAGGAAGACAAAAATGCTGATCAGGCCACTGTCAAACAATACAAGAAAGAAATTGGCAGTACATTGAAAGCAACAAATAATCAAGAGACACTTATAATAATAAGAGACGAACCATCAATGTTTTCTTCGTTCAATCATTGTAAGATAATAATAACGGAAATGAAGCCAAGTACTCAAGACTCTTGACCAACTAATTTGCTGTTGATGATGACGATGAGGACGTCAGTGGTGATACTAATAATGATATAATTTGGTCAAAGTATCCTCATACCTCCTCTCCTCGCCTCTATTTATTACTTACAAAAATATGGGTGGTTTTCAAATCTCTGATGATTTGTTGGGTATTTTTGTCCCAATTTTGGTTTATTGAGTGTATTCAGGGATGTATACTGTTCTGGGATATTTCGAGAGTCGTACATTCCGCAGGAAGCAAGAGGAAGTTGAGAAAAAATTAGTACCAAAGGAGACTGGTTAGACGGGTTCTTCTCCTGCAATTTATTCAAGCTATTGTCGTTATCTCTTGTCTACTGTATGTATCCATTCCCTTTTCTAGTAATCTAAACTATAAATATTTGGCTCAAGTCTATTCTGTTCTTATGTTTTTGCCTTTCTTGATTTGTCTATGCTTTCTCGATCTACACAGGTACAAAGAAACCATGCCGAGTCTGGTACGGGTCAATAAAAATTTTCCTTCACTGTTCTGGGTAGACAATTCATTAATTACAGCAATGTTCGTTATGGATACTTATCTTTATTTCTTGCACAGATATTTGCACCACAACAAGTTCTTGTATAGGCATTTACATTCTCAACTTTACCGGCTTGTTGCTCCCTATGCTTATGGAGCTGTATACAATCACCCACTGGAGGACCTTATGGTTGATACGGCTGGCGGGGGCTTAGCTGTTCTCCTCTCATGCATGTCCCTCCTAGAACCTCCATTTTCTTCTTTTCCTTCGCCACTGTAAAAGCAGTGGATGACTACTGCATGTTATGGCTTTCTTGGAACTTTTTCAAAATATCCTTTCAAAGGAAATCAGCTGATCATTATCTCCGCCATCAACCAATTACAAATTGTTGGCTACTTTTGTCGCCAGACTCATAGATTGCACACGAAGCAAGAGGAAGATGAGAAAAACTTAATGTCAAAAGTGACTATGGTTAAAGGCATTCTTCTCCAACAATGTTTCCAAGCTATTCTCACCATACTCTTGTTTTAGGTATATTTCTTTTCTCTTTCGAAGTAACATCCTATATTTAATAATATTCATGTATTTATTTATTTTTACGCAAATATGATGGTTTTGTTGAGCCAATGCCTGTAGTTTCGTAAATTTCAGCTTATATTCTACTCTGAGTAAGATTTCGTGTAATATTGCAAAATTTTAGAGGTAAATTTTGTTGCTTGGCATTTCAAGACTCTTTGCTGGTTGTCTATTATGACAGCTATATATGAACCATTCAATAATAATATACACCAAATGCCAGGCAACAAGAACTTCCGTCTAAAATTAGTATAGTTTACAAACCTCAGCATTGTTCTTTTTACCAAGTTAGAACAATTGAGAGAAAGAAAGGAAAGAATTGGTATGCGTAGATTGATATATATAGCGGCCAAGAATAGTATATTCCTCTGTTAGGGTTATGAGTGTATATAGTATTGTATGGACTTTACACTACACCAAAACATATGTCATAACACACCCCTTCAAACTGAGCTAGGAGATTCAACAAGCAGCCATCTGAAAGGTGAAACGAGATAGTAGAAAGTGATTTCGTAAGAACATTAGCCAGTTGATCCTTAGAGGAGATAAACAGAACTAGAAACTGTCATTTTCTAATCCGATCATGCATACAATGATAATCGACTTTGACATGCTTTGTGCGCGCATGGAAAATTGGATTAGCAAAAGAGATACGATGCTCCCAAATTATCACACCATAACAATGGTGGCGTAGAAGCAGATAGATGAAGCTCATACCAGTTCAGCTGCTTTAGTGGAGGATCGTTCAGCAGTTTTTTTTCTACAAGACTTCCAAGAAAAAGGATTAGTACCTTAAAAAACAACATACCTTCAGTAGACTTGCGATCATCTAGACTGCCGGCCCGATCAGCATAAGTAAAGCCATGTAATTGATGAACAGTGCCACGAGTGAGATGGATATCATGACTAGTTATGGACTTAAGATAACATAGAATACGTTTCGCAACACCCCATTGAGCTTCAGTAGAAGCACACATGAGCTGACACAGTTTACCAGCCGCAAAGCAAATATCTGGTGAAGGCAACAGCTTTCTTCTCAACTGAATGAGGGAGGAAACCTGCACTGAGTGTATAGGCTGAGTTGAAGAGGGAATTTGATTTGAAGGTTGATGAAGGTTGATTTGAGAGAGGATCCATTGCCGCAGTTTTGCAAAACTGCTCTTGTACCAGGTTAGAACAATGCAAAGAAACATAATGGAAAGAATGGGTCTCCGTCGACTGATAAGTGATACCGCAGCCCCATGAATTGTATATTTACATGCTAGGGTTACAAATATGAGTGCATACAATATTGTATGGAATTTTCATGTACACAACAGTATATATAATATAACTAGACCCAAACTATCTGTCATAAATAGTATATCGCCCCATCTTCTCCACTTTGTTTCCCATTTATTTTAGTGTCAGTCAAGGAAACAGGTTCATTGCTATTATGACTAGATGTGATTACTAATTTGTAGTGCAATCTTGCTTTTTCTTTAGGTATCAGCTGGATATGATGTTGGTACAGGTCAATAGCTTAATTTCCCTCGTTTCTCTGGCTACACATGCAGTTCATTGTAGCATTGTGGGTTATGAATACTTATCAGTATTTTGTACACCGATATCTACAAGTTTTTGTACAAGCATATCCATTCTCAGTTTCTCGCCGTCGCCTGCCCTATCCTTATGGAGCTACATATTGTCACTAGAGCCGTTTACGCTTTACACGGTTAGCGGAACATTGGCTGTTTCTGTCTGGCATGTGATGTCTTCCCGAACCTCTATGTTTATCATATCCTTTGCCACCATAAAAACAGTGGATGACCACTGCAGGTTTTGGCTGACTGGGAACCTTTTTGACTTCTTCTTTCAGAACAATACAGCCTGTCATTATATCCACCATCAACTTTACGGTAGCAAATACAACTTTTCAGGACCATTTTTCAACATGATGGTTATAATTTTTGGAACCTATATGCCTTATTCATATGAGAAGAAAGCGGGAGCTAGGTTGCTTCGAAGTAAGGCTATCAAAGAGAAGAGAGATGATTAATGAAGGCATTGTTGATTTATTCCAAAAAATGTAACATTTCTCATGCCATTTGTATGAACAATTAAGTGCTGTTGTACTTATTTATTTATTTCTGTTAACATCGGGAGAGTTTGAAGTTTGTGAAGAGTAAATTTTAGAAAAATTGTGAAACTAAAGTACTCATCCTACTAATGAAATGACCCTCTCGTATACGTCCCAGCATCATGCAATCTGACTTGCCTTCTTGGTGGGAGTACGTAGTTTATACTTTTACCAAGTCCTCCGATGTCTAGTAGAGAAAAAACTTGAAGTCAATCCCCCACCCTCATCGACTGAGCTATCAGATCCCTTGTTATTCTCCAAGCTGATAATATGCTCTTCTTCGTCATGTGGATATGATCTTCTCAATCACAGGTCTGCAAACTAGCTAGGTGATCATGAAGGTAAGTAAACCAGTTGACAAATCTGAGTTTCCAATTTCATGAGATGAGGAGAGTTGGTGATCACTGAGGTAAACCTGTTGACAAGGTAAGTCAATCCTCCACAGTCCACCCTCGCAGCTTGAAGAACATGCGTATAACAACCTCAGCATCATAAGCAACATTTTGTCCTCTGTTCATCATCTTCCAAGAAACATTTCATCTGCTTCAATTCAAATTGCAATCGCTTAATTTTCTCCCGCACACCAGACAGGAAGTCTGCTTCATAGATGAGTAACTCTGCAATGCTTTCATTGACAGCAGAAACAGCACCCTCAACCATTTCTCTTCAGCCGCGAGTGAGAAACAGAGCAGTAGGTGAAATAAGATCTTTGAAATGAATTTTTTTATTTGGCTTCTCAATCTCTTTTTCCTTTTTTGGACGAGTATCTCAAGCATATATTATGTACCATGATTTGCTTTCTTAAGAAAATGTCAGATTCTTATCTTTGTCCTCCTTTTATTCACACTGATCCTTCACTTTGCTTTGGGGGAGAGCAATGGCAAAATTGAAGGCATAATACATTAGCTTGAAAAGGGAAGGGATCGCTGTGAAAACAACTGGAATGTCTTGCAAAAAGTTTTGTTTTTGGGTTTTGAAGGTCCCCGCTGTTATTTGAGGAACTAAAAAAATTACAAGAACACCTCCTTGTTACTGAAACGCATGGAGTAGCAATGGCCAGTTCCTTGAATATATTTCGTCACATTCAAGCAAATAATAAGAACGGAAGCTTGATTTGTGATTTCAACCATCCAGGGACCAAAACCTTCTGATGGCATATGGTTATTATCTTAGTATTTTTTGGTAGGAAGCTGCTGTGTCCTATGATCTTCAACAAATTTTCGAAGGACACTTGGCATGAAAAAAAACTGACGGCATGATACTGCAAAAAATGATCTACGAGTTATCAGAGGCCTATGACCTGAATTTTATCCAGTGCTATTAATTTCTTAATAAAGGATAACTTAACTAATGCCAAAGATTGTTATCAAATGATACTTGTTGGCTGTTGCCATGCTTGAGGTCCTACAAAGCAATCAAAGCGGCACCTGCGCAATTAGAAGGAAGCATTTGAACTGACCAGTACAGATAATAGGTTTCACCCATTTGATTGCAAACGGTTTAAATTGATTTGTTACACATTGGAGAGAGCAATGTTATGACAAAGTTATTAAAAACAAAATGCCAGCTTTCTTGCGCTGTTGTACGACTTCTATGGTTCTTGAATCATCCGTATAATTCTAGACTTTCTGGTTCTCATGGAAGTACATAAATTTTCCTATAGAGTAGCTGGTAATCATTTCCTGCAATTTTCTATGATTGCAATAACAATGAAATTCCTGAAGATTCATTTGCAAACTTTCAATAACAATGCATGAGGTATTCTCAAATTCCAAGGAAGCTGCCATGAATTGCCAACACCTTCAACAAAGCAGCATTTGGCGGGCACACAAATGGCAAGCACATTAAACCATTGAGACGTCACTTGTTGGCCAGCGACAATAACATCACTTTTTAAGCATAAATTCTTGCAACTAGAGACCTTCAACTTGGTCTTGTGCCTCACTTTTTGACTAATTTCAACACATCACCCACAAGATGTAATGAACCGGTTACAAGGACCTGATGTATCATGGAAGAAAATTTTAAATAACAGTTCAAATGTTATATGAGCAAACACATGCATCAAACATACGAATCTTTTACTAGAACCAAATGGCTACAAATGAAACAATATCACCCCTCACCTTTGTAATGGTAGCCAATTCAGCCCATCACAGTAACACGATTCCCCTCGCTGCTAACTACTAACTACTAACTACTAACTCTAACCTCCTAATTACCTAACCACTGATTGTGGGCTGCAAGGTCCTCTCCATGTCAATCACAAAAAAAATAATAATAAATAAATAAATAAATAAACTACAACTTTGTGCAAGTTTTCAAGAAAGTTTATGAGTTGATGCATTTCCTGCTGATATGTTGCAATGTCATCTAGGTAAAGCTATTACTTGTAATGTCTGATTATAGCTTTCCAGCAAGACATGCTGTGAATCTGAAAATTTTGCAATAAGAAACCTTTTGTTCTCCTATGCTAGTGGGAAAGACTTCAGCAAAACAAACTTTTACAGGAAAAAAAAATAGTGGAGTACTGATAATCCATCACAAATTTGCGGTCACAAAAAAGGCAGCAATGGAACAAAATCCTTGCAAGGTACATTTATTCTTGCTGCCTCTCAAAATGATTTTTCCATCTACTAACATCACTGAAAACATTAGTAAAATACTTTTACAAGAAGGTTATATTGAAAATGTGAGGGAGCAGCAGGACGGCAATTAAATATTATTTAATAAACTGTTACATATTAATTAAAGAAATAATTAGGAGTAACAGAAGTAGCTATCGCAACCCACAACAGAACATGAAATTTCATGATTTCATTTTGCATTAGCAAGCATCTGCTTTTACTATATTATTAATGTAGAAATATGAGAATAGGGCAATATATTTTCTCTCATTGAAGTGCATGAGTATAACTCATATATATACAAGCATACTCATATATATACAAGTCTAGGATCAATCTAAATCCCTAGAATCAAGCTATCATTAACTTCCTACAAATCAGCCTTATAATTAACTTACTATATTTACATGAGAATCAATTCTATAGTTGACTTACTATATTTACAACAATTAAGTACAATAAACACACGTGCAGGTTGTAAAATTTTCACAAAACATATTTTTCAAATCAGCATTACCTGGTAGCGAACAGATCGATTCTGTTGGATGCTTTCCCTAAGCCATTTAAGAGCCAATGGGAGAGAAGGAAAGACTGCACTATTTTCACTCCTACCATTCATTTTGGTATCCTCTTTACCTTCTTCACAAACAGCATCCGCATGCTTGGCCTCTCCTCCTGATAAGTCAAAAGGTCATTTGACATACAATCCAAGGGCAGCAGAAGAGCTGTGTGAGATGCATGCACAGTTTCAAATTTGTAAAACAAAGACAAACAACTAGTTTTGAACATTTAATTAAGGAGTGATGTGTTTGTTGTTCTAAACTACAATAGCTAATGCAAATACAACAATCAACCCAAGAATTCTATGATATTGGAAAGAAATAGACATGATATTGGAAAGAAATAGACATCATTTAAAAGGCACCTTTATCGCTCTGTATGAGATTCTCCCATACTCTTTGAAGAGCAAACTGCCACGATAAATCAACTTGAGAATCAGCTGGTAATGCATGAGATCCAACCTTGTAATACACAGATGTATTTGGAACAAAGAGCGCCTTCTTGAAGTAGACACCTAAAGACCAAAGGAATGTTTATAAGCATGAGTTTCTTGACAAAACCATCAACATCAAACAAGCATTATTGTTCCTCACAATTCCTGATTTACAGTCTTTGACTTCTCAAAAAAAAAAAAAAAAAGGATGGTTGAGATTGTTACGTAATGAATTTAAAATAGCCAGTTAAAATTCAAAAACAGTTCGAGTTTAAAGTCATTCAAGTTTCAACTCTCTCATACTACTTCATTAAGTGGTAGCTATGTTCTAAAAAAGGTTAAGAGATTATATCTAAATATGTTTCTTGCTAAAGTATTTACCACGACTAGCACATGCTTTCATCAGACAAGGAAGAAGCAGCTGAGGATCCCGCACTGACATACAATTGAACAGCAATATCTGTAAGATGCACACAAAACATTAAGTTCACTATTTCAAATTGTAGCTCACGTCTCTCAACTACCAACAGCAGATTGTTACCCAAAGGCACACATGTAAGCACATTAAAGTTATGCATAAACACTGCTGCTTCAATGAATTCGGTTTTCATGAGACTCTAATTGTAACAAGCTTATGAACCCCTTTCTCAAAAGTTGGACATAAAAATAAAAATGATAGAAGCAAAATTGCACCAGACAACTGATATATAGTGGAAGGTGGTGAGCTTCATCTCACATCCAGAGTGTTATTAGCCACGTCCATTCCATGTGAGCAGCCCTTGGCTCCATTGGAACATGAAGCACAACACTGGAGGCAAACAACTCATTTATACAGCTCTTATATCAATTCTTCCTGTTGGAGGCACTTTGCCTCGGTGTACTACTGGAGTTTCTTGAAATTGATATTCTGATATGTGCTTTCCATACCACTTCAGCAACTGCTGAAAATTTCCCACTTTCCAGCTTGTACTAACTGCATATATTTTGCAGTTACCTACCCATTTTTGCAACACCAATACTAGGTAGCAGATTTTGACCTCACCTAAAACCCTTTCTAAGTTGGATTCTTATGAACCAATCTAATTGTAACTTCCACCTTTGCATCTTCAATTTTTTGTAAAGGTAAAAAAAAATTGACAAAAAGTTTTCAAAGCTTCATGCTTACCTGCATGGAACTCTTTCCATATTTATCATCGTGGTGCCCCTGTACCAATTCCATTGCGGATCCAAGATTGTTCTGTGGGGGATAATTAAAGGTCTTTTCCTGGCTGTCTTCTTTAATGGCATGAGAAAACCATCTTGCACACATATCCATGCTTTCAGGACTATGGGCTCCATCCAAATAAAACACAAGATCTCCATAACTCTCAGCATTAATATATTGATCAGGGACAATTTGAGCCCGCCCTTGCAAACTGGCTGTTGTTAGCCCTTTAATAAACTGCTCAGGAAGGGAGCTCTGTTGCATGCAAATAAATTTAGAAAATAGTTGCGAGGACCTAATGGAGCTTGTAAAGGAAAAGCTCTAGTGTATCAAACTTACAGCCTGTTCCAGGTAGGTGAAGTCATGATGCCCAGTCCTTTGAAGCCAAGTAGAAGATAATGCAATGGCAAGACCAGCATTTAAATACTGGTGCTCGCCTTCAAGCCTGAGTTTTAAACCATTCAGCAATTTGGCATCTAATGGCTGTGCCACTTGAAGGTGTACCTGCAATCAGCATAATGGTATCAATCATTTATTGCTTCTATTAGGGAACAACAAGATTTGATACAGTAAAATGGACTTCTTGAATATGCTATTATCCCAGAACGAGCGCTTGTCAAATCAAATGAAAGCGAAATTCACAGTTACAAGCCACCAAGTTGTTAATTTAGCAACTCCTAAACTTAGCCAAAAAATATATGATTGTGCACTAACTATATCTACGGGTTGAGGTGGAATGCAGGCTGGCAGGTAAAGGTATAGCACTTCAATAGGGTTGTTAGTTAAGCACCAATATTATCTTACATAGCATGCACCCACTTCACGTTAGACTGGATTTCAGATAAATAGAACACCGTGTTGCACGATCTACCGATTAATTTAATTTAATTGATTTCATTCAAATATTTCCACACCACCAGTCAGTCTCTATAATTTGGACCCAACATCTGAGGCAATCATTTTACAGTAACGTGGAAAATAGAACTCCCTGGTGCATGAACTATGCAACTTACATTTAACTTAGAAGCCTTCTCTTCGAGAACATTCATTGCTTCATCAGGTTGAGGCACTGTGAAGGCTGGAATTCCATCCTGTATTGGAAAAAGAAAATTTTAATATGAAGAAACTTATAATGAGACACATATTGTGCTGAAGTTAAGAAGCAAATGCATTGCCAAGAGTCTGACGAGGATAGTCCTGAAGAACACCTTAAAGATACCAGCCTTCTCCCCAGCAATTTGTGCTAGAGTATTTCCTGTTTAAAGCATCCAGAAAAGGAAATAGATGAACTTAATAAGTTAAATCCAGGTGGAAAAACAAGTTGAAAAATAAATTTCCTATTGTTATTGTTCAAGCTTGGAGCACTTCCAAGACTTAAAACATCACATTTTTTCTGTGCAGGGCATAGCAGATACCAATATGAGGTTTAGTATCAAAAAGTTCTGAGTGACCTGTTATGCAGATATGGGCTATAACTTAACATGGGTAAACTCTTGCGATGGGACATATTCTATTTTGGAAATTGCAGTCCACAAGTAGTCTCAAATTTATCAGTAATCAAACAAGTAACAGCTATACACCATTTTACTGTGAGCAATTACCTAACTCATAGAAATATAACACTAACCCAAAATCTCCATGTGGTCATACCCGAGGGAAGATATACCGCACACAATAGGTTTCTGAACCTGAAACATGATGCCAAGTTAGCTTTGTGTTAGAAGTATATCACGGAAAGAGGATCATTGCGTGATGAGCTTGACACGTAACACAAAGTCAAATTTTTGTTTATATTTTGGACAATTAACACAAATTCATATTCAAAAAGCCTAATAAAAAATTTCTTCATTAAATATAAATTATGCATACCACATTTGTTGCATCAAACTTTCCGCCTAACCCAACCTCCAAAATAGCCACATCCACCTGCATAGGAGTACTCAACAAATGAGATTCCAATCCGACATGAGAGATTAGATTGAGCAATGTGTGTTTGCTCAGACAGAAAGGATACCATCAGGGATACGAAATGTTGACACAAACCTGTTCCATGGCAAATATCTTGAAGGCAAGTAAAGCAAGAAAGCGAAAGTAGGTAGGCATTGGTATATCTTCTGTAGCTTTTTCCTGCCCAACAGCAGGAAAAAATTAAACACATCAAGCAAACTTATTATCCAAGAAAGTACAAAGGAAAAAAAGTCCATTAGCTTTATTTTTGATATTTGAACTTCCCACGTCACTTTGAAACCATTCAAAGCTCCTTTCATCAGCCTGCCAATAGAGCAGCACAGCTAGAATTTTGACATTCACCTTCGCAAGGAAATAGCTACAGAAGGCCCCCAGTTTTCATTTTGAATCAAATGTCAGCTGATAGTTACCTCTCCAATTAGGAGGAAAAAAACCATCTTATCACTCTCATTATAACTGTCGAATCAATGATTGAAAAACCTTGTACAACGAGGAGAGATTCAAATTATGGGGAAAAAACATGGGAAAAATTACCTTTAGTCTGTCATAACACCACCAGAAATATGCCAAGAATTTCTCTTCACAAATGTCCACACTGCGAAGAAAATAAAATATCTAAACTTAGTACAAAAAGGGTGCCGAGTGCTTTAAAGGGGTGTGGTTAAGGGTGGGAAAGACATTGGTTCTATTAGCAAGAGAGACAGTAAAGAAAACTTAGCAAACTTCAATGAATGGAAATGGCATAAGATTAGAACAGACAGTATACGAAAGAATCAGAATCATACATTTTTTGATAAATATAAACAGCAAGTCAAACACTAGAACAGAGTACAGCAGAATAGCTATTTGACAGTCAATTTATTCAAGGAAACAAACAATGTTCATCAGCTAACTTCGGATATAATAAAAAATATGACGATTTTGCATAACTTACCCATCCAAACGAAACCTTTCTCGGATATCAATGAGATGAGGAGAAGTGAAAAGTCCAGTGCGAAAGCCACAATTACGTAGGATAGATTCTGTGAAGGTGCACGTAGATCCCTGATCCCAAAAAAGAGTATCATTTTAGATTCAAAACACAGATACAAACAATCCCAACTTTATATTGCCTACATAAAGTACCTTCAACAATATAAAGCAATTTTACAGAATTTAAGTCCAGGCATAATTAAGTTTGTAAATCAGTGATCAACTTTAAAATTGCGTTCTTAAGAACAATATTTAAAATCATATTTAATAAATTTAAGATAAGTTGAAACCAGTATCGGTTGACAGAAATTTATTACTACCTTTCCTTTAGTGCCTGCCACGTGTATGATCTTCATTTCCGATATTGCCTCCTCTAACTCCAGAATCTTGATGATAATAAATACACACAATTGCATCATAATATATATCAGCTGAAGTTCAAATATACGAAAATTAATACGAGCGTCATTGATCACGCCTGATTACTTTTAAATAATCGAAAAGCAAATCAAACCGGTCTCCTTTGTTGCTCTTATCAGCACGACTGCGTTTCGTTATCAAAGAAGATAAAGCATCCAGTGCTTCCTCATATGGAGTTGCCGTTGGTTTTGAAGATCCATTGTTGTCACCTGTTAGCAACCATTATCAAGAACTGAAATCATACTTATAACTTTATAAGCAAATTAACACACACTCGAGATTACCTTCTGCCATCTCACTTTGGCTCTGAAAAACCTGAATTCGGCAGAGAGTGGTGGAATAGCATACAAAAAGATACGTAAAAAGAACAAATATGTATGAGACTACGAGAGGAGCTTGGAGGCGTGGGAAGGAAGCGAGAGGGAGGAGAAAGAGAAACAGTGTTCGTTTTTTTTTTTTTTTAGTGGTTTGGGATTAGGTAGGAGTGGAGTAAGTTTTTTTATTAAAAAAAAAAAATAGATGGGGCGAAGATGATGGGTTGAGATTGGAAGGCTGAAGTTGAATGCTGAAAACGACAGGGAATTTCAATCAGATTCGCATCCAACGACAAGGGGAACATTTCTTGTAAGGCTACACTGGAGATGTGTGCGAGGTCATGGGTCACATTCATATTATATTATTCTCCCCATTTGCTGATATCGTAGTTTTTTCTCCTTTGCTCTATAGTGGTATCTTTTAGGTTTTCACTTATCTTGTTGCAAGGAAAAACATTCATAAATGCATTATTCAGAATATAAATGACAATTTCCATCAATTTACTAGTTTAAATGTAGAAAACCTAGCGAGGAAGCAATCGAAAGAATTCGAGTCTCTCTATAAAGTTAGTGGGAGGATATTTGCGCTGAAAATCTCATCCACCACAATGACCCTACAAGAGCATTTGGAGAATCTCAACCTATAAACTAATAACGTGCACAAAGAACACCTAATCAATAACATCATGAGGAGGTTATGCTACAAATACAACATGCAATCGTCATTATGTAATTGGTTAGCAATAAGAAAGTACCATTAAAATTCACGCCTCAAACTCAAATGAGGAAAAAATAACGAGCCATCTCCAACATTATACTAGTCACAAAATAAAATACACCATTCCTTCATTTAGCCAAAAAAAAAAATCATCTTGCCAGGTTATGCATAAAGGCCTATACAAATTCTCTCCGGGCGTATCTAATACTGTGCCGCCTAAGCCAAAGCTGATACATCAGCATGTGAAACGAATCGTACGGCTGCGGCATTTCATTCCACACAAAATGCTGGCTCGCCGCCACACCCAATCTCCTCAGTCCCTCGCACTCATCATCCTTACACGTGCGATCCAACGCACGCTTCACTTCCTTAACCCCACCACTGGACCCAACGAAAACAGCAATCTTCTGCCACCTGATCACATCTATCAACGGTAGGTCCTGCATCGGGCGATCAGTAATCACCACCGGCACACATCCAAAACGCAATGCTTCACCTATCCCAGAAATGTCAGCTCCATACTCGAACAAACAGAACCCACTACTCCCTAGTCTCCCCACTAAAGTCATTCCATCGGACGGCTGGGATTCGATCAGAAAATCAGAATCATTTCTCAATTCGTTCAGCAAATTTGATTCTTTGACCCCATTGTATCTTGCAAAACCTAGATACCTCGCTGTTCTGTTCCCCGGCGCATGTGATGCGTGTGTGACCCTCTCGAGTGGAGGCAAGGTAATATCCTTGTGAGGCACAAACTTACCTTCTGGCGCCGGGAAGCAGGAGATCTGAACCGAGTTTTTCTTCAATTCCACGAGGCTTCGGTCAGACTCGTAACCCAGACCGGCACAGGATGCATAAAAGTGATCGGCACCAAGAGTGCGGTTCCAGTACGGGAAATCCAGTTTGAGGTCTCTAACAAAACGCGCGATAGAGCGCGTGGAGAGGTTGGAGGAGAAAGGAACAAAGAATAGGTGAGCTTCTTCTGGGTTTTGCGTTACAAAGGGACTGGTTCGGAGAGAACTGAAGAAAAGAGATTCAGTGGGAGAAGAGAAAGAAAGAGGGTTTGGAGGGGTGTACATGTAAATTTTGAAAGAGTTGAGCATGTTTTGGTAATTGGGGAAGAATATGGTGGGCGAGAGATAGAGTGAAGTGGATTCCATCATGGATTTGGAAACTGAAGTTATGAGAGAAAGGAAGAGAAAGTAAATCATAGTAGACATTCTTACATAAAGTTAATAACTTTCGTGAATTCAAACCCTATAAAGCTTTGAGTTTGAAGATGAAGAGGGCAAAGAACAAGGGAGCAGAAAGCCAATGAGCAACCCAAAGTTATTGCACTTCTTGCGAAGAATACGATAGACCAAACGCCACGCGACGGTTCTTGTGGGGCCCAACAAGCAATCAGGCAAGCAACTGCGGGAGTCAAGCCATTGAGATTAATAGAGGCGAGATGAATGATGTGGTAGCAAATAGTCGTGCGCATTCGATTAAACGGTTCGATTTTGTACGATTCGATTCGATTTTTAGTTAATCGAATTAAAAAAATTAAAATCAAAATTGAATCGAAATAAATTCGATAAATTTGATTTATAACCGAATTATTTCGATTTGATTTCGAAATATTTTGGTTTTAATCAAAATATTTTGTTATAAAAAAAAATTCATTACAAAGAGATATTTTGTACTAGCACTTAGTTCATTAGCCAATGAAGTAACATCTTGTTATCAATTAATCCTTTTGATAAACAATCACAAAGCCCTTGAAGATTTTAATTAAGCTTTAATGCAAACGAGTCCAAGTGTAATAAATTTACTCATTTAAATACGTTATATCCCAATTAATTACACTATGTCACTTTCTTTTCTTACCCAAACGATCCTCAAAATTTACTTCTCATTTGCATGTTTCAGTTTCAACAAATATGAAGATTGAAAAGTTAAGGATTTAGAAATTAGGAAATTTTTTACTATTTATTTCGGTTTTCGATCGAAATCGAAATATTTTTTCTAAAAACCGAACCGAACCGAAATAATTTCGGTTTTTTCAGTTCGATTTTATATTGTATAATTTTATATTTAAAACCAAACCAAATTTCATAATTCGGTTTGGTTTTATTCGATTTTTTGTTAACCGAACCGTTTGCTAACCCTTAGTAGTGAATTGATATATGATAACACGTATTTTAATACAAATATATAAGACGACAATCGTTGGCAACAATTGTCTGGGTGGTGTAGTTGGTTATCACGCTAGTCTCACACACTAGAGGTCCCCGGTTCGAACCCGGGCTCAGACACTCTGGTTTTATTTTTTTATTTATCTCATTTCTTTTCTTACATATGTAACCAATTATTATCGGCACAACATGATAAATAAACGTTCACCGCATGGTTTCTTGACACGACCAAAATTTCTAGAAGCTTCTTCGTAATCGACCAAACATCACGGATTTTTACAAAAACATTGCTAAATTCCAAGTTCTCATCTCCATTTGAAATCGGATAAATTAAAACCTGATTTTGTTTTTTTTTTTTTCAACTCATCTAACAATTTATTAAGCACTGCATATTTCTATAATTGTTGTTGTTATTAACAAAATCTGAGCGAGATGGATTGGGGAAACGTGACGGCAGAAGACCTAATCGGTGCATTAAAGGAAATAGATTGGACATCCCCTCCTCGTCCTCTCAATGAATTCTTCTCCAAATTCACCATTCCTCGTTCTTATTCCAAGTGGAGTAGCCGCCTCAAATGCAATCTCTACTAGTACTTCCCTGCCTCTCTCTCTATTTCTAATTGTATTTTATTGTTCATTTGTTCCTTAATTTTTGTTTAATATAAAGCCGATTACACGATTTTTAGTTTGATTCAGTCTTTTGTTAATGTGAATCTAGGGATTCTTTTTAATCAATCCGTGTGTGAGGAAATCTTGCTTTTTTTGCGATTGATTGCTCTTGTTATTTAACATCTGTATAAGGGTTTTCAAATTCTTAAAAAAATTGTTGATTTTTTTTTTTTTACGTGTTATTGTGCAGCTATCGGACAAATTACTTCATTTTGATACTGCTGATTCTTGGTGAGGAAACAAACACCCAATGTTATTTCATTTTACTTGTTATCTATGTAGAGTTTTTGTGTTTCGATGTTTCCAACTAATCTTTGTATTTGGTTCAGGTGTTGCTTGTATCTTAAGGCCACTGTCTATTCTAGCCACTGCTTTGTCAGCTCTAGCTATTGCTTTCCTTAATGATAGGTATGCTCCTTAAGCGTCAAGCGTACTTTGTTCCAAATTTCTTCTTGTTTCCTTGGTGGTCTATTTCGGTGCTTAAAATTGTGGAAATACTAAAATGATTCGATTGTTTTATTGTGATCTTTCTGGTTTCAAAAGAGCTACCCAATTAGCCAATAAAATAAGCAATCAACTGCTTTTACATTCTTTGAAAACTCGATTCTTTTTAAATTGAATCCAGTTTATTATGAATTTTGATGTTCTATAATTTGTTGGATTGGCATGGAAGGTAGTGGAGATATGGATTGATTGACTTCTTATTTGCATGTGGGAGCATGGACTTCAAAATAAAGATAGTATCAGTTTATGTGTGAATTTTTGCTGTGTTAAGGTTGTTCCTTAGCTCAACAAGAAAACTGATTTAAAAATGTGGAAGTTGTTGGTTTTGTATTTTGAATGAGTTAGCTTGATAAATAGATTTCAAAGGATGTTCCATAAAGATTTATGCTTAGTATGAAGTTGATATAGATGTCGGGTGCTTGTTGGATTTCCTCAGGTTGTGTTTATTAGGAGGGATTGGAGGAAGGATGGATGAGGGAGTTTGGGTGAGATGTGGAGGATTGGGTATTGTTTAACAAGAAGGATGGAGACATAAGGAAAGTTTGGGTGAGATGTGGAGGGTTGGGTATTGTTTAACAAGATGGAGACATAAGGAAAGATTGAAAGGAACCTTTTAATCCTTCATCGCTTGTAATTTTCGATCCGTCCAATTTCTGCAGAGTGGCTCCCTTCCTTCCCCTCCTTTGTAATTTTCAATTCTCTCAATTTGGATAGATTGACTCTCATCCTCCTTCTTCCTTGTTAGCCAAACAATTAAGTGGATGGTAACCCATCCACCCTTTCTCCTCATCCTTCATCTTACCCTATCCACCCGGCTGACAAATGCTGCCCAACAGTTGTTCCATTTGTCATCCTATATCCAATCAAACAAGCATAAATCATGCCACTTCAGCAGCTGCTGGGAGGGAGGGAGGGAGAACGAAGCAATTAATGATGATTGCAATGGAGAAAGCCGGTCACCTAACAAGTTATCAGGAATTGTGTGTTTGAAGAAACATTTTTATCTGATTAATGAGTAGGCTGCAGTTTTCTCTTTTTCTGTGTAAGCTACACTGTGCTTCTGAGTTGTGGAGGTTATGGGGAGAGGTTGGGCCTTGGTTGTGTGGTGTTATAATTATTCTAGATACCTTAAGTTGTTCTTGTGATATGATACATCAGCAAAAGATAAATTTGGTTGTCCTACTCTTTTGCAGTTTTGCAGCTAGTTTCAGTGAGAAGGTAACAAGAACCATAAGGAAGTTCTCTCCACATTTGGCAGCAAAGATGAGACCTCCGCATATGTGAGCTCGTAACTACTACTAGTTTACCCCCTATAGCTCATTTCTGAAATGCACCACAATTTTATTAACCACACATGCATAATGTATGCAGGCCTGTTATCCGTGGTCGTCCATCAGCCAAAAAATCAGTGTACATTTGTGGCCAGCCTCGTTTATTGTTTGTCCTTTTATTCTCAGCTGGTAGTTAAAATCTCAAGGCTCTATTTCTTAATCAAATCTGGGTGGGATATTTTGAGTTGTAATCAATGATGCCTTATCAAATGTTCTTTCCTTTTAACATCTCTTTGCAGGCAGTTTTCTTCTGTGGTATACTTCTGGCAGTCTTTTGTATGTTTGTTGGGCGCACGTCATTAGCCTCTTTGGTAAATTTCACAGTTCTTATGTTTAAATAATCCCTAATAGAAAATTTTAGATCTAATTGATTACATGCATTCTCGTGGGCAGTCACCGTTCTTCATGCAAGCTTCAGAACTCCTAATCTGAAAGCACGCCTCAACACATTCCGTGAAGAATTTCGTGCAGTATGGCGCAATTATAGTGAGCTCTAACTTGTCTGTGGAGTTAAAGGGATGTATTGGTGCAAATCCTGCTCCATAACTCGCTTGTATTTCAGTTAGGATGAGAATATTCTTTGTAAAATGTAAATGAATAGTTCTCATCTTAATTGAGTCAGTTAACATTAAGAACTATTCTGTGGCTGTAGTTTTGCTAAATTCTGCTTTGTTATCTATTTTTACGGCGGCTTGGTTGTGGAGTGTTCAACCATGGATACTCTCTATGTTAGTTAGATCTCAGACGCGTGGAATGTTCTATAGGAAATGGTTTGAGATTTCCTCATTTGTAAGCGACCTCGAATGCCTTGAGGATGGAGCTTCTGTTCTGGTTACCATTTGGTGACAGTGGTGCCAATGCTAATCCATGGAATCATATTACAAATTGGTGATTGGGTTGGGGTTATGGGCTTGTAAAATCTAGACTTGTGGTGTGTCTCCCGACTCTTATGAACCAAAAGAAAACTATTATTTGAAGAACCTGGGAAAATCAAAGATTCAAATTGGTCGTTTGTGAGAATTAAAACTTGCTCCCTGACTACTTTCAAAAGTTACATCTCACCTTCGTTGACCAGACCAGATTCACTAGGCCAGAAAGAAGCATAGTACCTATCAAATCGCACTATCGCAGCCGTTAGTACAGAACAAGCACATACGTTAATTCCCTTTCCTCGTATGAGAAATAATTCAATTATCCTAGATCATTAATCATCGTCTAGTTATGAACAGATATGTTATTTATTAGGATAATACCTAAGATGCTCGTCAACGAAGTCTTTCTTTCTTGTTAGAAAAAATCAACGGAAGGGAAATTCTGCAATGTGTGTGCTTTTCAACCGAAGCTACATAGGAAAATGCCTAGTCTTCTTCTGGTAGGTTTCGGTGTGAAACTATGAAGTCAATGTGAACGAATGCAAGGATGCCTTCCTCGAAGATGAATTACTAGTTCCCGCATGAAAACAATTTCCACTGCTACTGTATATAAATGTATTTGCCATCATAGTTCTTTTCATAGAAATCAAACACTAGCGGCAACTAAAACCTAATATCCATTTAATTTCCAATCTTTGCTTTCATTTTTATTTTGACAGTTCACAAATGGCTTCTTCAAGTCATCGCCAAAGGCAACTGTCCCTCACTCCTCGCGATAATCACTCTCATGGCTGCATAACCCACAAGATGAAAACATCAACTTGCATAGAGGATTCAATGAAAAAGTTAACCATAACAACCGAGACGACCGAGATGACACGCAAGCACCGGCCTGTATCAAAGGGAAATCGTATTGCCCTTGAACAAGAAGTTGTCAACCAAAAAAGCAAATTACCGTGGACAAGCAGAGGCTACTCGTCAAGGAGGAGAAGCATGTGGTCAGAGAAAAGGAGATTGTGAACAACATAAATCTGGAGAAGGAGAAGAAGCGAATCCCGCACAAGCATAGAAGTGGTATAATATTAGTAATGTACAACTAGTGGTAATTGATTAATTCGCTCATCGATTATGAGAATATATCACGCACGCATCACAGATTTTCACTCTTTCTTTTTTCTGATGTTTTTGGTGTAAACTTGTGCAGCTGCAGATGGAGAAAAGAAGATTGTGAACAACGTAAACGTGGAGAAGGAGAAGAAGCGAATCCCGCACAAGCATAAAAGTGGTATAATATGAGTAATGTACAACTAGTAGTAATTGATTAATTTGCTCATCGATTATGTGAATATATCATGCACGCATCACAGATTTTCACTCCTTCTTTCTTCTGATGTTTTTGGTGTAACTTGTTCTACTGCAGATGGCACCTTAGCAGTCTCCTTCAAAATAAAATTTTGAAATTATCATCTCTCCGCCATAGAAGCCATCGCAAATTTGAATTTCCAGTGAGTTTCCTTCATGTAATAAAACAGAACCTATAAGTCTCCTTTTATTCAACCAGCTGATCAATACAATCAAATTAAATAATCTTTCATCCATACCACATAAATCAGAACTTAACTTTTTAAAAGCAAAAACTATGATACTAAGCATATTAATATTTAAATTCATAAAAGAAATTAGAAAAGGGAATTTTTTAAAATAATGACAATTTTTCCATTTTCACTTTATAGCTTTAATTTGTTACAGGAATTGCTCTGGTGAACCAGTCAGCACGTAATCAACAGACTGGCATGTATAATTGGCAAAGTTGAAGGACGTTGTTGTTTTTTAAAATTTGAATTTTCCTATTGTCTCCCTTGTTATCAATTTCCCGTGACCTTCTCCAAGAAAAAGGAAAAGGGTTATCCTTAAGTCCTTAACATCGCGAGTGTTTTATTGAAGAATTAATCCTCTTCGGTCAATAAATTCCGGCTTTGATGTGTGAATTGTTGTATGCATATGATTTGTGTGTCTGTTAATTAATCAGTAGAGAATTTTTTTAAAAAAAAAAAAAAAAAGCATCGAGCCTGCTGGCTCATGTGGTAAATGGATTAGCTTCTTCTTAAATTATTATGTCCAATGAATTGATCCATAAGAAAAGAATTTCTCTTAATGGTTTGTTTAAAACCTGACTACGGAATAATTTGGTCTCAAAGACTAAAAACTAGTTCAAGGATCGATACCTGGTTAGAAGGCCCAAAAAACAATAATAATAAATAAATAGATAAATAAATACTCCTTAAGAAAACTAGTCGGACGAAATTGAGGATTATTGGAGGAACGAGACATCTGGCTTGGGAAAATCGAATATCCAATTGGGTCCTTGGTAAGAATTTAAAGTAAACTTGACCTGCTAGATGAAAATATAAATCTTTAGCAACGCACATTACATTGCATCAAACCAGATGTAGTTAAGCAAAAAAAAAAAAAGGTATACGTCAAATCGTTATTACAAACCCAATATATTGTCCCTTTGTTTTGGGATGAGAAACCGATCCAATTGTCACCCCCATCATAACCATAGATAGGCTAGAGGCCTCGTATAATACTCCTAGATTATTTGATTTCAAAATTTTAGGGACACCAATTTTTCATCCTTGGAGGTCGAGGATAACGGGATAGTGTAGCGTATGTTCACTTGTGTGTGCACTCCCCTTGCCCAATCCACAGAATGAGATTATAAGAATACGAAATGTAGGATTTGAGGACTAAGTTCCCCAAAATTCTGCTGTGGAAAATGGCATCACACCAATCACAGAACCAAACAGCACGTTAGCAGCTAACGTGGCCACAGCGGAGAAAATCTTCCTCTTACTCCTGACCGACCTCGATGACCATATGGGCCTGATTGGCAAGGAAGATGGCCCGTTTGTCCTTTATTAAGAGCCATTGTTCGAAAACCATGGAAACCACCCATGGGCTTCTTGGGCCTATATCCGCCCTGGTAGAAGGAGACCGAGAGGGGCTCTGAAGACCTCGAATTGCAGTGGACCCGTATATTCCCGCATGGACTGAGACTGAGATTGAGGTGGGTTCTCGAGCACAGCATAATTCCGGTTAGTCAAAAAATCGAATCAAACAAAATCAAATTATGTATTTAGGTTTGATTTTGAACTTAAATTTAGAAAATCAAAAACCGAACTGAAATATCAAAATTATTTCGGTTCGGTTTTAAAAAAGTTCGGTTTGCACCAAAAAACGAATCATTTATGGCAAGATTAAAGATTTATAAAAACTTTATTTCCTACTCCTAATTTGAGATTTAAATTATAGTATTTAAGGAGAAAGCATACTCTTTATTAGCCTAGCCCACGTACCAAAAAATAAAAAAATCTCTAAATGTTAGCTCATCTTATATTTAATATTTATCAATTAAAAAAATTATTTTGGTTAATCAAAAATCAAATTTACGGAAATCATATTGGTTCGATTCGATTTTGATTTTTTTTAATTCGATTAACTGAAAATCAAATTAAGTTTATACAAAATTGAACTATTTAATCGTTTGTTGACCCTCAGTCTCAAGCTCATCAAATGGGTCATAAACACAGTCCAAAGACTACAAGTGTACATCCACTTGGCATATATCACACCAGTATCGCCAATGATGTGCAAGCATCACAACAAACCACGCACCAACTGGGCAACCTGGGCTGCCGAAGTGTCAAGGAACGGTTAGGGGGTGGTCATGGTGCAACTTGTGCGTAAATTGTGCGCAAACTGGATGTTTGTTGAAGTCACAAAAGCCACATTTATAGAAGAGCCCATCAACGAACTCTTCACACATGTCACACACTTTGCAGGTGCCAACAAGGTTGACAAGTGTGAACCAATGCACGTGCAAGCGAGATCGGAGCTTTGTCTGACAAATGGCACCAGTATTGATGAATATCAAAATTGCATTTGCCCTGCAACCAAACCACCCCAGATGAATTCACCCTCGGTAGGGAGGTGGAACTTGAAAAGAGGATGGATATGAGTGGGGTGTAGTAACATGATGACATGTTCCATCTTGCCATCTCTCCCTTTTGAACTAAAACAAAATGAAAGGAGGAAGAGGAAGCAGCAAATTAAGCTGCAAATTATTTTGGTATTAAGCAATGGAGGAGAGAAGGGGAGGGCTAGCTATTAAAAGGCATCTCATTTCATAGGGAATACTTAGAGAGATCAGACGAAAGTGAAATCCAATTTGTAGCGCAATTAAACTGTGTTTTTAGATAGACATGGAATTGATTAGTTTAAGGACAGATCAGCATACATGTATGTACAAGTTGAGATTATTGCATTTCTATCTTCAATACACGAGTTTCATTAACTCGTCCATTCCAATATCGTATTTGATCATATTCTAATCCACTCAATATATAACGGGAATGAAAGCGATGGGAGGTTGTTCAAGATTTTTTTTCTTTTTCTTTTTCTCAAATAAATGGGTTAAAGAATATCATTGCTGTTGGCTGTTTATTGATCGATGATTATAGCTACAATATAGGGATGAGAAATAAGTCTTATACATAATTGTTGGTTGAGATTAAAGAATAAAGAATCAAACAAGTTGAGAGGAGTTTTTTTTGTTCTTACTTCCTTTCAAGATGTTCTACGTCCCTTTCTATCAAGTAGAAGGGTATTTATTTCGGTAAAAAAAGAGAAAAAAAGAGGTCTTTTTTGTTTAGTTTTACTTTCAAACAAACTCATTGTTGGATTCAGCAATGCCTAAATTTCATTAAAGCTTGCTTTGATGAAATTGTTTCCAAACAGAAAATTAACCTACCTCGAGTTAATTGTTTTTTTTTGCTTCAAGAAGAATGATTTAGAGAGGTGGACTTGATTTTGGTGTGTAAAACGGATAGAAGTATATTTTTATTTGTACAAATCCAAAAAAAAAAAGTTAGTTAAGTTTATCCACACCACTAATGTATCAAGAAAAATAAACCTGTCGCTTAAAGTCCACGATGACTTTGTCTAGATAGAAGGAATCTTTTATTTTTTACTTTTTTCCCTAAAGTTTCCATTGATTTTGTTAATTTTTTCTTCCATAGCTAGCTGATCTTTCCTTTATTCAATGACGCCCTTCTTTCTTTTTCTTTTTTTCTTTTTCTTTTTTCTACCTGGTTTAGTAGAAGACAGGATCCTTTTCGTTTAAATTTACGAGAATAAGGCTACTCGGTCGCTGAAGTTGATAAGTTAAGATTAGCCATTTGTCCATTCTTCTTTCTAAATTATTTCTACAATATCAAATACCCCAGTTGATTCAATTGCCGAATACTATATCAGTACATATATTTGTAATGCACCTAACACATTACAATATAACTAAAAGATCTAGTTACGTACACAGTGAAGTAAATAGTGATGAACAATATTCGATTCTTTTATTTCTTTTGTTCAGGTTTTTTATTTTATTTTCTTATTGGGTTGACAAGCAGCCAAGGCCTGGCTCTTGGGCAAGCACGTGCCAGGCCATGGCTGCCCAGCCTGGCCACCTCCTTTTTCTCTCTCTCTTTTTTTTTTTACATATAGCCAAGCTTTGCTACCCAAGTTGGTGTTCTTTCCTTCTTTTTTTCTTTTTTCTCTCCATATATATATATATATGGGCTGATGATTAACAAATATGTTTTTAGGTTATAATGATCATTTTGAAACATTTTTAATTTTATTGTAAATTTGTAATGGTTGATAATTTTTTGATATAATTTTATTTCTTAATAAATTTGATTTTTTAATATATGAATTTTGACATAAAATTTTACAACGTCAATGTTTTATTTTTTAACAATATATTATTATTATAATTTATAAAATAAATTATTTTTATATTTTTAAATGAGTGTTTTATTTTTTAATATATATATATATATATATATATATATATAGAGAGAGAGAGAGAGAGAGAGAGAGAGAGAGAGAGAGAGAGAGAGAGAGAGAGAGAGCCAAAAGTATGTTTTTAGATAGTTTGACTCAATTTTTTTGTATATATATATATTACAAATTAACTATATATAGATTCGATTTATATTAATTATAAAAAATAAAAGTTTTCTATCGACATTACATCATACGAATCGTTAACTCTACATATGTAAGATTTTGGGTAGTTTCGTCATTTACGTGGTACTCGTGTTATGAATAATTTTTTTATGATAAATTTTGTGTAAGTAAGTTTTTATGTGTTCAATTTTTTCAGTAAAAAATTAACTAATTAATTTAATCAATTACATTCTAATTTATAATATTTTTTATTATTTTGATATATGTTTAATTTTTATAATAAATGAATTGTATTGACCAAGAGTTTCGTTCAACATAAAATGTTGACCTTGCAAGAATGGACATTCTAATGAAAATAGTTGTCCATGTTTTATTTTTAGACATTAAAAAAATTGACTTGATGAGTTCGAAATAAGATCCTTTCAAAAAAAACATTATTATTATGTCTTTAACATTTGTAGGTAATTTAATCAAGAAAGGTTGGCTTTCTTTTTATTTAACTCAAATTCTACCATCTATACATGAATGGCATGACTCGATTGTAATGGCTCAGAGCCATCCTTCTTTATGTTTAAATACAAAACTCATATGAAGTATGAGGAATTTCAACTTTTGACTCATTTTTTTCTCAACAAAGCTCTCACATTCTTGCAATACAAAAATTTCAAAACTCTATTTTTTCCAAATTTTGATTATTTATGTATTCGTCATTTCATTTAAGTCTTTCTAATATTATTTATTTTTTCTCTCATATGTGTCATTATTTTCATTCATTATATTTGATTGATGTATTACTATGTTTACGAATCACAACATTAATTTTTGATATTTTAATTAGATTGCTAACATATCATTAACTTGTTTTCAAAGACTCATCGCAGAAGCTATTCCAAAGAACTTATGCTTTGTAGCAGGGGAGCCGAAAGGTGAGAAATTTAGTGGTTTTAATAAAATCACAAGATAAAAAAGCTACTCAATTAAAAACTTGTGTTTTCGTATTTGATTCCTAATTTATTACATAGACACAAAAGTTGAAATTATACGTGTAACAGCATGCCGTCCTTACATTCGGATCGATTTTCGGATCGATGTATGGCATTAAAATATTGGTCGTTGGGTGGATTGAGACTTTTAGCTCAAATTAACTTCTGACCAATACTACTCTTTCTGTTTTAAAAAAATTGTACATTTTGACTTTTCAACTTTTCAGACAATTTTAAAAAGTTTTTAATTATTATTTCATATGTTTTGTTTGTACTTTTCTAAAACATATATATATTTATTAAAATTACTAGTCATAAAATTTAATATTGCATTGCATAAAACCAATACTGATTTAAAAAGAAAATTTATCCACAGTTGAAGTGGTAAATTAAAAAAAGATTATGTTAATTAACAATCAAGTTTAGAATAATTATTGAAAACAACATACTAATAGAAATATTTCATTTTTAAAATTTTAGGATTCAGTAAAGTTTAGGTAAAGATGAATATTTTTTACGTAACAAAAAAATTATTTTTTAATTTTTTATGTTAAAAATATTTATATGTATAAGGAAATAGTAAAAAAGAATATTGAGTACTTTTAGTTAGTGAATAACATAAAATCAAAGAAATATTTGAATTTTTTATTTTTTATCAATCATGAGTATTTTAGAAAAATATATTATTTAAAGTTTTGATGAAACAAGTATTTTGAAACAGATAAATAATTCTTTTAAGACAAAAAGAGTAAGTTTTTTCGTATTTTCAACTCAAGAAAAGACAGCCTTTGCCTGAAATATAATGGTAAGCCTGCGAAAATAGCAGCTTTTGATTTGGTAATTTGAGTCGAAGGCTGCAAAAAAAAAAAAAAAAACACAAAAAAACTAAAACTACAAAATAAATTTTATGGTACTCCATAAGAGATGTAAATATTTTTATCATTTATAGTAAGTTTGAAGGTAATTTTTTCTTTTGAAAATTTTTAAAATGCTAATAACTAATAATATTTAATTAATTAGCTCTTTTTAAAAAGAAAGATAGACACAAAAGAGAGAAAGAATTACATTCATATCCTCAAAAAATAATAAAAATATTTTTATTCTTTCCTTTTTTATCTTTTTCTTTTTTATGATTTGAGTATTGTGAATAACATAAAATGGACCGGTTAAAGAAAAAGACGGCATTTGTCTTAACAAATTCTATTGCAATCTGGATTAGAATCCAGTTAAAGAAAATTGAGAAATTTTATAGTAATTAAAAGAGTAATTGTTTTTTTTCTTTGCTTAAAAAGATTGTCTTGTTTTATATTTTTGTTAGTTCTAAAAGGATTATATGATCAAAAAGTCTTTTTTTAAAACATTCCTAATCAAAGCTGATTTGTAAAAGATCTATAATTAAACAAGAGATGTCTTTAAAAAATATGGATAAAAATGGAGACATGATATATTAATAAATATCAAAGTTTTTAATATACGTGAAAAAGTAAATACGACCTTTTTTTTTTGAACAAAGAGAAGATAAAAATTATTCCGTACCAGAAAGATGAATCGAAAGAGAAATACGAAACAGAATTAAAAAAACATATATAGAATAGTAACTTTCAAGTAAAAATATTATTATCAGGACAACCTAGACGATTACACCAAATCCGATCCACTTCAGTCAAAAAAATAAAGCACAATACACTTCAAACCCTGCCAGTTATTACAAATCCAATACATATTCTTTTTTTTCTTTTTTCCTTTTATTTTGCAACGAGAAAAACATCAAATATTTATACTCGCCAATACAAATATGAATCGACTTTAAATTCAAAGGAGACGAAGGATTCCGGATAGCGTGATATATGGTAATTTGTGGGTGCTTTCCACGTTAAATCCTTGGAACAGCATTGCGAGAATATGAAACGTAGTAATTAAGGGCTACTCTTCCCAAAAGTCTATGTTGACAAACGGTGTCACTCCAATCACAGAACCAAGCAGCACATTAGCGGCTAACTTTGCCACAGTTGACAACACCTTCCTCTTCTTACCCCTCCTCTTATCTTGATTGCTATTTTGGCCCTGGCTGCCTGCAAGATGCTCCCTTAGTCCTCGATTAGAAACCACCACAGGATAATCATGAAAATCACCCATAGGAAACCGTGGTGGATTGTTCCACGGGGATTGAATTGGGCCCATATGTCCCTGAACGGATTGAGATCGAGTTGGGACGGACCGAGATCGATATGGGCTCTCAAACTGATTATGCTCGTCAAACGATTCATACCCCAGAGACCCCATATGATCATGAATGGACCGAGATTGAATTGGGTCTCCGAAATGAGCAGGTTCATCAAATTGTTCGTTCTATGGTGGGCCCATATGCTCCCAATTGGATCCAGATCTAGGTGGGATGGACTGATAGCTAGCTGGGCTCTCTAGCTGTTCGGAATCATCAAGCGGCTCGTAAACACACTCCAAATGGACCTCAGAGCGGCAAAGATCACACCTGTACCGCCACGAAACGCATTCATCGTGACAGATGATACACCAACCTGTCCTCCTTGACTGCCGAAGTGTCAAGGAGTGATCAGGAGGTGGTCAGTGCTGCACCTTCTGCGGAATTTGGGTGCAAAGTGGATGTATGTTGAAGTAACAGAAGCTACATCTGTAGAAGAACCCTTCCACATCCTCGTCACATAGGTCACAGACGTAGTCGTTGCCTGATGGGTAGATAAGGGTTAACTGGTGGTGCTTGTGCATGCGGGACTCGAGCTCTGAGGGGCATGTAGCACAGTATGGATGAAGATCAAAATTACAAGCATTGCAGCCGTAGCTTTTCTCACAACCAAAGGTTTGACAACCATCGCAAGTGTAATCAACGTCAATAGGTACCTCATAAAGAGGATGGATATGAGTGCGATGTAGTAACATTTGGGGGCTTGGACATGATGACACATTTACCATTGCCATCTTCTCTTTAGAAGTAGTTAAAACAACAATGAAAGGAGCCATCAGGAAATTAAGCTATTGCTTGTTAGCAGTTGAGAAGAGATGGCGTGGGGCTTTTTAAACTTTTCTTTCTTTTTATAGAAGCTAGAAAGCTGGTGAGAGAGAAGGTGAGAGTGAAATGTGAAAACTATTTACAATTAGGCATTTGATTGGTTGGTTAAAGTAGGCTTTATGAACATAGATGCATACATTTGACTACACTACAAATTGAGATTATTAATTTCAACCTAATTAACATCACGAAAGTTAACATGATTGAGTTGAACTCTTCCACTCTAATATTATAAATTTAACGCTATTATAATCTACCTGACATGAAGGAAATAGAAGGGTTAGAGAGGAATTAGGGTTCATTGAAATTTTCTTTTTATTTCTTTCAAATAAATGAGCTCGAGAACAATGTTCTTGTCTTTGCCTTTATTAATACTTATCGTAAGAAAGAAGAACCGAACAAAACAGATGAAATGCGGTTCAAAAGAAGAAAAAGGAAAAAAAAAAAAAACAAGATGAAGCACAATTTTATTTTATTTTTTTTTCAAATCAAAGGTCTTTTATTGTGAAATCAAAGTGAAGTCTTATTATTATTTTTTTATTCTCTCACGAGTCAAACGTCTTTCTTTAACATTTTTTTTACGAAATCAAAGGTCTTTTTTTTTCATCCACACCCCCCCCCCCCCCCCCCATGAAGTCAGAAGTCTTTTTTTACACAAAAATCTACACTATACCAACGTTAGAAAGTCTGAAAAATAACATGAATATATTCATACGAGATTACGAGGTGAGAAAATGAATGTCAGTACGTACTACGTACATATCACTTGACCGAACAAAACTGTTAAAAAGGCAACCATACTTCCATAAGTTCCATTTATGCGATATATGCTTGATCCTTGTTCTAGTATGTACATAGGGAATGATTTTCTTATACGTTGAAAAAGAAGATAAGTGGAAATGTGGAATTCCATGCAAGTTAAATTCATAAACATTTGTTAATGTCATTGGGAATTTTTTACTTTACAAAATTATAAACATCAAACAATACATTTAATTCTAAATTAATAATTTTACCCAAAGTTTCATTTCAAAAAAAAAATAGTATCGCTATTAGAATTTTGCTAAATAGCAACAAATGTAAATAGAAAATAAATAGCAATTGTTAAAATCATCGACGAAATAAAAACGAAATAGCAACCAACTTTAATCCATCACTAAATTTGACGTTAAAATCTTTCCCGAAGTTTTAGAGACAAACTTGCTAGGAAAAATAGAAACGAAATGGCAAATTCATTGTTATTTTCAATGTCACGATTTAGCGATAGATATTCGGTCACTAAATGACACATTTCTCGCAATTTAATGATGAAAAAATCCATTGCTAAAGGTTAGAATTTTGCCAAAATTGGGTGAACTTTTTGAAAGATAAAATTGTCTAATTTGCGATCGATTAGCGATAGACACCATCAAATTTGTGATGGATTAGCAATAAACACTTGCGGTTATCACCGTATGTGAAAAAATGGGTGGCTTACTATGTAAAATTGGCTGCCTATTTTGACATGGATTAGCAATGAAAAATGGATTAGCAATGGACAAGATTAGCGATCGATCAGCAATGGACAAGATTAGCGATCGATCGGCAAGGGGATCATGTTTGTCGTTATTTTTCAGCCTTAGTTTAACCCCTTCTTTTCCCTCCCCAACCCGCCCTCCCCATTGTCTTCTCGCTCTCCTTCTCCAGTAGCAATCGTCGTTCTCCCACCACCTCCAAATCATCACCAAACTCCACTCGCCCACTCTTAATCGACCTAAACCTATTACAAGATCTTTTCTCCAAAAAATCTCTATTTTTTCTTCCATCGTTTTAGTGCAATTCCACCAAAATTAGGTATGTTTTTTCTTTCTTTTATTTTTTAATTAAAGTTAGTAATTTGTTGTAATTGTTAGGGTAATTTAATTTTAATTACTTGATTTATGATTTTGTATACATATTTAATTATTAATTTATTTGTTAAATTGTTAAATTTTTTTAATTGTTTGATTAATTGGTTGATTAATTTGTTAAATTGTTAAATTTTATTAGTTGTTAGGTTAATTAGTTAATTAATTGAAATTGAAATTTAATTAGAATTGATTTTTAATTAATTAAATTAAATTTATTTTAATTTAATTAATTGATGAGATTAATTATGTTTAATTTGTTGAATTAGATTAGACTTGTTGGTTAATTATTTAATTTTTCTTAATTAAGTTAATTTAATTATTAATTTAAATTTAATTTGGTTATATTGATAATTAATTAAGTTAATTTGATTTATATTTAATTAATTAATCCAGTTAATTATGTTTAATTGGTTGAATTGAAACTTTATTTATATTAGAAATTATTAATTAATTATTATTTTAAGTTTAATTTGGTTAGAATTAGAATTAATTAAGTTAATTAGATTTTTAATTAATTAATTAACTAATTAGGTTAATTTTTTAATTAATTGGTTGGATTAAAATTTTATTTATATTAAAACTTGAAAGTTTATTGTTATTTTAAATTTAATTTGGTTAGAATTATAATTAATTAAGTTAATTAGATTTATAATTAATTAATTGATTAGGCTAATTTTGTTTAATTGGTTGAATTCAAAACTTATTTATATTAACATTTTTTAATTTATTATTATTTTAAATTTAATTTGGTTAGAATTGGAAATCAATTAAGTTAATTCGATTTATATTTAATTAATTAATTAGTTTAATTGTGTTTAATTGTTTGAATTAAAACTTGTTAATTTGTTGGCATTTTAAAATTAATTAGTTTAAAATTAGAATTAATTATTTTAATTATTTTGTAAATAGTTATCGAAGTATGTCGAGATACGTCGTAGTGTATCGAACTCGAAGGGTTGAAGACCCTCGAGAATTAAGGAGAAACAAAGTTAGTTCAATGGTCTAAGATGGAGCTGGAATGACGAGTTTGGAATTTAATTTATATGGAATATCCGAGATAGATGGTGGTCTCGATGTGCACAAATTAATTGTTAATTGATTTAATTTGTTGCTTGTGTGATCATTTTGAGTGTTTGTTAATTAGGAAACGTGCAATTTGCAATGAAGACTTTGTTAAAATTTTATTCGATATTTAGGAAAATTGCTAATTATATGTTCCGTCGAATTGTTATTCATCCGTTAAACTCGTTTCGTGTGTTATTCTAGAGTTATGCCTCGTGGATTGGATAGATCCGGTTGTTGTGTCAATGGTCGTGGCTTCGATATTAACCATGTGATTGATAATGGTGGTGTACGTGGATGTGGCATTGCTAGTCTAATCATCTAGGGTCGGGACTTGATAATGGTGTCAACGGATATGTATTCTCTCTAGTAGTGCCTTCGTGGGTAATGCCCCTTGTTGTGGATGATACCACCATGATTTCTTCAATTGCAAGAAGTTTCACTGGATTTGATGGTGGACAAACCATTTTGAGTCCTAAGTAACTTATGTAATAATTATTTTTATATTTTTATATATTATATTAACCATGGTTGTGGCTCGATATTAACCATGCGATTGATAATGGTGATGTACTTGAACGTGGCATTACTAGTCTAACTATCTAAGGTCGCGGACTTGATAGCCATACCAACATATCCGAATGATCTCCGGTAGTGCCTCCGTCGGTAATGCCCCTTGTTGTGGATGATCCCACTACGATTTATTTAACTCTAAGAAGTTCTATTGGATTTGATGGTGGACGAACCATTTTGAGTCATAAATAATTGGTGTAATAATTAGTTTTATATTTTTATATATTATATTGGAATCATTAATTCACTTATTTATTGTTTTTTTTTTGTTCGAGAGCTTTGCTCCATCAAGCAAGTACTCTACAAAAATCAATGCAATTTTCAACGAGTGGTTGGACATCGCCGACTTCACATGGAAGTTTGTCTCCATAGAGATGAAAGATTTCTACTTTAATGAATTTAATATACCATGAAAAGTACTAATATTATTTTTTTCTTCATGTAGAAGACTTTTTATGGAATGCGATTGTCGACGCACCGATTAAGGATGTCTCGCAGAGTTTGGTATGAAGGTAGTACGACACATGTTTAACAAGCTAAAGCATAAGAGTAACAGCTTTGTGTTTGTTAAACGGAAGGTGCGAGAAGCACGACACCGGGATTGAACCACTCCCAAGTATCAAGCCCTATCTCGGTAAGCATCTCGAAACTATATGTCAAAGAGAAGTGGTGTCGATGCCTGGCCCATCCAAGCACACTTGGAGGGTCTATCTCTTTGATCGAGCATGTTGAGCATTTGGTAAATACTATATCATTTAATGTGTTATAAATTAATTTTTACATTTATTCCATTTCATATTATTTTGTTTATGTTTTTGGCATAATAAATTGGATCGTAATCCAAATCCTCATAAGTCGTTCGTGATCACTCACAAGTGAAAGGATGAGACATTCGTCGACGAGTGACCGCAGACAATAATAATAAGGTTTTATATATTTTTTTAAATACATGTACGTTATATCAATATAGTCTAAAATATATATTTATGATTTGATATTGTAATTATTTCAATGACTTAGGTGTGTGTGCAATTAAAGCAAGAAACAACCGTTAATGAGCGATAGAAGGGTGATGCATCGTCTCAAGATGTCAACATGTTCAATATATATTTAAATGTTGTCGAAAGAGAGAAAAACAGAGAGTATACGACATCCGAACTTATGCGTCCTAGTGTTACTCACATTCGACTCTACCTCATCTTCTACCACTTTATTGATGGTGGTAATATCCATAAGGTTTCTTCCCAATATGAAAATAGAATAAAGGTGATAGAGGCTACCATCCAACAACAAGTCGGTTAAGTTAACAGCATGCGGACTCGGTTGTAAAAAGTTATGAGGTTGTTAAAGAACCTCCAGTCGTCTACTATCCCTTCTCATTAACCCTCTCACAATCGAGCAGATCAACCGTTTCTCTCAACGAGTTAACAATCGAAAGATGATGCAAGAGATAGTAATAATGAAGACTAAATTTCTTTTTTGTTTAATTTTTTTAAATATTTGTATACATTTCAATGCATTTATATATTTATTTTATTTTCAATTATATAATTTTAATTTTATTTAATAATTTATGGTGTTTTAGTAAGATGTTGTTTGTAGTTGTTTTTTTATTAGAATTCCTAATAAATAGCTATTGATTTTTCTTTTCTAAATCAACGATGAATTTAGCGATGGAATAGAGAGGATAATTAGCGATAGATACATATATTGTCGTTAAATAGAGACATATTTAATGACGAAGTTGCAAGGACATTAGCAGTTATAATTTAACGACAACCCATTTCATCTCTATTTAACGATGAATTTAAGTAGAAATAACGACGGTTTGTTGACGGATGTGAGACATTACGGACGATTGATTTAGCAACGGATGACCAATAATTTAGTGACGAAAAAAATCACTTGCTAAAAAAATAATGACTCGTCATATTAGTGATGAAATTCATATTATTTCTAATCTATTGTTAATTACATATAGCAATAAATTTTTAATAAGTAACGATGGAAATAGAGATGAATTTTTAACGAATAACAATGGAAAACTCCGTCGTTATTTAGTAAAATTATGGTAATGGATATTTTAGCCGATCATCAATTGAATGGTCACGCTATTTAATTAATAATTCCGCAGCACCGCAAAGATAAATAAATTCTCTCTTTCACATGAAACCTTGTTTGTACTCGCAGAAGCCATTTCCAAATCGCTCAAGTTTGGTTCTCTTTTACGTCAAATCACGCACTCTCTTCGTTTTATTTTATATATATATATATATATATATATATATATTTTATCTTCTTAGAACCACGAGCTGAATGAGTTAGATCCATCGGTGGTGGCCCATGTACATACTACAACTCCATTTTGGGCTTTAGTCGAGGCCCTCCGATATCGAAAAGGAACAAGTAGCCGAAACACCAAATAAAACCATGATCATCCTGCGCACGTGGTTTCCGTGTAAAGCAAAGCGACAGAAAGCTCTCACACGTTCTAATGACGCGTGGAAACCACCTCTCATTTTTGTAAAATAGAGAAGAGCTAGTAAATAATTACCAGTCAGTCTCCTCTTCTTTTTTCTGTGCAACCTACGAAAAGCAACAAAGTTTTAGGGCTCGTTTTCCCTCTCTTTTATTCCGAACCCCAATTGTTCACTCTCAAAAATCTGAAAGCTCAATCAATTTTTACTTTCGAATCGGTTTCTGATCACAATTTGAAAATGGACGAGTCTTACGCTAATCTCCCTACTAGCCATTTGCTCGGTTCAGTACCTGTAAGCATCAATTTCATTTCTCTTTGGAGAAGTCAATGCTTTATTTTTAAGTTAATCTTTCATTTAACTGGAATAGGCATTGAGATTACTTTGGAAAGTATTAATTGCTTCTGCTGATGGGTCTTGTGGCTTAATAGTAAACAAAAAATAATAAAGCATTAATTAATATTTCGCTTTTCTTTATTAATCATGTCTTCATAGGCTGTGGTCCGTGAAGAAAAGGCAAAAACTGTCGTGAATTATGAAGGTATATGAGTTTCTTCATTTATTTATTTTTGAGTTTTAGGGTTTTTCTGTTTATGGTTGGAGTTGAATTTGTTACTATCAGTTATCAAAGTCTAGAGCTTAAAAAATTGTTTATGAATCTAATGTGCAGTTCCTGAAGCAAATATGGAAACCTTCCCTCCAAATATTAATGGAGTCGGTGGCCGTGGTTATCAAACTCTTGGAAGTCCACCTGGTATGGGTTTTGACTAATTCATTTCGCATGTTTGTGGATATGTTATTCAAGATAATTTATTTTATTTCCAATCTTACTGTTATTGCTGACATTTCATCAAAGTCTTGGATATGGTTTTGCCAGTTTGAGAAATTTAATATTTGGCAATTTTTCTTTCCAAGATAAACAGTTGTGTTGTGGTAATGTAGAGTGTTCCTTCGATGTGTTTTTCTGGATTTTTATATTTTTTGAATAATTTATTTTGCATGTCTGTTGATATGTTATTCAAGATAATTTAGGTTATTTGCAATCTAACTTTTATTGCTGACATTTCGTTGAAGTCTTGAATATGGTTTCACCAGTTTGAGAAATTTAATATTTCGCAATTTTTCTTGCCAAAATAAACATTTGTGTTGTGGTGATGAAGAGTGTTCCTTGGACTTGTTTTTCAGAAGTTTTATATTTTTTGAATAATTCATTTTGCATGTTTGTGGATATGTTATTCTAGATAATTTAGGTTATTTGCAATCTTTCTTTTATTGCTGACATTTTGTTGAAGTCTTGAATATGGTTTCGCCAGTTTGAGAAATTTAATATTTGGCAATTTTTCTTCCCAAAATAAACATTTATGATGTGGTGATGAAGAAGGTTACTTGTACGTGTTTTCCTGGAGTTTTACATTTTTTACGGAGGAATACTATAACTGAATTCTAAGAAAAGAGTCCAATTTCACATGTCTAAACTATAGGAAGTAATTTTAGGTTTATGCATTTATCAGAGGTTTCACATCATGGCTTCTTGTAGTGAATTTCTGTAGCTACGATTCACAGACTGTGTCAGTTCCTCTCATGGAAGCACAAAAACTAATAGCTTAATGACATCATGGTGTTGGGGACATGTGGCATCTGTTGTGTTGTTGTATATCATTCAAAGCACACTTGCAGCTATCAGAGTTCTATTCCTTTGCTATCATTTTTGTTTAGTTGCAACAGCTACTCGAGAGTAATTGCGACCAAATTCAAGAATGCCATTCATGTTTTATCCTGACTGTAAAATGTTAGTATGGACTTCTACGCTGTAATTTATCTCTGTTTAATGATAAAGATTAGGTGTTTGGAGTGTCCACCAAGTAGTTTTTCATTTGGTTTGTTCGATTTATTTAAAAAATTGGTGGGGTTTCATATTTCCTAGTGGTGATGGCTGATGAGGCATGAAGGCATAGACTTTACTGTTAAATGATAATCTCAAGTTGGATGTTGGTAATTTGAAGTAGATTCCTATTTTAACTACAAAATGATAAATTCTAATATTCCTACTTAGTACTAAAGTTCTAGAGCACACATGACAAGTAAAATTTCTTCATAATCAAATACTAATTTCCAATATAGTTCTTCATTCCCCATCAAATTTGAGGCTGGGAAACCGTTTTAAATGGACTAAAATATGGTTACATGATACAAATAAATGCTTTGGTAGGTCATGATGCTGCTCGCTAAGAAATCTGATTAGTGTTTTCATGTGCCAAGAAGGAAATGGGAAATTTCTTTCATTGTATTTTTTTATTAGTAGCAGTGCAATTTTGCCAAAGTTTCTGATGATGCATTCATTTTGCAAGGATGTTGCTAGTTTACTGTTCATATCTAACAGCCACCTTTTTTTTGCACTTGCAGAAGGATTTGAGCAACAACCACCCAACAATTGGAAGGGGATATTTAGTGTTTCATCATACATGCAATATTTCAACGTGGATACAGATATTGTTGTCAATAGACTGATGAGCTCTTTTTATCCTATTGGTGGTGATTTTTTCAGCAAGATTGATGCAAATCCTGATCTGTGAGTTTGGTTCTCCATCTCTCTCTCCCTCTTCCCCTCCCTCTCTTTTGTTTATTCTTCCCCTCATTGTTTTGCTGCTATTATTTTGAGATAGAAAGATTCAATCTTAAGAACGACATGATTCACCTAAGTGTCTGATTGTTAATTTTGTAATATGCTAGATACGGACTTGTCTGGGTCTCAACTACACTGATATTTGTGCTTGCGTCTCTTGGAAACCTTGCCACCTACCTCATACAGAAACATACTGATCACAAAGCTTCTTGGAGCTTTGACGTTGGATATGTGAATGTGGCAGTGTTTTCAGTCTACGGCTATGCTATCGTGGTGCCATTGGCATTTTATTTCTTGCTTCGATATCTGGAATCAAATCCTAAGCTGATACAGTTCTGGTGCATGTGGGGATATTCTCTTTTCGTCTTTGTTCCAAGCTCGGTAAGCATTGCCAGCTCAACTGTGGGTTTCTATATTTTGTTGGTATCTTTGTGTTAACCAGAGACGTAAAAGACTCATGCATGCCCTGTGGAATATTTTCAGTTTTTGTTGGTTATCCCAATTGAGGTTCTTCGGTGGATCATTATACTTGCTGCTGGTGTTGATTCGGGTATGTTTGTTGCCGCGAACCTCAAGACCTTTGTTGGGGGGAATGATCTTGCAATTATGGTGGTTGCAGCATTCTTCTTGCAACTGGCTCTAGCAATCTTCTTTAAGGTCTGGTTCTTCCACTAAGCCTCTTACTGCATGAATCTGGCAGTCCAAAATGTTAACCTGAGAGAATTTGTGTGGAATGTAACTACTTAGTTCGGTTGCATCTGTCAGGGTGCACTGTAGTAAAGAATTCCAGGGTGTGTCTTTGACTAATAGTGTGGTGATTATAGTTATATTGCTATGGAGTGGTTGGGATGGCATGGATGTGGTTTTGGTTTGCAGCTTTTAGCATACTGGAGCAAGTAGACAGGGAAACATTATCGTTGCAAGTTTTTCCTTATTTTTCAAAAACTTCTCCTTCAGCTCGAGTTTTTCCTCATATGATCTGACCGTGTAAATATACACTGATCTGGAGTAATGTTTTAATTATCTCATACTAATATGACCAATTGTTTTGGCCAGCATAACCTCTTAAATGAACAAGGTAGACTATATCTGGTCTCCTTGGAATCTGAGATTCAAGCTGAACACGAGGAAGATCAAATTGAGTCATTTGGTGCATGATATGTTGATAATGGAGACATGTCGGATCTTAATCTTTAATTTTGCTCGTTTTCTTATTGATTAATATTGTAGGATAATAGATTTATATTGAAATTGATGTGTACTTTTTTCTGGTCATTCAGTGTGATCTCCAGCGTCATCTGCTTTCTATTGTATCTTGATCCAGCATCTATTTCTGTTTCTTTTCACCAATGTTTGCATGTTTTCCCCCCGTGTAAAAGTTTTACGGAATTTACTTTCAACATTCAGATCCTTTGCTTAGAAATTACTGTTACTAAAAAACTAAAGGAAAACAAAATTTTACTATTCATTTTTATTATTTAAAATACTATTCACATATTCATAAATTACAATTTCTTTCACTATTCATGCTTTTTTTAGCACTTTGGTCCTCAATTTTTTTATATATTTTTTTTCAATTTCAAACTTTAATTGTATTGTGATTTTATCCTATTTTATTTTAATGTTTGTTTTTAATTATTTTAATTATTTAAAATTTACTACTTTAATTTGTCATATTTATAATATAATCATATTTTATTAATATTATGATCATATTATAATAATATTATTTTTCTACATTAAGCATTTATTATTTATTTATTTGTTTTTGAATTAAATAATTAAAATAATGTTTTGGCTTAACCATTCAATGATTAAAATTAATATAGTTTTTTATTTTAATATTATTTATTCTTTTGTGAATAAATATATAAAAATTAAATTCACATTTTTTCAAAAACCAATATTCTCATCAACATTAAATAAATAAAAAATTATTTGTTCAATTCTATGTAAGCTTTTAATAATTGTTATTAAAATTTCAAACTTTAATTATATTGTGATTTGATTTTATTTTGTTTTAATGTTTTCTTTTAATTATTTTTATTATTTAAAATTTACTACTTTAATTTTTTATTTTTTTAATATAGTCATATGTTATTAATAATATAATCATATTATAATAATATTATTTTTCTACACTAAGTATTTACTATTTATTTATTATTTTAATTAAATAATTAAAATAATTTTTCGGCTTAATCACTCAATGATTCAAATTAATATAGTTTTTTATTTTAATATTATTTATTCTTTACTAAATAAATATATAAAAATTAAATTCATATTTTTTCAAAAATTGACATTCTCGTCGGCATTAAATAAAAAAAATTATTTGTTTAATTCTATGTAAGCTTTTAATAATTGATATATATATATTTTGATACAATCTTATGAAATATAAAAGCTTTTTTTAAAAAATTATTTATTTATTAGTTAATAATCAATGGATTAATAAGGATAAATCATTTTTCTAAAAAAATTATAAAAAATACAAATAATAAATAATTAAATACAAAATTTTTTATTAAAAAATTATAAATAAGTTTTTAATTTTTGATTTCATATATTTTTTAAATAATTTTATATAACTTATTCAAGTCATAACATAACGTGGGTAAAAAAAAATATTACTTATACTAGAGTAGAATAATTTTTTCCTTTTCCCCTTCTGAATGTTAATTACTATGGAGACGAATGGTGGCTTAAATGTTTATTTTCGGAAGTTCCGAAGAGGTTTTATGGTAATTAACGCTTACCATTGCATGTGCCTGCTTGGATTCGTTGTCGGAACCTGATCCATTCCCTAGGGCCTAGGCTACTCTCTTGATAGACCTATGCGAAACTATTCTACAGTCATGCAAACCAAATCAATTTTCTTTTGTGTCTTTCTGGTTGCCTTGAGAGCAAATTATAAATTAGTCCCTCTGGTTTTGAAACAATAATTAATCAGTCCTTTCTGTCTCGAAAACTAATTATTTAGTTTTTTTGTCCTCTTTTCTAATTTTTTATTTTTTTTCTTAAAGTAGATAAATTAAAAAATTAAATAGATATTATAGAAAGATTGATAAAAAATATATATATATTTTTTATAATAGAATAATATCAAATTTTATTCGTGATCGTAAGGATTAAATAATTAATATGTTCAAAAAAGAAAATAATTAACTCATTTCTAAAAAATATAGGGACTGATTTATAATTTACTTGTTCCATTGGTGATGATTGAATGAGTTTACTGTACCTTTTATTCTTAAGGTAGTGTTAAATTTACCATCAAATTTTTATTCCCATCGCTTTTTCAAAAAAAAAAAAATTTTCTAATACACTCTCTTTGTTAATATTTGTTATTATATCATAATTAAATATATTTTATACTTCTTTTGTTCTAAAGTGAGTAATTTTTAACTTTTCACATGGTTTACAAATTTTATTAATTATAATGTCGTATCATAATTTTTTTTAACAATATTTTTCTAGAATATTTTTTATTTAAAGAGAAAATTTATCCAATTTAATGTGCATTACAAAATAGTTCAATTTTAGATAAGTATAGTATTAAAAACTTTAACCAATTATAAATACAAAGAGGACAATCTCTTTCAGACAAATGGAGAATTAAATATCTTAAATATCCAAAACTTAAATGTGCATGAAAGCAAAAATATTGAAGAGCATTTTAGATATTTGATATACTTCCTCAATTTTAAAGTGATAGTTTCCTCTGATCGTTCACACTATGTGATAAATCTATTAATTATAATAACATATTAATATTTTTTAACAATATTTTTCTAAAATATATTTTTCTATTTAAGAACAAAATCTATCTATTTTAACCATGCACTATAAAAATAGGAATATTTTAAAAAAGTATTGCATTAAAAAATTTGACCAAACAAGTTTTTTGGAACAGATGTCAATAGAAAAGAGTATAATTTTTTTTTTGAAATAGAGGGAATAAAATATATTTAATTATAATATAATAATAAACATTGATAGGAAGATATACGGGTAATTTTAACAAAAAATAAATGGTGAGTATAAAAAATTTGATAGTGGATTTAACAATACTCTAAATTTTAATTGCATTAATTAAATAATGAAGAACAAAATCTCAAAAAAAAAAAAACCAAAAAAAAAAAAACCAAAAGAAAACAAGACAAAAGAAAGCACAACATGAAAATTCAAATATCTTGATTGCACTGGTGTTGTTTAAATGAGTTTGGCATCTACTGTAATGTCATTGTATTACGAGGACGGTGTCATTTTAGATGTTGTTTTTCACATGACAAAAGGTATACATGGTCATATTATACAAACGAATCTCAACCATCAGAAATAAAATAAAAATAAAAATAGGCAGCTTGCTTCTTTTGTTTGGACTTATCATATTAGGGAAAAAAAATTGTGAATCTCTAGAATTTTAAAATTACGAAAAATAAAATAAAATAAAAAGGAGAGATAATTTTTTTAGCAACAAAAAACGAACAAAACTGCAATAAAACAAAAGCTATTACCGTCAGAAATTTATTGACATCAAAATTAAACTATTTAATCTCTAAAATTGAGTGTGATGAAGATTTGAACTTTTGAATTTAAAAACCTTCAAATAGATTTTCATGTTGATGGATTGTTTAAAAATAATTTTTGAGGTTATACTTGAGTATAGATAGATTTAAGAGAGTGTTTATTAGTATTTTTTGGTAAAAAGAAAAAGAAAAAGGTTATTTGCTATGTTGCCGTCAATTTAGTAATCCGGTAAACTGGTCGGAATTCAACTGGCTCGAGAAAGAAGAAAACTTGAACCAAGCATCATTCTTTGTCCAAGCCTTCATTTCATGATTGGGCCGGGACCTTGGGCCTCTAAGTCTTCTTCTTTTCTTCTTTCATTTAATTTTTTATTTTTTAAAAATAGTTTTTAATTTTGAATTTATCCATTTTATTTTTATTACTCTCTTACGTGTAAAAAAAATGCTATAATTTTTTGTAATTTCTAACGGACTGTGTTTTTATGTGACTGTACGTGTATACAAGCCACTGTATGACAAATTTTATACTTTTGACTATTGTGATTTTTTAAAAGAAAATTACTATTAAAAACTATAATTATTCATGATATAATGAAACTGAGAAATATTTTTGTCCAGTATTTCAAATTTTAGATATAAAGGCAATTCATAAATTTATGTATATATTTTTACTTGAAATTAAACTTTTTATTGAGTGGAGAATATATATATATATATTTTAAAAATTTTAAAATACGATCAAAAAAATGTTTAAACACGTAAAGGGTAACATTTACAACAAAAGACATTGTAAGCATAAATCATACATGTTGTACGTTTTGTTCCATCTCATCAGACTACTACCAAACAGAGAAGTGAACAAAATTTTCTACCTTATCTACATTACCAAGACACAATTTAGTCCCGTCTCTTACCATCTCGTTTGCACAATCCAACCCCTTTCATTTTCTCTCTCTATCAAGCGATACCAGGATGTCGCAAATGAATTATTATTATTTAATACGTGTCCATTTTCTCAAAGAGATCCAAGGTTCCAGCGGGGTCCGTTTCATTATTGTTTTTGTTTGTTTTGATAAAAATAACATATTTAAATATGCATATCTTAGCATGGGACGTAGTTTTTAAAATTTTATTCTGCAATATTCTACTTTATTATAAATATTCATATTATCTATTTATTTTGTCACACACTTTTTTTTGTTGAAAAAAAAAGACCTAAATAGTTGATTGTATTTTGTTGCATATTTGTTTCAAATTCTTACATAATCTAGCTAAGAGTATAACTACTCCAACCATAACCACAACAACGAATATCTTCATTACCACTGCCACTCTACTGCTCTACCTCTAATATTATCTTCACTACCACAAACATGAGCGTTTTTTTTCGCTTCACTATAATCACCTCATAGCTACCAATGAAAAGAAAAATACTTTAACTGTTTTATTTTTTATAGAAAATTGTTTTTTAACATATCAAACACGAAAAACAAACAAATTTTCACTTTACAAGAAACTGTTATTTTCTTGAAAAACATTTTATGCAAAACAAGCACACCTTTAGTTAGTATTGAAAAAACAATTTAATGTTGATAAATTTAAGCTAGTATGGATCGATTTTTTTAA